CTAAACTTGTATGAGTCTTTTCAGCACACATTCAGAAATAAAGACAAATATTTGACAAATCTTCATGTAGGCACCAACTATATGACTACAGTATATCGCACATTCCCTTGTGTCCACATATTACACATCACTTTGCCCACTTTTTTTCCTCTGACTCCTCCAGCCACCACTTCAAACAGAGTTATTGCCTCGGGGAAAGATGAATTTTTGCTGGTTTCGTTCTGATCTTGTGCTATTTAAACCACTGACCAGAAGAAAGTGGCTGAGACTCCATTAAAATCGGGTTGGGTGTATCTCCAAGGACCTTGTTGGCCTTTACAGTCAGCCTGGTCATGCATTGCCGACACATGGTCAGCTTGCTGCTCCAGCGTACTTTTCCCACAGGACCTAACAACTTTTCTCAGTTTGTTGTTGTGGGTTATTGGAACAGTTCATACCAGCAGACACCATAATAATAAAAACATTCTCAATAGAGAGATTTATAAAACATATTCATTCCCCTCACTGCATCATTTAGTGTTACATGAGACAGAAAAATTATCTATTCTTCTTGCTATGGTCAGGTTTAAACCTTATTATTAACAGAGGGAATACAGCATGTGTTTTCAACTCAAGGATTTAATTTAAGTAAAAGTAAATTGTGTTTAAAAGTTGCTTTATATCTCCTACTTTGCACATTAACTATTGTGAATAGAAAAAAACTCAATAATCTCAGAAAAAAAACATAAAAATCATACGTCTTCGTTAAAATTCCTCACTGGTAAATGAAACGTGCCTTTTATTGACCTTAACACATTCTGTTTTTGTTTGTAAGTTATTCTTACGTGTTTAGTATTAATTAAAAGTAGTATCACTCACCCGTTGTGTATCAACGCATGAGAAAATTCTGTTTTTTTTAACAAAGTTTGCACTTTCAGAAAAGAACTGAACATTAGAGCTTCAAACTCCCTCATCCTAATGATTTTGCATAGACTGCACAGTACAAATGCTTAATACACATCATTAGAACTGGGTCAGCTCTGGAGGCTCAATCCCTGAGGTCACCCACGAGCAGCTGAAGTGAGTTTAAAAGAAATTTACATAATTGACTCACTTAAGTATTACATTATGATATTTTTTTTCCCATACAACACATTTTCTGTCTGACTATCATGTATTTAAATCCTCGGTACAAATTACAGCCCTGTATGTGACAGCAGGCCTGCGCTCAGAGAAGATTTCAGCACCTTGGACAGCTCCGTCCTGCTCTATGCTTCCCTCACAGCTGCAGTGAAAGATGGCTGACTTCAGCTGTAAGTGATCCAGTCGTCAGCACAGCTCAGTTTAAGAGAGAGTGCCAGAGGTGAGTGATCCGGACCCTGGATGCTTTAGTCTCCCTTTTTGTTTTTTTGTTTGTTAGTTTGTTGGTTTGAGTCTCTTCCAATCTTTTGTCTGCCCCTTGGCTTGTCCACTAGCGGAAGACTTAGAAAAGAATCAATGCCTGAGACCAAAACATGCACCTCTGTGTGTCTTTGGATTATGTACACAGTGATATAGTGCATGCAAGGTCACCAATGATCCATTATAGCATAATTATATGAGGGGTTTTACCGTTAGAGTCCACTTTTTAAGAGTGAAAGCTTCCTAAAGACTTAACATATTGTCATTCTCAGGATTTTCTTTTATATGTAACTGACAAACTTTTCTGCAAGAGTAGAAAGAGAAGAGAAAAGTGCTCAGCCCTGAGAGTAATGCTGATCTTTGACGAGTCAATTCTGTTGGGAAAAATCAGAGGCCTTGACAAACTGCAGGTATTTCCCTTCAAGTGGTCATCAGTCACCAGTACATGCATCCCTTGACTGAATCAATATAACAAAACACTTAGTGAGAGGAGGCAGAGGCCAGCTGTAAACCCATATGTAGTTGTCAACAGAATATGTCATAATTCATAGGACACTGATGTATCTTGTGTCACACACGTCCCATGAGTTTGGCACGTCATAATTATTATAAATATTTTACTGTAGGACTCTTGTAATTTCCTCTGCACTAGTAGGACTAGTATAAAGCAGCGACCTATTAGTAGACATAATTGTATACAGTAAAAACAGTCCAATTTATTAGACTTCTGTGCAACTAACTGTTTTCAGTAAAAGTGAGAGCCGCCAGAAACAGATCAACAGGAGCAATTCTGGACAAAATGCTGTATTTATTTATTTTTTGAGAAATTTGAAGAGACAAATTTGACTTCAATATTGTTCTCAACAGTTGGACTATATGCAAAGTATCCAGTCTTGGGGGTAACTCATTACAAAGTAACAAATTTCTTAACAGCAACTAATCAAACGATTACCCCGTCACTCATGTTACTAATCAAACAATTATCTCATTATTCATGTTACATTTATTTCCCCAACCATCTGCATAACAGAAGGACAAAATAATAATGTCCCTTTTCATGTGCACTTTCACAGCATTTGCTAAGTCTGACCGTACTCATGGGATGTGACTTTGGCTTGAGAGGAGAGCAGGAACGAAATTGCTGCTCAACCAAAGGGATCTTTTGAGGCTTGGAGGTATTTGTATTACATTGACTTTGTTATGCGAAAGTGTAAACTGAACCCTGGCTAGAAATTACTTTTATGTACCTTCAAACTTGATATCATATCTGTACGGCACTTCATATGGACAGAAATACTTGAGAGGCAGTATGTCTGTTAATAATTTATGGCTGAATGCCTGAAAAGCTTGCTGTCTGTCTAAAATGCATTTATCATTGTTGGACAATACTGTGTTTCAGTAAAAGTGTAAGTGTAAAGGTCTTGTCAGAGAACAGTGTTTTAGTTTTTCCTAGCTATTTAGTCCCTGGTCAGGATTTAAAAGCCGAAGACAACTTGTCAATATGCAGAAGTATGTCTGTGTAGATACAGCAACTTCCACTTAACAGGTCATGCTTTCAGTGCCTTTTGTTTAGCTGTTTTCCATTTACAGAGAAGTGCTGTCACAACATGTAAAATACAAGACATGAGCCTCAGGAGAACTTGTTAAATAATCATCATGAAAAGCAATTACATTGATAAAACAGTAACGCTAGCGTCCTAACTTATAATCAAACATATTTACCTTATCATACTGACAGACCCAATAAAATGATTATAACTTGTCTCTCCTAGCTGAAATGATTATACCTGCCTGCTGAATTGCAAATAAGAGAACTCTGCAGTATTAGCCATGGTGGAGGCCTGCACTTTTCAACTGTCCAACTTGATGTATATAGCTTTTGAATGTGGCTGTCCTGTAGAGTGCTGGGGCCTCATTTATAAAACTTGCTTACACACAAAACAGGGCTTGAAAGTGGCATTCACCACTTCCCAATAAACTCTTGGCCTCTCCCTTCAAATCTGTCCTCTTCTTTTTCACCTCTGCCACAGATCACTCTGTGGCGCTCACACTATTCACAACAGTGATGACGTGCTGCCACTTGCGTATTTTTCTTTAGTGATGCCACTACTGTGACCACTCAGGGCTTGACACGAACTTTTTTCACAAGAAGCACATGTGCTCCTAAGTTAGGAGCACACGAAGAACTTTAAGGGCACTCTAAGAAAAATTGATCAAATAATGTGTGTCTTATTGGTCGACATGAGTACTAATATTTGAAATCAATTTAAGGTCTTCTGGTCACATGACATGGAAGTTATTGAAGGAAAACTGCCTTTTTTTGAGAGCATCAACTGGTAATTTGTTGATGGTCCCTTATTCAACACCCTACGTTGACAGCGAGGGTGCCGAGTGGATTTAACCGCACTGCTGTTGCTACTCCCGGTTATGGAGAGTGAGAAGACCGGTAGATCCACAGTGAATGCGCACATGTGCCCCTAAATACATTTCACAATTGGCACAAATCTATTTAAGTCACAAATGTGAGTGAAACGGTTGCACTGTCGAGCCCTGCCACTAAATAAAATAACTTTTTCTGACTTCCACCTCAACCACAAACATCTCTGTTTCTCTGCAAAATTCCTTTTCCTTGTCTTCTCCACCACGATAAAGTGTAAAACGCCATTGACCATCAGGCTTATTTATATGCAAATACATTCATGAGGTACTTTGCATTGGCCATTCATGGTGAAGTGTGAGTGTATGGAGGGTGGGATGTGAGATGAATCCACCTGCGCAATCTTCCAGGTGGACTGTGATTTATAAATTGTTAAGTGCTTGCAAGTTTGCGTACAAATCAGATTACGCCATTTTCAGCTTTTGGGCGCAGTACACTTTTAGTATGGATAGTACGCTATGTTTTATAAATGAGGCCCCTGTTCAGCATTTCTCTAATGCAGCACTGGATGTAACATCTGTCATTTGATGGACACTCCTCCAGAAGATACACTTATTTAAACAGACATGCCAGAAAAGGGAAGCATCATAAATTTCAAGTTTCTCCGAGGAAGGAACACTCACGACCTCTGGCTCGACCGCCACACAAGCATACAGCCGGGCCCATGTGTTTGTGAGGGAGACAGTCTATGTGCTCTAACTCCTAAATACACATTGGCTTATAATCCAGATAGCACATGCTGCTGATATAGAACATATGGAACACAGACTTCAGAACTCTAGGGAAACCATGGCAACCAGTGATGAAAGAATCTGTGTGCTTAATTGAGCAGCTGTTATCCCACAATTCACCGCCCTGTCAAATATTGAATATGATAAGCCAGCACAAATATGGTGACTAGCCATCCTGCAAAAAAAAAGTAAGGCAGGAAAACCAATTTATTTTCCCTGTGTTTTTACTGGTCTGCTGCCCATAGGCAAGGTGTGATCTTCAAACTGTCCTCCAAAGCAAGCTGTTGTTGTGCTAAATTAGTTCTGCTGCAGCGGTAGATCTATCATCAGATGGAAAGTTGAGTTTGGTTCAGAGATTCTCACACAGGAGTCTTATAAAGGTATATAAATTATGTTTGACACAGAGCTCAGGTGATATAGATCATATTTAATTCAGAGGAACAAACACAATAAGCAACGGTGGCAGGAGAGAGTGCTTTGGGAATGAGTTTAGAGTGATTTACCATTACAGCAGACGAATTCTGAACCACACTTAAAGGATGCCCTCCACCTCAACCCGTCTACCCCCTCTAGAAATGCAAAATATGAAATCTTTAAATGTGAGCTCAAACTAGCGGTCCAGCAGCATGTTTGAGTAATGTTACTTTTAAATTCAGGTGCCCCGCACACAACATGTTTTTACAAGAGCTGCTGAGAGAACCTTATCATCTCACAGTCCTCTACCTGCTTATCCATGATAGAGCTGCTGCTCTTAGCACAGGGTACAGTATGTGCTGACTGAAGAGTTACCCTCTTGAACATGTGCTGTGTTGTCCTCCTGGAGCCTATTGGCTACTTGATGGCCTTGGATTGGCTTGACTTTTACCATGCATGTTAACAGATTAGAACGTTTAGATCTCTGGTGGGAGCAATGCATCTTGCTAGATTATTTCCATGAGCTACATCTGATCTTAAACCAAAGTTCTGAGGACTGTATTCAGTCTGTTTCAGCTATGTTTATGTCAAAAGCATGAAATTTATATTCCTCTTCTGCAGAGATCTTAAAAACAAAAGTCTGATTCATTTGAACCTCAGGCAAATTTATATGAGAATAGAAGTTCTGATTAATCACCTTGGTGGAAGGTAAACTATGCCAGATTTGAATAATACTGGGTTATGTAAAATATTTCATCTGTTGTGATCGCCCTCACTCTTTGTGGCATTCTCTGTGACCCTCTCACTGCTCAGCTGATGACTGTATCTAAATTTAGCACCTGTTTCAGTGCCCCAGACAGCTTATAACACCTGAAAGCATTTTCTAATATTAACAAAAACGTACATGAAATGCAATCATGATATAATGATGAAATAAAATCAGGTTTAATAAGGAGAGATGTCATTTAGTATGATCTCTGTCCCCCGTCTCCTTTCTCAGTCATTACAGTTTAGGGTTGGATTGGTTCATCCTATCAGAGGGACAAAGCTCTTGGAAATTTCAAGGAGTGAAGAAGTGACAGAAGCTTTTAAAGTAGACAATAAAATAATCGCACCAACCAAACAAATCACGCTCTCCCTTACCCCTAAAAAGGACTCATACAAACAGAGGGGAACATGTAAACTCTACATAGAGTCTCTTTTTAGCAGGAAGTGGTGACAGAGTGCCAATAGTCTCCACCACACCCATATTGTGCCAAAAAAAAACTAATATAAAAAAGATAATCATAAATTTGAATTGGAAAAAGGGGTCTTATAATGTAGTCTATTTAAAGCCCAATGTGTCTATCTTTCCTTCACCATATCCAGACAGTTTTTCTGAGGAACCGTGTTGGAAAAGACTGTGCCAATGATTTCAGATTTGGATCAGCAAACAAAACTAAAATATAATTTGGAAAATTTAGCAGCGTGGTGCTACAACATCCATAAAATCATTCAGTAGTTTAGACTCTTTAGCAGAATCAGATCTGCACATGCATACAGACTGATTTAAACCAAGACTGCATTAAGAGGTTGTTATAGTATTCACAGAATCTATTTATAGATTTGACTATGTATAATCTAACAAGGCAAGACAGGCTTCGCTTCTAATCATGCAGGGTTTGCAACACAGCTGTGTAACTCACTTGAAGTTCAAAATGACAGATACCTTGTTTCATGTCACTTTTACATCCTTTTGATGGATTACAATATGTTTGTTTCTAAGACCATACGAGCTGACAGTGGGTGGGATTCTTGAAGAGGGGAGGAGTGCTGAATCGATTCATCACTCAAGGTTATTGAGAGCACCTATGTTAGCATCATCAGCATCTGGCTAGGTGTTTTTGATGGTGCAAACAATAAATATAAATAACTTGGAGTGCAAAACAGGAATCTTTTATTTAAGTAAGGTTGTTTAAAGCGTGAATAAAAACAGAGTACAATAATATGCAAATGCTCTTCAACTTATAATCAACTGAATACACAAAGACAAGATGTCTAACTACAAAATTCCCCTTGGGAAATTCTAAAAAGAGCTACAACAAACATTCCCTCTTCAAGTACCTATTTTTTATCTAGCACACATTAAAAACAGGAGAGGTGCAGAAGGTTCGTGTCTGCTGGATCAAGATATCATTCTTAAGAATCTTTTCTGGATTAATAATAATTTCTTGAAGTAAATTGGATACGTTACAGACCATAGTATTACAATAGCTCATATAAGGAAAAAGGAAGCTATAATAAAAAGTCAAGTGAGAAGAGGGATTGATCAAGGGACAGACCTTATTAATTACACCTAGGCTCTTCATTGACCTTTTGCAAACTTGACTGATATGAATGTTCCACTTAAGACCAACATCAAGGACAACACCCAGTAAAGTGGTAATTTATACAACAAGTCTATAAAGTCTATAATATCATCAAAAGATTCAGAGAATCCAGAGCTCCATAGACTAAAATTGAATACCCATGACCTTTGACCCCTCAAGCAGCACTGCATTAAAAATCCAAATTCAACTTCATTTTTATGGCACTTTTCAGACAAAAATTGCAGTTCAAAGTGCCTAACAGAGGCTAAAAACAACAATTCACAACAATGAAATCTTGAACCTCCCACACATACACACACCCACCCATGGACCCACACACACACAAAGACACACACACGCCCTCACTAACCCACACATACACACACCCAAGTGCACACAATGTGAGAATTTAAGATATATTGTTAAAGAGACATGGCCTGACACTGTGACATTACGTGAGGAAAGAGCTACCTTTGGGAAACACTGGAGATAAAGATAAAAATGGTAAAAAGAACTACTAAAGTAAAAAGACTAAAACCCACATCATTCTGTAAAGGATTTTACGATATGAGCTCAGGAACACTTTAGAAAACCATTGTCAGTTAACTCAGTTTGTCTGTACATCAATAAATGCAACTTTAAACTGTACCATGAAAAACCAAAGCCAGATATCAACAACACCCAGAAATGCTGCCAGCCTCTCTTGACCTGAGTTAATCTGAGATGGACTGATGCAAAGTGGAAAGTGTGCTGCGGTCTGAGGAGTCCACATTTCAGATTGTTTCTGGAAATCATGGATGTTGTGTCTTCTGGGCTAAAGAGGAAAAGGACCATCCATACTGAATCAGTGCAAAGTTCAAAAGGCAGGAAGAGGACAAGGTACAGCGGCGCTACCAGAAATGTTGGCTCTCAAGCAGACCAAATCATATCGTATCTGATTTTAAATGCTAACTATAACAATTGGGTCGTACACTTTTAGGTATACTAATATTCAATCAACTCTAATTTGAAGATTTTTCACTGGAGCATTTTTTGCTATTGTGTTCAAATTTGTAGACTTTCGAAGGCCTCGCAGCACATTTTCAAGCTGCAGTTCTGTTGGCTTTATCTGAAAGAGTTGAAACATCCACAATGGGGATGCCAGTACAATAAAGTAAAATTTCTAGATGGCTCAAATCCCCAGTGAGTCAGCAGACAGATTACATGAGTCACAGTGCCCCGACAAAACTCCTGTGATCCCAGAATGATCGTGGAGGCAAGGAAGTGATGTAAAACACAAAAGAAGATGCTGAGGTATAAAAAGGAAGGTGAATAAAAAGGATTTTCCTTTTTTCTTCGTCTTTTTTTTTTTTTTATTGTTGAGATGGTATCACTGTCACTGTCAGAGCAGGGTTGGATTCTGTATGGGGGACTGGGAGTGCTGCTGTGTCTCTGATAAGAGTTTTCAGCCTCCAATTAAAGATGGAAAGTTGCAGCTCTGAATACAAATTCAGTAGTTTAGTACAAAATTGATAGAAAATTTGTTCTTGGAATTGCTTTTAGTCCAAGAAACAACCAAGGTAATATATTTTGAAACAAAGGTGCCAAAAAGTTTCCTGTAATAAATGCAAGTCATATACATAAAATGCAAATACTGACATTTGTTTGACTGAACTGTGTTTTCATATGGTTTTCTCCTCCTGTGTTTCTGTCTGCAAACAATTGTGGTATTTCTTTGCATACAGCAAAATCTGAGAAATGCTTTGAAGCAACTTAAAAGGATTTTTTTTTTCTGGCAAGAAAAGAAAAGAAAAAAGGAAAGAAAATGTTGAGTAATTACATTTTCAAGCCACCTTTCATTGCGCTTGAAAGTCTGACATCTTGTTTGGAAAACAATGGATGGAAAGTTGTTTGGGTCGGATGCTAATTAGTTGTTCCCCAGGCTATTATTTACCGTGTGTTTGTGTGTGCTCACGGGTATTTACTGGCTCCTTTTATAATGTGAAGGAGGTCATTTGTTTGAAGGACTGGTGGCAGACGAAACAAATGCGCACTCGCTGAAGACAACTTGTTGCCCTGATTCTGTCTCTCTCTCATAGTGCTCACACAGCCCCCTGCAGAACACTAAAATACATCTTGACAGAGCAACCACAGGCTGTCATGCTAACATACACACTCGGGGCTGTGAACCACCCGAACCTGAACCCAAACTATGCATATGCACAGTGGCTTAACATTTGCGATTTGAGGTTGGGGGAATAGGTTAGCATAAGGTTGTGATGCTAATTATGCCCTCATCTGCTAAGTGGAATTAGTGCTGTCTTGTGGACTGTTAGAGTTAACAGGGTGGATTATTAATTGCACATTATCCCTCAGTACTGTTGGTGTTGTTGTAAATAAAAAGGGGAGCTTTCATTTTATTGTCAGATCAAATTTTTTTTCTCTTTTCTGCAACAGAAAACTGAGTCATGACCACTTTATTGTAAAAAAAACAAAAAGTCATGGGCTAGCTGAGCTCAAATTTGCACATTGCATTTTGGGATTCAGGGCACCAGGTTTAGACAGTCAGAAAGGTTGAAAGATAGAATGATGAATCAAGCCTACTGTATTGATTTTTCGACTATTTCCACATCATTTGGTGTGAACCCAACCATGCCAGAGTGCCAGAGTGTCCATTCAACTTTATGCATCAGTTTTACCTTCACCCACCTTCTCTCTATCTCTGAGTATTCATCGTTTGGAAAGATGGTGCTTAAAAAAAGAGAGAGAAAGAAAGAAACCTTAAAAAGAGAAAACCTTACGAGCACCTACAGTGGTGGCTGGATTTAATGAGAATATAAATGAATAAGTGAATATAAAACGCATATATGTTAATTTTTCTGGCAGAACAGATTATTTCATTAGTCCATTTTTTTCCAGCATATCTAGGGTTAAGCCGCTGTGGCAGCTGGCATAACAAGTTGACCCTGACATTGCTCTACCCAAAGTTTTCCAGACCAGACTTGGGTGAACCCGAGGCTTTCAAAGCCAGATGGTATTTGTTCGCCCTCCAGTGAGCTCTGGGTCTACCCTATGCATCTTTCCAGTTAGATGCACCCACAAAACCTAAACTGACTCCTTTTGGTAGAGAGCGGCAACTGCTCTACTCTGAGCTCCCTTGGGCTGTTCAAGCCTATCTTAAAGGCTAAGCCCAGCTCCCCTTGGGAGGAAACTCAATTTGGCTGCTTGTATCAGTGATCTCATTCCTTTAGTCACTATCCAAAGCTCATGACCAAAGGTGAGGATTAGCGCATGAACTGACAGGTGAACTGAAAGCTTTGCCTCCGGGCTCAACCCCTCTTCACCATGATGGTACAATGGCTATATTCCTGCTGACACAGCACCAACATGCCTGTCAAACCTAAAACAGGTTCTACTCTTACAGTACAGCGACAAAGACCCACTCCCTATCTGGAAGGGGCACGGCAGCAGACAGCCATAGCCTTGGGCCCATTGGTGCCGATCCTTACACAAAACCACATGCCTGCTAGAGGTCAAAGCCTGAAGAGTTATGAAAATTACAGATAATCTTAAATATCATTCAAGAAGTTCATTTTGAATGCAGCACAATAACAAAAATGATACCCGTGATTCAATAATTTCCATGCAATAGCAAAAGTAAGATGATTAAAAAATATATAGAATTATGCAATTGTTTGGAGTGTTTAAGTAAAATATGACATAAGGTAATACATACCATGCCATAAATTGTGGGGTTATGTAAACACATGGAGCTGGGATGTTCAATATGACTAAGACACAAAATCTGGGACTATCTTTGATGATCGATATGTTGCACAACACAGAAAATAAAACTGCAAAAAGAAGCTGTTTATGCCTCCAGAGCTCAAAGAGGATTCCTGGAGGAAAATTGAAAGTGGTGCATAAACATTACTATGCTGCCATAAAGACACAGTGGGCTGACTTTTCAAAGGAAAAACGACTCATCTCATCAGAAGAAGAAAACACCTCCTCCTACTTGCTGTTTATGTATCAGCATCAACAGCATCTATAAGGAGTGGTGGGTGATGCCATTTCCCCCCCAAGTTGACTGGGGAGATTAAGGATGGCTTTTTATGTCTTTAAAGATGACTATCATCAGTGCGGTTGCCATGGTAATGTACCAGACTTTAAAAAAGAAAGTAGCATCAGGGGGGCTGTTAGCGCCAGGGTTAAGCCTTAAGTTTACTCACTAAGTTTTTAATCTAACTCAGTCTGGATCAGTCTTAATTTAACTCCGACTCTTGATAAATAAAGATAAAATCTGTCCTCGCCAGGCCAGACGTAAACAAGAGAAAAACATAAATTTCACTTTATGGCACAGATCAATCACTGAAATACACACAAGAAAGCAAATCTTATTTTGGATTATTTTTGAAATCAACAAAAACAGAAAAAAGTATGCATGAATCAACTAAAGTTTGTTTAAACTGAGAGTTCAAAAGTCTTATTGCTGTTGGGAAGAAGCTGTTACAGAACCTGGATGCTCTCCATTAAAGGGATATTCCGGCATAAAATTAATTTAGGGTCAAACACACCGTACCACAGAGTTAGACACCCCCTCAAGAGATGAATGGTGCAGACCGCTTGCTTCTCTAGTTTAACCAACTTTGGTAATGACCACAGGATAGCAATACGCAGCAGTTCCAGGAGCCATACATAAACCTCAACCAAAAAGCCACTCTATAGCCACAAATAATGCTCAGAACAGCACCTAACTTCATCAACAGTACATATAGGGTCCAAGCCACAGTACTAGCCACCAAATATCTTTTTGACTTTGCAAAATTATTTAGCAAAGAGACTAACCACAATTCACCTACTCTCTTCCAGCAGCCACTTGTTTGTAGCGAGACCTTGGGCCAGTCCAAATGATCAGAAATATTCTCCCTTGAGCTGCGGCACCCCACAGCAGTCCATAATGGACTAAATTAATTTTACGCCAGAATATCCCTTGAACGCAGCTAGTCAGGAAGGGAAGCTTCAAATACATTGGCTTCACTTTACAGGAGTTGTTGTGTCATCCATCGTTTTATTCATTCCACAGCTAACTTGCTGTTCAAGCATTTCAGTGTGAACCAAAATAAAAGCTCAGACACCGATATACTAACCAAGACCAGCATTAATGTCTCCAGAGCTTTACAAGCTTTGCGAGAAAAGAACAAGCATTTCAACCCATAATACATTCAAGTTCCCCCCCTGTGAGCCAATCTATTGTCTAATTTTTTTCTCCCTCTGCATGAGGCTCTTCACTCTCATTAAGAGGAAAGGATTTCCATTTATAGATGTAATTAAGCTGATATAAATAATAAAAAAAAAGATCCTTTTATTTCTGCTCTGAATTGAGCCTGATTGTTTGAGCTGCAGGATTCACCAGGGACAGCAGTTCCTTATTTCTCATCTCTGATAACGACAGCAGGGATTCTCCATCAAAATCAACCTCCCATCAAACATTTTGTTGTTGCTGATGAAGTCACAGGGCAGTTAATTAGATATTTCTGCACTGGGATTTCACAACGAACACCTACTTTACGCTCAGCTTTGGGGAATAAAGCACTTTTCCCTGCTCAAATATCAAATTTTTTTAACGTTGCATGGTTAATGACAAATTTTGTGCTGCATGTTATCATTTTAGTTTTTTTCTATTCATGTGTCTTATTGCTCTTTTACTTATTTCTATAATTTGACTGGAACACACACCCCTGAAAGCGAACACTAGAAACACACTAACATCATCTCACAACCCTCTCAGGCTTGATTATGAACAATCTGTTAGTAAATAATTTGGTGTTTGGGTGTTTGTTTGCCGGCTGTTCTTGTGTTTGTCTGCAAAGGGGTTGTTGTGTAGCAGGGAATACTGAGAAGGTATAAGAAGAGCTGGTGCGTCAGCCTCGTTGCAGATCAGCGAACCCATCTGTCATTGCTAATGTTTTGACGTGTCACTGCAGATGTTCAGGAGGGCATAGGATATTAATGGAGTGTTGTCTCTGCACCTCATTTCACCTGATGAATATCAACAAAGATTTAAGACAACACAGAGAGGAGAGAAGATATACGCAAAGAAAGGGGAGCTGGGGAGGAAATAACGTACATATTTTTGGGCACAATCTGACCTTTTTGATCACTGAAATCTGAATCTTTAAGAAGGAATTTAACCCTCCTGTAGCAGGGGGGAACATAAATCTCTTGGTCCCTTTTAGAAGGAAAGTGTCAATGAAAGTGAGCTCAACAGTTTGGAGTTTTAAAAGAATCATTTCCAGTGAAAATGTCACACCAGGAGCCATTATGTAAAGTAACTATTCTTTGATCCAAAAGTAGAAAGATTAATGTTGGTGGCAAATCTACTCTCTACAGCACTGTATGTGTGTGGGAGCCAGTTTAGTATGCATATATGGAGTATTTGTTATATGTAAATATTAAGTGCACACATGCAATGATTTGCTCACTTTCAACACTTCGTGGTGCCGTTAAAGGTCACAAGTGAATACAAAATTAGTAGGTAGGAGGATCACACAGTTTTCTCCATAATAATTATCACCCGTTACACCTGCAGTAAACTGATCTGAACTTGTAATACAGGTAAGATGAGACATTTTTCATATTTCAGATCACTACATCAAGACTCTTATAGTTTTGTCTCAAACTTGTGAATCTGTATATATTTCAAGATGTTGCGAAGCTTGTAAACCTCTGGAGACATTAAGCTAAAATGGTGGACTTTTATACTAGGTTTTGACCTCATGTTGTAGCTCATAGATACCACAGTAGATGTATAAAACAAATTTAAAATGATCGTTTTTGGTCTGAACACAATTCTAGTAAAACTTATGACAGACTAAATTCACTTTCTAGAGTGAAAAATGTTTTTTTTTTTTTTTTTAAATAAATGTCTAACTTCTTCACCCATGTGCTTCTAACCTTCACAGACTCCATGAATTGATGTCCATCTCCTAAATATTTGGTCACATGATCAACTTCTTTGACCATTATCAAGCAACAGGGGGTGGCTCAACTTACCCCACTGTCCCCTATAGATCTTCACGGTCATTAAACTGGAATGCTGAACTAGACAATGACGACTGTAGTACAAGCAGGGCTGAAAGTAAGCCGGTATGCAGCGGTACGTCGTACCGTGAAGACATAAACAACAGTTTACAGCCAGTATGCAGCGGTAGACAAACTTTCACGTAAATCTTTCATGTATGTAGGCTACATTTGCTTACCGTGTTGCCGCACGTCAGTCTGCACTCTCCATTGTAACGGCAGTAATCCAACAGGACCATGCTCCTTTTGAGTGAGTTGTATTTGCTTCCGCAAACAAACAAACTGCAGAAATTTGGAGCTCTCAGGGCGCACTTTTGATTGGACGCTGGTTGCCTAGGAGCTGTGGACCGCCTTCCGCCTTTTCCGGAAGAAAGGAATTTTTAAAGAGACAGCTGCTTCAGTTTTAATGCCGAAATCAAACAAAATGCAGAGAAAACTTGATTTTATGCTCAAGAGAAAGTGAGATGCAGCAGATGATGATACTTTGGCACCAGAGTCAGTACGTCGTTAAACTTGGGTGTGCTACTCTTGTACAAAGCCCACTGGTACAGTACCTGCAAGAACCTCATCCTACATTCACCCCTGGGTACAAGCTGAATTTTTTCTGCATGCAATATCTGACTTGTTATATGAGAATCAAAATGTTGACGGGTTTCTTGTGTACAAACAATACAAGGTGTGTGCGCAACCAGGGGGCAAAAGCCTGCTTTAGAGTGAACTGATATCAATGAAGATGCCGTATTGTGTGCAAGTTCTCCCAGACACAATTGCAATAAAAAGACATTTCATTGAAAAATCACTTTGTCTTTCATTGTATCACAAATCTGAAAAACACTTGCTGAAGTGTCCATGAATTTCAGTCAACTTACCAGGTTGCAACTTTGATCCCTCTGCTCATCTCAGCATACAAACAGGCCACAGAAGATAGCCATATATGGTCAAACAAAATAGACAGGCACACAGCTTTGATTCATTGTGTGTTATCAAGTCCACTTAGACGTGCTCTCAGGGGCAGGTGGTGCAGTTAAGAGGATGCTCTTTTCTTACTCATTCTTCTGGGATTACTCGTATACTGTTTTTGAATAAACAACACTTGCACCATTCTTGTTATTTTATTTTCGCATCTGTGCAACAGACTGGAAAAGAAATCAATCTTGATAAATCATGAACTGGCAAGATCATTAATCCATGGCATTAGCCTGCAGGCCCACCATGTGTAATTGCAGTGCCTAGAGAAAAATCCCCCTAGGCTCTTGTTCAGCTAAATTAACCCTTAACACATATAGGTCCATGTCTCCACATATAAAACTCCACAGTGAAAACAAGTTATTTTTGGCAGCACAGACATTTATCAGTCAGTAGACTGATAAGAAAAACTGTCTGTATGGCTTAGTCACAGCCTCTTCAGCAATGTTGTCTAAAACTAAGTCAAAATTAATACAGAGGCTGTCAATGTCAATATTATAAGAGCATTCCCTCAAGTGCTTTACTCTGAATTAATCTGTTTTCTGACACTAGATAGTGGATAAGACTATGTATGCAGGACCAGATCATGGGGGGTCTGGGCCCCGAGGCCAGGAGTTTGCAAGGCAAACTCTCAAACTATTTCTACTGCATACATGAATACTAATTTCACTACATGACTACTAATATCACTACTATGACTACTTATCATACTACCAGTAGAACAACAAATTAAACTTATGCCACTTCTCACCTTCCTGCCTTTTAAGGTAATTTACTACAGAACAGAGCTTTGCAGTTTGTACAGTTATTGCCAAGTACCCAGAACTGATAATCAGGCCTTTAGGCTGGTTGAATAAAAAAAGTGATGGTTGGAAAATTATGGAAGTGTTTTCTTATTTGTGTTTTTACATTTTGGAGGAGTTGACAGATGAAGACAAGGATTGGCATTTTTCCAGTGTGATTAGACCAAGAAAATTGGAACCAGTGAAATGCATGTGCTTTGAGCAGGAGTTGAACCTGCAACCTTTGCATCAAAGCAATTCATAGGAGCTTCCTATAGCCGTCTGCTCTACAAACTGAGCTATCAAGGTGCTCTCCACTCATGAGTGCAGAAAACATAGTGGCTGAGGTGACACACTTTGCCCACACAACTATTAGACCCACATGGTCAATGAAAAGCCCAGCCCTACCTGCAGAACAAAGCGTTGCAGTTTGTAGCCAACAGTCATTGCCAAGGATCCAGAACTGATAATCAGGACTTTTAAGCTGGGCTTTTGATTGACATGGCCAATGAAAAGCCCAGTCCTACTTTCAGAACAGAGCTTTGCAGTTTGTACCCAACAGTTATTGCCAAGGACCCAGAACTGATAATCAGGCCTTTAGGCTGGGTGAATAAAAAAAGTGATGGTTGGAAAATTAAGCAATAGTTTTCTTTTTTGTGGTTTTACATTTTGGAGGAGTTGACAGATGAAGACAATGATTAGCATTATTTCAGTGTGATTGGACAAAGAACATTGGCACCAATGAAATGCTTGTGCTTTGAGCAGGAGTTGAACCTGCAACCTTTGCATCAAAGCAATTCATAGGAGGTTCCTATAGCCCTCTGCTCTACAAACTGAGCTATCAAGGTGCTCTCCACTCAAGAGTGCAGAAAACATAGTGGCTGAGGCGACACACTTTGCCCACACAACTATTCGACCCACATGGCCAATCAAAAGCCCAGTCCTACTTTCAGAACAGAGCTTTGCAGTTTGTACCCAACAGTTATTGCCAAGGACCCAGAACTGATAATCAGGCCTTTAGGCTGGGTGAATAAAAAAAAGTGATGGTTGGAAAATTAAGCAATAGTTTTCTTTTTTGTGGTTTTACATTTTGGAGGAGTTGACAGATGAAGACAATGATTAGCATTATTTCAGTGTGATTGGACAAAGAACATTGGCACCAATGAAATGCTTGTGCTTTGAGCAGGAGTTGAACCTGCAACCTTTGCATCAAAGCAATTCATAGGAGGTTCCTATAGCCCTCTGCTCTACAAACTGAGCTATCAAGGTGCTCTCCACTCATGAGTGCAGAAAACATAGTGGCTGAGGCGACACACTTTGCCCACACAACTATTCGACCCACATGGTCAATGAAAAGCCCAGCCCTACCTTCAGAACAGAGCTTTGCAGTTTGTACCCAACAATTAATGCCAAGGACCCAGAACTGATAATCAGGCCTTTAGGCTGGGTGAATAAAAAAAGTGATGGTTGGAAAATTAAGCAATAGTTTTCTTTTTTGTTTTTTTTTATATTTTGGAGGAGTTGACAGATGAAGACAAGGATTGGCATTATTTCAGTGTGATTAGACCAAGAACATTGGCACCAATGAAATGCATGTGTTTAGAACGGGAGTTGAATATGCGACCTTTACAACAAAGCACTTGTTAGGAGTTTACCATAGCCCTCTGCTCTACCAAATGAGCTATCAAGGTGCTCTCCACTCACAAGTGCAGAAAACATAGTGGCTGAGGCGACACACTTTGCCCAAACAACTATAAGACCCACATGGTCAATGAAAAGCCCAGCCCTACCCGCAGAACAAAGCTTTGCAGTTTGTACCCAACAGTCATTGCCAGAGACCCAAAACTGATAATCAGGATTTTTAGGCTGGGCTTTTGATTGACATGGCCAATCAAAAGCCCAGTCCTACCTTCAGAACAGAGCTTTGCAGTTTGTACCCAACAGTTATTGCCAAGGACCCAGAACTGATAATCAGGCCTTTAGGCTGGGTGAATAAAAAAAGTGATGGTTGGAAAATTAAGCAATAGTTTTCTTTTTTGTGTTTTTACATTTTGGAGGAGTTGACAGATGAAGACAAGGATTTGCATTATTTCAGTTCAATTAGACGAAGAACATTGACACCAATGAAATGCATGTGCTTACAGCAGGAGTTGAAGCTGCGACCTTTGCATCACAGCACTTGACAGGAGTTTCCCATAGCCCTCTGCTGTACCAACTGAGCTATCAAGGTGCTGCCTACTCCAATTGCAGAAAACATAGTGGCTATGATGACACACTTTGCCCACACAACTAATCAACCTACATGGTCAGTGAAAAGCCCAGCCCTACCTTCAGAGCACAGCTTCTCAGTTTGTACCCAACAGTCATTGCCAGGGACCCAGAACTGATAATCAGGACTTTTAGGCTGGGTGAATAAAAAATTGACGGTTGGAAAATATAGTAGGAGTTATTTTGTTTGTGTTTCTAAATTTTGGAGGAGCTGACAGATGAAGACAAGGCTTGCTTTGAGCGGGAGTTGAACCGGCGACCTTGGAACGACAGCACTTCATAGGAGGAAATGCCTACAGTCCTCTGCTCTACCAACTGAGCTATCAAGGTGCTGTCTACTCCAAGTGCAGAAAACATAGTGGCTATGATGACACACTTTGCCCACACAACTAATCCACCTACATGGTCAGTGAAAAGCCCAGCCCTACCTTCAGAGCACAGCTTCTCAGTTTGTACCCAACAGTCATTGCCAGGGACCCAGAACTGATAATCAGGACTTTTAGGCTGGGTGAATAAAAAATTGATGGTTGGAAAATAAAGTAGGAGTTATCTTGTTTGTGTTTTTAAATTTTGGAGGAGCTGACAGATGAACACAAGGCTTGCTTTGAGCGGGAGTTGAACCAGCGACCCTGGAACGACAGCACTTCATAGGAGGAACTGCCTACAGTCCTGTGCTCTACCAACTGAGCTATCAAGGTGCTGTCTACTCCAAGTGCAGAAAACATAGTGGCTATGATGACACACTTTGCCCACACAACTAATCCACCTACATGGTCAGTGAAAAGCCCAGCCCTACCTTCAGAGCACAGCTTCTCAGTTTGTACCCAACAGTCATTGCCAGGGACCCAGAACTGATAATCAGGACTTTTAGGCTGGGTGAATAAAAAATTGACGGTTGGAAAATAAAGTAGGAGTTATCTTGTTTGTGTTTTTAAATTTTGGAGGAGCTGACAGATGAACACAAGGCTTGCTTTGAGCGGGAGTTGAACCAGCGACCTTGGAACCACAGCACTTCATAGGAGGAACTGCCTACAGTCCTCTGCTCTACCAACTGAGCTATCAAGGTGCTGTCTACTCCAAGTGCAGAAAACATAGTGGCTATGATGACACACTTTGCCCACACAACTAATCCACCTACATGGTCAGTGAAAAGCCCAGCCCTACCTTCAGAGCACAGCTTCTCAGTTTGTACCCAACAGTCATTGCCAGGGACCCAGAACTGATAATCAGGACTTTTAGGCTGGGTGAACAAAAAATTGACGGTTGGAAAATAAAGTAGGAGTTATCTTGTTTGTGTTTTTAAATTTTGGAGGAGCTGACAGATGAACACAAGGCTTGCTTTGAGCGGGAGTTGAACCAGCGACCTTGGAACCACAGCACTTCATAGGAGGAACTGCCTACAGTGCTCTGCTCTACCAACTGAGCTATCAAGGTGCTGTCTACTCCAAGTGCAGAAAACATAGTGGCTATGATGACACACTTTGCCCACACAACTAATCCACCTACATGGTCAGTGAAAAGCCCAGCCCTACCTTCAGAGCGCAGCTTCTCAGTTTGTACCCAACAGTCATTGCCAGGGACCCAGAACTGATAATCAGGACTTTTAGGCTGGGTGAATAAAAAATTGACGGTTGGAAAATAAAGTAGGAGTTATCTTGTTTGTGTTTTTAAATTTTGGAGGAGCTGACAGATGAACACAAGGCTTGCTTTGAGCGGGAGTTGAACCAGCGACCTTGGAACCACAGCACTTCATAGGAGGAACTGCCTACAGTCCTCTGCTCTACCAACTGAGCTATCAAGGTGCTGTCTACTCCAAGTGCAGAAAACATAGTGGCTATGATGACACACTTTGCCCACACAACTAATCCACCTACATGGTCAGTGAAAAGCCCAGCCCTACCTTCAGAGCACAGCTTCTCAGTTTGTACCCAACAGTCATTGCCAGGGACCCAGAACTGATAATCAGGACTTTTAGGCTGGGTGAATAAAAAATTGATGGTTGGAAAATAAAGTAGGAGTTATCTTGTTTGTGTTTTTAAATTTTGGAGGAGCTGACAGATGAACACAAGGCTTGCTTTGAGCAGGAGTTGAACCAGCGACCCTGGAACGACAGCACTTCATAGGAGGAACTGCCTACAGTCCTCTGCTCTACCAACTGAGCTATCAAGGTGCTGTCTACTCCAAGTGCAGAAAACATAGTGGCTATGATGACACACTTTGCCCACACAACTAATCCACCTACATGGTCAGTGAAAAGCCCAGCCCTACCTTCAGAGCACAGCTTCTCAGTTTGTACCCAACAGTCATTGCCAGGGACCCAGAACTGATAATCAGGACTTTAAGGCTGGGTGAATAAAAAATTGATAGTTGGAAAATAAAGTAGGAGTTATCTTGTTTGTGTTTTTAAATTTTGGAGGAGCTGACAGATGAACACAAGGCTTGGTTTGAGCAGGAGTTGAACCAGCGACCTTGGAACCACAGCACTTCATAGGAGGAACTGCCTACAGTCCTCTGCTCTACCAACTGAGCTATCAAGGTGCTGTCTACTCCAAGTGCAGAAAACATAGTGGCTATGATGACACACTTTGCCCACACAACTAATCCACCTACATGGTCAGTGAAAAGCCCAGCCCTACCTTCAGAGCACAGCTTCTCAGTTTGTACCCAACAGTCATTGCCAGGGACCCAGAACTGATAATCAGGACTTTTAGGCTGGGTGAATAAAAAATTGATGGTTGGAAAATAAAGTAGGAGTTACCTTGTTTGTGTTTTTAAATTTTGGAGGAGCTGACAGATGAACACAAGGCTTGCTTTGAGCGGGAGTTGAATCAGTGACCTTGGAACCACAGCACTTCATAGGAGGAACTGCCTACAGTCCTCTGCTCTACCAACTGAGCTATCAAGGTGCTGTCTACTCCAAGTGCAGAAAACATAGTGGCTATGATGACACACTTTGCCCACACAACTAATCCACCTACATGGTCAGTGAAAAGGCCAGCCCTACCTTCAGAGCGCAGCTTCTCAGTTTGTACCCAACAGTCATTGCCAGGGACCCAGAACTGATAATCAGGACTTTTAGGCTGGGTGAATAAAAAATTGATGGTTGGAAAATAAAGTAGGAGTTATCTTGTTTGTGTTTTTAAATTTTGGAGGAGCTGACAGATGAACACAAGGCTTGCTTTGAGCGGGAGTTGAACCAGCGACCCTGGAACGACAGCACTTCATAGGAGGAACTGCCTACAGTCCTCTGCTCTACCAACTGAGCTATCAAGGTGCTGTCTACTCCAAGTGCAGAAAACATAGTGGCTATGATGACACACTTTGCCCACACAACTAATCCACCTACATGGTCAGTGAAAAGCCCAGCCCTACCTTCAGAGCGCAGCTTCTCAGTTTGTACCCAACAGTCATTGCCAGGGACCCAGAACTGATAATCAGGACTTTTAGGCTGGGTGAATAAAAAATTGATGGTTGGAAAATAAAGTAGGAGTTATCTTGTTTGTGTTTTTAAATTTTAGAGGAGCTGACAGATGAAGACAAGGCTTGCTTTGAGCGGGAGTTGAACAAGCCACCCTGGAACGACAGCACTTCATAGGAGGAACTGCCTACAGTCGTCTGCTCTACCAACTGAGCTATCAAGGTGCTGTCTACTCCAAGTGCAGAAAACATAGTGGCTATGATGACACACTTTGCCCACACAACTAATCCACCTACATGGTCAGTGAAAAGCCCAGCCCTACCTTCAGAGCACAGCTTCTCAGTTTGTACCCAACAGTCATTGCCAGGGACCCAGAACTGATAATCAGGACTTTTAGGCTGGGTGAATAAAAAATTGATGGTTGGAAAATAAAGTAGGAGTTACCTTGTTTGTGTTTTTAAATTTTGGAGGAGCTGACAGATGAACACAAGGCTTGCTTTGAGCGGGAGTTGAATCAGTGACCTTGGAACCACAGCACTTCATAGGAGGAACTGCCTACAGTCCTCTGCTCTACCAACTGAGCTATCAAGGTGCTGTCTACTCCAAGTGCAGAAAACATAGTGGCTATGATGACACACTTTACCCACACAACTAATCCACCTACATGGTCAGTGAAAAGGCCAGCCCTACCTTCAGAGCGCAGCTTCTCAGTTTGTACCCAACAGTCATTGCCAGGGACCCAGAACTGATAATCAGGACTTTTAGGCTGGGTGAATAAAAAATTGATGGTTGGAAAATAAAGTAGGAGTTATCTTGTTTGTGTTTTTAAATTTTGGAGGAGCTGACAGATGAACACAAGGCTTGCTTTGAGCGGGAGTTGAACCAGCGACCCTGGAACGACAGCACTTCATAGGAGGAACTGCCTACAGTCCTCTGCTCTACCAACTGAGCTATCAAGGTGCTGTCTACTCCAAGTGCAGAAAACATAGTGGCTATGATGACACACTTTGCCCACACAACTAATCCACCTACATGGTCAGTGAAAAGCCCAGCCCTACCTTCAGAGCGCAGCTTCTCAGTTTGTACCCAACAGTCATTGCCAGGGACCCAGAACTGATAATCAGGACTTTTAGGCTGGGTGAATAAAAAATTGATGGTTGGAAAATAAAGTAGGAGTTATCTTGTTTGTGTTTTTAAATTTTAGAGGAGCTGACAGATGAAGACAAGGCTTGCTTTGAGCGGGAGTTGAACAAGCGCCCCTGGAACGACAGCACTTCATAGGAGGAACTGCCTACAGTCGTCTGCTCTACCAACTGAGCTATCAAGGTGCTGTCTACTCCAAGTGCAGAAAACATAGTGGCTTTGATGACACACTTTGCCCACACAACTAATCCACCTACATGGTCAGTGAAAAGGCCAGCCCTACCTTCAGAGCACAGCTTCTCAGTTTGTACCCAACAGTCATTGCCAGGGACCCAGAACTGATAATCAGGACTTTTAGGCTGGGTGAATAAAAAATTGACGGTTGGAAAATAAAGTAGGAGTTATCTTGTTTGTGTTTTTAAATTTTTGAGGAGCTGACAGATGAAGACAAGGCTTGCTTTGAGCGGGAGTTGAACCAGCGACCTTGGAACGACAGCACTTCATAGGAGGAACTGCCTACAGTCCTCTGCTCTACCAACTGAGCTATCAAGGTGCTGTCTACTCCAAGTGCAGAAAACATAGTGGCTATGATGACACACTTTGCCCACACAACTAATCCACCTACATGGTCAGTGAAAAGCCCAGCCCTACCTTCAGAGCACAGCTTCTCAGTTTGTACCCAACAGTCATTGCCAGGGACCCAGAACTGATAATCAGGACTTTTAGGCTGGGTGAACAAAAAATTGACGGTTGGAAAATAAAGTAGGAGTTATCTTGTTTGTGTTTTTAAATTTTGGAGGAGCTGACAGATGAACACAAGGCTTGCTTTGAGCGGGAGTTGAACCAACGACCTTGGAACGAGAGCACTTCATAGGAGGAACTGCCTACAGTCCTCTGCTCTACCAACTGAGCTATCAAGGTGCTGTCTAGTCCAAGTGCAGAAAACATAGTGGCTATGATGACACACTTTGCCCACACAACTAATCCACCTACATGGTCAGTGAAAAGCCCAGCCCTACCTTCAGAGCACAGCTTCTCAGTTTGTACCCAACAGTCATTGCCAGGGACCCAGAACTGATAATCAGGACTTTTAGGCTGGGTGAATAAAAAATTGATGGTTGGAAAATAAAGTAGGAGTTATCTTGTTTGTGTTTTTAAATTTTGGAGGAGCTGACAGATGAACACAAGGCTTGCTTTGAGCGGGAGTTGAACCAGCGACCCTGGAACGACAGCACTTCATAGGAGGAACTGCCTACAGTCCTGTGCTCTACCAACTGAGCTATCAAGGTGCTGTCTACTCCAAGTGCAGAAAACAAAGTGGCTATGATGACACACTTTGCCCACACAACTAATCCACCTACATGGTCAGTGAAAAGCCCAGCCCTACCTTCAGAGCACAGCTTCTCAGTTTGTACCCAACAGTCATTTCCAGGGACCCAGAACTGATAATCAGGACTTTTAGGCTGGGTGAATAAAAAATTGACGGTTGGAAAATAAAGTAGGAGTTATCTTGTTTGTGTTTTTAAATTTTTGAGGAGCTGACAGATGAACACAAGGCTTGCTTTGAGCGGGAGTTGAACCAGCGACCTTGGAACCACAGCACTTCATAGGAGGAACTGCCTACAGTCCTCTGCTCTACCAACTGAGCTATCAAGGTGCTGTCTACTCCAAGTGCAGAAAACATAGTGGCTATGATGACACACTTTGCCCACACAACTAATCCACCTACATGGTCAGTGAAAAGCCCAGACCTACCTTCAGAGCACAGCTTCTCAGTTTGTACCCAACAGTCATTGCCAGGGACCCAGAACTGATAATCAGGACTTTTAGGCTGGGTGAACAAAAAATTGACGGTTGGAAAATAAAGTAGGAGTTATCTTGTTTGTGTTATTAAATTTTGGAGGAGCTGACAGATGAACACAAGGCTTGCTTTGAGCGGGAGTTGAACCAGCGACCTTGGAACCATAGCACTTCATAGGAGGAACTGCCTACAGTCCTCTGCTCTACCAACTGAGCTATCAAGGTGCTGTCTACTCCAAGTGCAGAAAACATAGTGGCTATGATGACACACTTTGCCCACACAACTAATCCACCTACATGGTCAGTGAAAAGCCCAGCCCTACCTTCAGAGCACAGCTTCTCAGTTTGTACCCAACAGTCATTGCCAGGGACCCAGAACTGATAATCAGGACTTTTAGGCTGGGTGAATAAAAAATTGACGGTTGGAAAATAAAGTAGGAGTTATCTTGTTTGTGTTTTTAAATTTTGGAGGAGCTGACAGATGAACACAAGGCTTGCTTTGAGCGGGAGTTGAACCAGCGACCTTGGAACGACAGCACTTCATAGGAGGAACTGCCTACAGTCCTCTGCTCTACCAACTGAGCTATCAAGGTGCTGTCTACTCCAAGTGCAGAAAACATAGTGGCTATGATGACACACTTTGCCCACACAACTAATCCACCTACATGGTCAGTGAAAAGCCCAGCCCTACCTTCAGAGCACAGCTTCTCAGTTTGTACCCAACAGTCATTGCCAGGGACCCAGAACTGATAATCAGGACTTTTAGGCTGGGTGAATAAAAAATTGATGGTTGGAAAATAAAGTAGGAGTTATCTTGTTTGTGTTTTTAAATTTTGGAGGAGCTGACAGATGAAGACAAGGCTTGCTTTGAGCGGGAGTTGAACCAGCGACCTTGGAACGACAGCACTTCATAGGAGGAACTGCCTACAGTCCTCTGCTCTACCAACTGAGCTATCAAGGTGCTGTCTACTCCAAGTGCAGAAAACATAGTGGCTATGATGACACACTTTGCCCACACAACTAATCCACCTACATGGTCAGTGAAAAGCCCAGCCCTACCTTCAGAGCACAGCTTCTCAGTTTGTACCCAACAGTCATTGCCAGGGACCCAGAACTGATAATCAGGACTTTTAGGCTGGGTGAATAAAAAATTGACGGTTGGAAAATAAAGTAGGAGTTATCTTGTTTGTGTTTTTAAATTTTGGAGGAGCTGACAGATGAAGACAAGGCTTGCTTTGAGCGGGAGTTGAACCAGCGACCTTGGAACGACAGCACTTCATAGGAGGAACTGCCTACAGTCCTCTGCTCTACCAACTGAGCTATCAAGGTGCTGTCTACTCCAAGTGCAGAAAACATAGTGGCTATGATGACACACTTTGCCCACACAACTAATCCACCTACATGGTCAGTGAAAAGCCCAGCCCTACCTTCAGAGCACAGCTTCTCAGTTTGTACCCAACAGTCATTGCCAGGGACCCAGAACTGATAATCAGGACTTTTAGGCTGGGTGAATAAAAAATTGACGGTTGGAAAATAAAGTAGGAGTTATCTTGTTTGTGTTTTTAAATTTTGGAGGAGCTGACAGATGAAGACAAGGCTTGCTTTGAGCGGGAGTTGAACCAGCGACCTTGGAACGACAGCACTTCATAGGAGGAACTGCCTACAGTCCTCTGCTCTACCAACTGAGCTATCAAGGTGCTGTCTACTCCAAGTGCAGAAAACATAGTGGCTATGATGACACACTTTGCCCACACAACTAATCCACCTACATGGTCAGTGAAAAGCCCAGCCCTACCTTCAGAGCACAGCTTCTCAGTTTGTACCCAACAGTCATTGCCAGGGACCCAGAACTGATAATCAGGACTTTTAGGCTGGGTGAATAAAAAATTGATGGTTGGAAAATAAAGTAGGAGTTATCTTGTTTGTGTTTTTAAATTTTGGAGGAGCTGACAGATGAAGACAAGGCTTGCTTTGAGCGGGAGTTGAACCAGCGACCTTGGAACGACAGCACTTCATAGGAGGAACTGCCTACAGTCCTCTGCTCTACCAACTGAGCTATCAAGGTGCTGTCTACTCCAAGTGCAGAAAACATAGTGGCTATGATGACACACTTTGCCCACACAACTAATCCACCTACATGGTCAGTGAAAAGCCCAGCCCTACCTTCAGAGCACAGCTTCTCAGTTTGTACCCAACAGTCATTGCCAGGGACCCAGAACTGATAATCAGGACTTTTAGGCTGGGTGAATAAAAAATTGATGGTTGGAAAATAAAGTAGGAGTTATCTTGTTTGTGTTTTTAAATTTTGGAGGAGCTGACAGATGAACACAAGGCTTGCTTTGAGCGGGAGTTGAACCAGCGACCTTGGAACCACAGCACTTCATAGGAGGAACTGCCTACAGTCCTCTGCTCTACCAACTGAGCTATCAAGGTGCTGTCTACTCCAAGTGCAGAAAACATAGTGGCTATGATGACACACTTTGCCCACACAACTAATCCACCTACATGGTCAGTGAAAAGCCCAGCCCTACCTTCAGAGCACAGCTTCTCAGTTTGTACCCAACAGTCATTGCCAGGGACCCAGAACTGATAATCAGGACTTTTAGGCTGGGTGAATAAAAAATTGATGGTTGGAAAATAAAGTAGGAGTTATCTTGTTTGTGTTTTTAAATTTTGGAGGAGCTGACAGATGAACACAAGGCTTGCTTTGAGCGGGAGTTGAACCAGCGACCTTGGAACGACAGCACTTCATAGGAGGAACTGCCTACAGTCCTCTGCTCTACCAACTGAGCTATCAAGGTGCTGTCTACTCCAAGTGCAGAAAACATAGTGGCTATGATGACACACTTTGCCCACACAACTAATCCACCTACATGGTCAGTGAAAAGCCCAGCCCTACCTTCAGAGCACAGCTTCTCAGTTTGTACCCAACAGTCATTGCCAGGGACCCAGAACTGATAATCAGGACTTTTAGGCTGGGTGAATAAAAAATTGATGGTTGGAAAATAAAGTAGGAGTTATCTTGTTTGTGTTTTTAAATTTTGGAGGAGCTGACAGATGAAGACAAGGCTTGCTTTGAGCGGGAGTTGAACCAGCGACCTTGGAACGACAGCACTTCATAGGAGGAACTGCCTACAGTCCTCTGCTCTACCAACTGAGCTATCAAGGTGCTGTCTACTCCAAGTGCAGAAAACATAGTGGCTATGATGACACACTTTGCCCACACAACTAATCCACCTACATGGTCAGTGAAAAGCCCAGCCCTACCTTCAGAGCACAGCTTCTCAGTTTGTACCCAACAGTCATTGCCAGGGACCCAGAACTGATAATCAGGACTTTTAGGCTGGGTGAATAAAAAATTGACGGTTGGAAAATAAAGTAGGAGTTATCTTGTTTGTGTTTTTAAATTTTGGAGGAGCTGACAGATGAAGACAAGGCTTGCTTTGAGCGGGAGTTGAACCAGCGACCTTGGAACCACAGCACTTCATAGGAGGAACTGCCTACAGTCCTCTGCTCTACCAACTGAGCTATCAAGATGCTGTCTACTCCAAGTGCAGAAAACATAGTGGCTATGATGACACACTTTGCCCACACAACTAATCCACCTACATGGTCAGTGAAAAGCCCAGCCCTACCTTCAGAGCACAGCTTCTCAGTTTGTACCCAACAGTCATTGCCAGGGACCCAGAACTGATAATCAGGACTTTTAGGCTGGGTGAATAAAAAATTGATGGTTGGAAAATAAAGTAGGAGTTATCTTGTTTGTGTTTTTAAATTTTGGAGGAGCTGACAGATGAAGACAAGGCTTGCTTTGAGCGGGAGTTGAACCAGCGACCCTGGAACGACAGCACTTCATAGGAGGAACTGCCTACAGTCCTCTGCTCTACCAACTGAGCTATCAAGGTGCTGTCTACTCCAAGTGCAGAAAACATAGTGGCTATGATGACACACTTTGCCCACACAACTAATCCACCTACATGGTCAGTGAAAAGCCCAGCCCTACCTTCAGAGCACAGCTTCTCAGTTTGTACCCAACAGTCATTGCCAGGGACCCAGAACTGATAATCAGGACTTTTAGGCTGGGTGAATAAAAAATTGACGGTTGGAAAATAAAGTAGGAGTTATCTTGTTTGTGTTTTTAAATTTTGGAGGAGCTGACAGATGAAGACAAGGCTTGCTTTGAGCGGGAGTTGAACCAGCGACCTTGGAACCACAGCACTTCATAGGAGGAACTGCCTAGAGTCCTCTGTTCTACCAACTGAGCTATGAGGGTGCTGTCTACTCCAAGTGCAGAAAACATAGTGGCTATGATGACACACTTTGCCCACACAACTAATCCACCTACATGGTCAGTGAAAAGCCCAGCCCTACCTTCAGAGCACAGCTTCTCAGTTTGTACCCAACAGTCATTGCCAGGGACCCAGAACTGATAATCAGGACTTTTAGGCTGGGTGAATAAAAAATTGATGGTTGGAAAATAAAGTAGGAGTTATCTTGTTTGTGTTTTTAAATTTTGGAGGAGCTGACAGATGAAGACAAGGCTTGCTTTGAGCGGGAGTTGAACCAGCGACCTTGGAACCACAGCACTTCATAGGAGGAACTGCCTACAGTCCTCTGCTCTACCAACTGAGCTATCAAGGTGCTGTCTACTCCAAGTGCAGAAAACATAGTGGCTATGATGACACACTTTGCCCACACAACTAATCCACCTACATGGTCAGTGAAAAGCCCAGACCTACCTTCAGAGCACAGCTTCTCAGTTTGTACCCAACAGTCATTGCCAGGGACCCAGAACTGATAATCAGGACTTTTAGGCTGGGTGAATAAAAAATTGACGGTTGGAAAATAAAGTAGGAGTTATCTTGTTTGTGTTTTTAAATTTTGGAGGAGCTGACAGATGAACACAAGGCTTGCTTTGAGCGGGAGTTGAACCAGCGACCTTGGAACCACAGCACTTCATAGGAGGAACTGCCTACAGTCCTCTGCTCTACCAACTGAGCTATCAAGGTGCTGTCTACTCCAAGTGCAGAAAACATAGTGGCTATGATGACACACTTTGCCCACACAACTAATCCACCTACATGGTCAGTGAAAAGCCCAGCCCTACCTTCAGAGCGCAGCTTCTCAGTTTGTACCCAACAGTCATTGCCAGGGACCCAGAACTGATAATCAGGACTTTTAGGCTGGGTGAATAAAAAATTGACGGTTGGAAAATAAAGTAGGAGTTATCTTGTTTGTGTTTTTAAATTTTGGAGGAGCTGACAGATGAACACAAGGCTTGCTTTGAGCGGGAGTTGAACCAGCGACCTTGGAACCACAGCACTTCATAGGAGGAACTGCCTACAGTCCTCTGCTCTACCAACTGAGCTATCAAGGTGCTGTCTACTCCAAGTGCAGAAAACATAGTGGCTATGATGACACACTTTGCCCACACAACTAATCCACCTACATGGTCAGTGAAAAGCCCAGCCCTACCTTCAGAGCACAGCTTCTCAGTTTGTACCCAACAGTCATTGCCAGGGACCCAGAACTGATAATCAGGACTTTTAGGCTGGGTGAATAAAAAATTGATGGTTGGAAAATAAAGTAGGAGTTATCTTGTTTGTGTTTTTAAATTTTGGAGGAGCTGACAGATGAAGACAAGGCTTGCTTTGAGCGGGAGTTGAACCAGCGACGTTGGAACACAGCACTTCATAGGAGGAACTGCCTACAGTCCTCTGCTCTACCAACTGAGGTATCAAGGTGCTGTCTACTCCAAGTGCAGAAAACATAGTGGCTATGATGACACACTTTGCCCACACAACTAATCCACCTACATGGTCAGTGAAAAGCCCAGCCCTACCTTCAGAGCACAGCTTCTCAGTTTGTACCCAACAGTCATTGCCAGGGACCCAGAACTGATAATCAGGACTTTTAGGCTGGGTGAATGAAAAATTGACGGTTGGAAAATAAAGTAGGAGTTATCTTGTTTGTGTTTTTAAATTTTGGAGGAGCTGACAGATGAAGACAAGGCTTGCTTTGAGCGGGAGTTGAACCAGCGACCTTGGAACCACAGCACTTCATAGGAGGAACTGCCTAGAGTTCTCTGTTCTACCAACTGAGCTATCAAGGTGCTGTCTACTCCAAGTGCAGAAAACATAGTGGCTATGATGACAAACTTTGCCCACACAACTAATCCACCTACATGGTCAGTGAAAAGCCCAGCCCTACCTTCAGAGCACAGCTTCTCAGTTTGTACCCAACAGTCATTGCCAGGGACCCAGAACTGATAATCAGGACTTTTAGGCTGGGTGAATAAAAAATTGACGGTTGGAAAATAAAGTAGGAGTTATCTTGTTTGTGTTTTTAAATTTTGGAGGAGCTGACAGATGAAGACAATGCTTGCTTTGAGCGGGATTTGAAACAGCGACCTTGGAACCACAGCACTTCATAGGAGGAACTGCCTACAGTCCTGTGCTCTACCAACTGAGCTATCAAGGTGCTGTCTACTCCAAGTGCAGAAAACATAGTGGCTATGATGACACACTTTGCCCACACAACTAATCCACCGACATGGTCATTGAAAAGCCCAGCCCTATCTTAAGAGCACAGCTTCTCAGTTTGTACCCAACAGTCATTGCCAGGGACCCAGAACTGATAATCAGGACTTTTAGGCTGGGTGAATAAAAAATTGACGGTTAAAAAATAAAGTAGGAGTTATCTTGTTTGTGTTTTTAAATTTTGGAGGAGCTGACAGATGAAGACAAGGCTTGCTTTGAGCGGGAGTTGAACCAGCGACCTTGGAAGCACAGCACTTCATAGGAGGAACTGCCTACAGTCCTCTGCTCTACCAACTGAGCTATCAAGGTGCTGTCTACTCCAAGTGCAGAAAACATAGTGGCTATGATGACACACTTTGCCCACACAACTAATCCACCTACATGGTCAGTGAAAAGCCCAGCCCTACCTTCAGAGCACAGCTTCTCAGTTTGTACCCAACAGTCATTGCCAGACCCAGAACTGATAATCAGGACTTTTAGGCTGGGTGAATAAAAAATTGATGGTTGGAAAATAAAGTAGGAGTTATCTTGTTTGTGTTTTTAAATTTTGGAGGAGCTGACAGATGAACACAAGGCTTGCTTTGAGCGGGAGTTGAACCAGCGACCTTGGAACCACAGCACTTCATAGGAGGAACTGCCTACATTACTCTGCTCTAACAACTGAGCTATCAAGGTGCTGTCTACTCCAAGTGCAGAAAACATAGTGGCTATGATGACACACTTTGCCCACACAACTAATCCACCTACATGGTCAGTGAAAAGCCCAGCCCTACCTTCAGAGCACAGCTTCTCAGTTTGTACCCAACAGTCATTGCCAGGGACCCAGAACTGATAATCAGGACTTTTAGGCTGGGTGAATAAAAAATTGATGGTTGGAAAATAAAGTAGGAGTTATCTTGTTTGTGTTTTTAAATTTTGGAGGAGCTGACAGATGAACACAAGGCTTGCTTTGAGCGGGAGTTGAACCAGCGACCTTGGAACGACAGCACTTCATAGGAGGAACTGCCTACAGTCCTGTGCTCTACCAACTGAGCTATCAAGGTGCTGTCTACTCCAAGTGCAGAAAACATAGTGGCTATGATGACACACTTTGCCCACACAACTAATCCACCTACATGGTCAGTGAAAAGCCCAGCCCTACCTTCAGAGCACAGCTTCTCAGTTTGTACCCAACAGTCATTGCCAGGGACCCAGAACTGATAATCAGGACTTTTAGGCTGGGTGAACAAAAAATTGATGGTTGGAAAATAAAGTAGGAGTTATCTTGTTTGTGTTTTTAAATTTTGGAGGAGCTGACAGATGAAGACAAGGCTTGCTTTGAGCGGGAGTTGAACCAGCGACCTTGGAACGACAGCACTTCATAGGAGGAACTGCCTACAGTCCTCTGCTCTAATAAATGAGCTATCAAGGTGCTGTCTACTCCAAGTGCAGAAAACATAGTGGCTATGATGACACACTTTGCCCACACAACTAATCCACCTACATGGTCAGTGAAAAGCCCAGCCCTACCTTCAGAGCACAGCTTCTCAGTTTGTACCCAACAGTCATTGCCAGGGACCCAGAACTGATAATCAGGACTTTTAGGCTGGGTGAATAAAAAATTGACGGTTGGAAAATAAAGTAGGAGTTATCTTGTTTGTGTTTTTAAATTTTGGAGGAGCTGACAGATGAAGACAAGGCTTGCTTTGAGTGGGAGTTGAACCAGCGACCTTGGAACCACAGCACTTCATAGGAGGAACTGCCTACAGTCCTCTGCTCTACCAACTGAGCTATCAAGATGCTGTCTACTCCAAGTGCAGAAAACATAGTGGCTATGATGACACACTTTGCCCACACAACTAATCCACCTACATGGTCAGTGAAAAGCCCAGCCCTACCTTCAGAGCGCAGCTTCTCAGTTTGTACCCAACAGTCATTGCCAGGGACCCAGAACTGATAATCAGGACTTTTAGGCTGGGTGAATAAAAAATTGATGGTTGGAAAATAAAGTAGGAGTTATCTTGTTTGTGTTTTTAAATTTTGGAGGAGCTGACAGATGAAGACAAGGCTTGCTTTGAGCGGGAGTTGAACCAGCGACCCTGGAACGACAGCACTTCATAGGAGGAACTGCCTACAGTCCTCTGCTCTACCAACTGAGCTATCAAGGTGCTGTCTACTCCAATTGCAGAAAACATAGTGGCTATGATGACACACTTTGCCCACACAACTAATCCACCTACATGGTCAGTGAAAAGCCCAGCCCTACCTTCAGAGCACAGCTTCTCAGTTTGTACCCAACAGTCATTGCCAGGGACCCAGAACTGATAATCAGGACTTTTAGGCTGGGTGAATAAAAAATTGACGGTTGGAAAATAAAGTAGGAGTTATCTTGTTTGTGTTTTTAAATTTTGGAGGAGCTGACAGATGAAGACAAGGCTTGCTTTGAGCGGGAGTTGAACCAGCGACCTTGGAACCACAGCACTTCATAGGAGGAACTGCCTAGAGTCCTCTGTTCTACCAACTGAGCTATGAGGGTGCTGTCTACTCCAAGTGCAGAAAACATAGTGGCTATGATGACACACTTTGCCCACACAACTAATCCACCTACATGGTCAGTGAAAAGCCCAGCCCTACCTTCAGAGCACAGCTTCTCAGTTTGTACCCAACAGTCATTGCCAGGGACCCAGAACTGATAATCAGGACTTTTAGGCTGGGTGAATAAAAAATTGATGGTTGGAAAATAAAGTAGGAGTTATCTTGTTTGTGTTTTTAAATTTTGGAGGAGCTGACAGATGAAGACAAGGCTTGCTTTGAGCGGGAGTTGAACCAGCGACCTTGGAACCACAGCACTTCATAGGAGGAACTGCCTACAGTCCTCTGCTCTACCAACTGAGCTATCAAGGTGCTGTCTACTCCAAGTGCAGAAAACATAGTGGCTATGATGACACACTTTGCCCACACAACTAATCCACCTACATGGTCAGTGAAAAGCCCAGCCCTACCTTCAGAGCACAGCTTCTCAGTTTGTACCCAACAGTCATTGCCAGACCCAGAACTGATAATCAGGACTTTTAGGCTGGGTGAATAAAAAATTGATGGTTGGAAAATAAAGTAGGAGTTATCTTGTTTGTGTTTTTAAATTTTGGAGGAGCTGACAGATGAACACAAGGCTTGCTTTGAGCGGGAGTTGAACCAGCGACCTTGGAACCACAGCACTTCATAGGAGGAACTGCCTACATTACTCTGCTCTACCAACTGAGCTATCAAGGTGCTGTCTACTCCAAGTGCAGAAAACATAGTGGCTATGATGACACACTTTGCCCACACAACTAATCCACCTACATGGTCAGTGAAAAGCCCAGCCCTACCTTCAGAGCACAGCTTCTCAGTTTGTACCCAACAGTCATTGCCAGGGACCCAGAACTGATAATCAGGACTTTTAGGCTGGGTGAATAAAAAATTGATGGTTGGAAAATAAAGTAGGAGTTATCTTGTTTGTGTTTTTAAATTTTGGAGGAGCTGACAGATGAACACAAGGCTTGCTTTGAGCGGGAGTTGAACCAGCGACCTTGGAACCACAGCACTTCATAGGAGGAACTGCCTACAGTCCTGTGCTCTACCAACTGAGCTATCAAGGTGCTGTCTACTCCAAGTGCAGAAAACATAGTGGCTATGATGACACACTTTGCCCACACAACTAATCCACCTACATGGTCAGTGAAAAGCCCAGCCCTACCTTCAGAGCACAGCTTCTCAGTTTGTACCCAACAGTCATTGCCAGGGACCCAGAACTGATAATCAGGACTTTTAGGCTGGGTGAACAAAAATTGACGGTTGGAAAATAAAGTAGGAGTTATCTTGTTTGTGTTTTTAAATTTTGGAGGAGCTGACAGATGAAGACAAGGCTTGCTTTGAGCGGGAGTTGAACCAGCGACCTTGGAACGAGAGCACTTCATAGGAGGAACTGCCTACAGTCCTCTGCTCTAACAACTGAGCTATCAAGGTGCTGTCTACTCCAAGTGCAGAAAACATAGTGGCTATGATGACACACTTTGCCCACACAACTAATCCACCTACATGGTCAGTGAAAAGCCCAGCCCTACCTTCAGAGCACAGCTTCTCAGTTTGTACCCAACAGTCATTGCCAGGGACCCAGAACTGATAATCAGGACTTTTAGGCTGGGTGAATAAAAAATTGATGGTTGGAAAATAAAGTAGGAGTTATCTTGTTTGTGTTTTTAAATTTTGGAGGAGCTGACAGATGAAGACAAGGCTTGCTTTGAGTGGGAGTTGAACCAGCGACCTTGGAACCACAGCACTTCATAGGAGGAACTGCCTACAGTCCTCTGCTCTACCAACTGAGCTATCAAGATGCTGTCTACTCCAAGTGCAGAAAACATAGTGGCTATGATGACACACTTTGCCCACACAACTAATCCACCTACATGGTCAGTGAAAAGCCCAGCCCTACCTTCAGAGCGCAGCTTCTCAGTTTGTACCCAACAGTCATTGCCAGGGACCCAGAACTGATAATCAGGACTTTTAGGCTGGGTGAATAAAAAATTGACGGTTGGAAAATAAAGTAGGAGTTATCTTGTTTGTGTTTTTAAATTTTGGAGGAGCTGACAGATGAACACAAGGCTTGCTTTGAGCGGGAGTTGAACCAGCGACCTTGGAACGACAGCACTTCATAGGAGGAACTGCCTACAGTCCTCTGCTCTACCAACTGAGCTATCAAGGTGCTGTCTACTCCAAGTGCAGAAAACATAGTGGCTATGATGACACACTTTGCCCACACAACTAATCCACCTACATGGTCAGTGAAAAGCCCAGCCCTACCTTCAGAGCACAGCTTCTCAGTTTGTACCCAACAGTCATTGCCAGGGACCCAGAACTGATAATCAGGACTTTTAGGCTGGGTGAATAAAAAATTGACGGTTGGAAAATAAAGTAGGAGTTATCTTGTTTGTGTTTTTAAATTTTTGAGGAGCTGACAGGATGAAGACAAGGCTTGCTTTGAGCGGGAGTTGAAGCAGCGACCTTGGAACGACAGCACTTCATAGGAGGAACTGCCTACAGTCCTCTGCTCTACCAACTGAGCTATCAAGGTGCTGTCTACTCCAAGTGCAGAAAACATAGTGGCTATGATGACACACTTTGCCCACACAACTAATCCACCTACATGGTCAGTGATAAGCCCAGCCCTACCTTCAGAGCACAGCTTCTCAGTTTGTACCCAACAGTCATTGCCAGGGACCCAGAACTGATAATCAGGACTTTTAGGCTGGGTGAACAAAAAATTGACGGTTGGAAAATAAAGTAGGAGTTATCTTGTTTGTGTTTTTAAATTTTGGAGGAGCTGACAGATGAACACAAGGCTTGCTTTGAGCGGGAGTTGAACCAGCGACCTTGGAACGAGAGCACTTCATAGGAGGAACTGCCTACAGTCCTCTGCTCTAACAACTGAGCTATCAAGGTGCTGTTTACTCCAAGTGCAGAAAACATAGTGGCTATGATGACACACTTTGCCCACACAACTAATCCACCTACATGGTCAGTGAAAAGCCCAGCCCTACCTTCAGAGCACAGCTTCTCAGTTTGTACCCAACAGTCATTGCCAGGGACCCAGAACTGATAATCAGGACTTTTAGGCTGGGTGAATAAAAAATTGACGGTTGGAAAATAAAGTAGGAGTTATCTTGTTTGTGTTTTTAAATTTTGGAGGAGCTGACAGATGAAGACAAGGCTTGCTTTGAGCGGGATTTGAAACAGCGACCTTGGAACCACAGCACTTCATAGGAGGAACTGCCTACAGTCCTCTGCTCTACCAACTGAGCTATCAAGGTGCTGTCTACTCCAAGTGCAGAAAACATAGTGGCTATGATGACACACTTTGCCCACACAACTAATCCACCTACATGGTCAGTGAAAAGCCCAGCCCTACCTTCAGAGCACAGCTTCTCAGTTTGTACCCAACAGTCATTGCCAGGGACCCAGAACTGATAATCAGGACTTTTAGGCTGGGTGAATAAAAAATTGATGGTTGGAAAATAAAGTAGGAGTTATCTTGTTTGTGTTTTTAAATTTTGGAGGAGCTGACAGATGAAGACAAGGCTTGCTTTGAGCGGGATTTGAACCAGCGACCTTGGAACGACAGCACTTCATAGGAGGAACTGCCTACAGTCCTCTGCTCTACCAACTGAGCTATCAAGGTGCTGTCTACTCCAAGTGCAGAAAACATAGTGGCTATGATGACACACTTTGCCCACACAACTAATCCACCTACATGGTCAGTGAAAAGCCCAGCCCTACCTTCAGAGCACAGCTTCTCAGTTTGTACCCAACAGTCATTGCCAGGGACCCAGAACTGATAATCAGGACTTTTAGGCTGGGTGAATAAAAAATTGATGGTTGGAAAATAAAGTAGGAGTTATCTTGTTTGTGTTTTTAAATTTTGGAGGAGCTGACAGATGAAGACAAGGCTTGCTTTGAGCGGGAGTTGAACCAGCGACACTGGAACGACAGCACTTCATAGGAGGAACTGCCTACAGTCGTCTGCTCTACCAACTGAGCTATCAAGGTGCTGTCTACTCCAAGTGCAGAAAACATAGTGGCTATGATGACACACTTTGCCCACACAACTAATCCACCTACATGGTCAGTGAAAAGCCCAGCCCTACCTTCAGAGCACAGCTTCTCAGTTTGTACCCAACAGTCATTGCCAGGGACCCAGAACTGATAATCAGGACTTTTAGGCTGGGTGAACAAAAAATTGACGGTTGGAAAATAAAGTAGGAGTTATCTTGTTTGTGTTTTTAAATTTTGGAGGAGCTGACAGATGAAGACAAGGCTTGCTTTGAGCGGGAGTTGAACCAGCGACGTTGGAAGCACAGCACTTCATAGGAGGAACTGCCTACAGTCCTCTGCTCTACCAACTGAGCTATCAAGGTGCTGTCTACTCCAAGTGCAGAAAACATAGTGGCTATGATGACACACTTTGCCCACACAACTAATCCACCTACATGGTCAGTGAAAAGCCCAGCCCTACCTTCAGAGCACAGCTTCTCAGTTTGTACCCAACAGTCATTGCCAGGGACCCAGAACTGATAATCAGGACTTTTAGGCTGGGTGAATGAAAAATTGACGGTTGGAAAATAAAGTAGGAGTTATCTTGTTTGTGTTTTTTAATTTTGGAGGAGCTGACAGATGAAGACAAGGCTTGCTTTGAGCGGGAGTTGAACCAGCGACCTTGGAACCACAACACTTCATAGGAGGAACTGCCTAGAGTCCTCTGTTCTACCAACTGAGCTATCAGGGTGCTGTCTACTCCAAGTGCAGAAAACATAGTGGCTATGATGACACACTTTGCCCACACAACTAATCCACCGACATGGTCAGTGAAAAGGCCAGCCCTACCTTCAGAGCACAGCTTCTCAGTTTGTACCCAACAGTCATTGCCAGGGACCCAGAACTGATAATCAGGACTTTTAGGCTGGGTGAATAAAAAATTGATGGTTGGAAAATAAAGTAGGAGTTATCTTGTTTGTGTTTTTAAATTTTGGAGGAGCTGACAGATGAAGACAAGGCTTGCTTTGAGCGGGAGTTGAACCAGCGACCTTGGAAGCACAGCACTTCATAGGAGGAACTGCCTACAGTCCTCTGCTCTACCAACTGAGCTATCAAGGTGCTGTCTACTCCAAGTGCAGAAAACATAGTGGCTATGATGACACACTTTGCCCACACAACTAATCCACCTACATGGTCAGTGAAAAGCCCAGCCCTACCTTCAGAGCACAGCTTCTCAGTTTGTACCCAACAGTCATTGCCAGACCCAGAACTGATAATCAGGACTTTTAGGCTGGGTGAATAAAAAATTGATGGTTGGAAAATAAAGTAGGAGTTATCTTGTTTGTGTTTTTAAATTTTGGAGGAGCTGACAGATGAACACAAGGCTTGCTTTGAGCGGGAGTTGAACGAGCGACCCTGGAACCACAGCACTTCATAGGAGGAACTGCCTACAGTCCTCTTTTCTACCAACTGAGCTATCAAGGTGCTGTCTGCTCCAAGTGCAGAAAACATAGTGGCTATGATGACACACTTTGCCCACACAACTAATCCACCTACATGGTCAGTGAAAAGCCCAGCCCTACCTTCAGAGCGCAGCTTCTCAGTTTGTACCCAACAGTCATTGCCAGGGACCCAGAACTGATAATCAGGACTTTTAGGCTGGGTGAATAAAAAATTGATGGTTGGAAAATAAAGTAGGAGTTATCTTGTTTGTGTTTTTAAATTTTGGAGGAGCTGACAGATGAAGACAAGGCTTGCTTTGAGCAGGAGTTGAACCAGCGACCTTGGAACGACAGCACTTCATAGGAGGAACTGCCTACAGTCCTCTGCTCTACCAACTGAGCTATCAAGGTGCTGTCTACTCCAAGTGCAGAAAACATAGTGGCTATGATGACACACTTTGCCCACACAACTAATCCACCTACATGGTCAGTGAAAAGCCCAGCCCTACCTTCAGAGCGCAGCTTCTCAGTTTGTACCCAACAGTCATTGCCAGGGACCCAGAACTGATAATCAGGACTTTTAGGCTGGGTGAATAAAAAATTGATGGTTGGAAAATAAAGTAGGAGTTATCTTGTTTGTGTTTTTAAATTTTGGAGGAGCTGACAGATGAAGTCAAGGCTTGCTTTGAGCGGGAGTTGAACCAGCGACCTTGGAACGACAGCACTTCATAGGAGGAACTGCCTACAGTCCTCTGCTCTACCAACTGAGCTATCAAGGTGTTGTCTACTCCAAGTGCAGAAAACATAGTGGCTATGATGACACACTTTGCCCACACAACTAATCCACCTACATGGTCAGTGAAAAGCCCAGCCCTACCTTCAGAGCACAGCTTCTCAGTTTGTACCCAACAGTCATTGCCAGGGACCCAGAACTGATAATCAGGACTTTTAGGCTGGGTGAATTAAAAATTGACGGTTGGAAAATAAAGTAGGAGTTATCTTGTTTGTGTTTTTAAATTTTGGAGGAGCTGACAGATGAACACAAGGCTTGCTTTGAGCGGGAGTTGAACCAGCGACCTTGGAACCACAGCACTTCATAGGAGGAACTGCCTACAGTCCTCTGCTCTACCAACTGAGCTATCAAGGTGCTGTCTACTCCAAGTGCAGAAAACATAGTGGCTATGATGACACACTTTGCCCACACAACTAATCCACCTACATGGTCAGTGAAAAGCCCAGCCCTACCTTCAGAGCACAGCTTCTCAGTTTGTACCCAACAGTCATTGCCAGGGACCCAGAACTGATAATCAGGACTTTTAGGCTGGGTGAATAAAAAATTGATGGTTGGAAAATAAAGTAGGAGTTATCTTGTTTGTGTTTTTAAATTTTGGAGGAGCTGACAGATGAACACAAGGCTTGCTTTGAGCGGGAGTTGAACCAGCGACCCTGGAACGACAGCACTTCATAGGAAGAACTGCCTACAGTCCTCTGCTCTACCAACTGAGCTATCAAGGTGCTGTCTACTCCAAGTGCAGAAAACATAGTGGCTATGATGACACACTTTGCCCACACAACTAATCCACCTACATGGTCAGTGAAAAGCCCAGCCCTACCTTCAGAGCGCAGCTTCTCAGTTTGTACCCAACAGTCATTGCCAGGGACCCAGAACTGATAATCAGGACTTTTAGGCTGGGTGAATAAAAAATTGACGGTTGGAAAATAAAGTAGGAGTTATCTTGTTTGTGTTTTTAAATTTTGGAGGAGCTGACAGATGAAGACAAGGCTTGCTTTGAGCGGGAGTTGAACCAGCGACCTTGGAACCACAGCACTTCATAGGAGGAACTGCCTACAGTCCTCTGCTCTACCAACTGAGCTATCAAGGTGCTGTGCACTGCAAGTCCAGAAAACATAGTGGCTATGATGACACACTTTGCCCACACAACTAATCCACCTACATGGTCAGTGAAAAGCCCAGCCCTACCTTCAGAGCACAGCTTCTCAGTTTGTACCCAACAGTCATTGCCAGGGACCCAGAACTGATAATCAGGACTTTTAGGCTGGGTGAATAAAAAATTGATGGTTGGAAAATAAAGTAGGAGTTATCTTGTTTGTGTTTTTAAATTTTGGAGGAGCAGACAGATGAACACAAGGCTTGCTTTGAGCGGGAGTTAAACCAGCGACCCTGGAACCACAGCACTTCATAGGAGGAACTGCCTACAGTCCTCTGCTCTACCAACTGAGCTATCAAGGTGCTGTCTACTCCAAGTGCAGAAAACATAGTGGCTATGATGACACACTTTGCCCACACAACTAATCCACCTACATGGTCAGTGAAAAGCCCAGCCCTACCTTCAGAGCGCAGCTTCTCAGTTTGTACCCAACAGTCATTGCCAGGGACCCAGAACTGATAATCAGGACTTTTAGGCTGGGTGAATAAAAAATTGATGGTTGGAAAATAAAGTAGGAGTTATCTTGTTTGTGTTTTTAAATTTTGGAGGAGCTGACAGATGAAGACAAGGCGTGCTTTGAGCAGGAGTTGAACCAGCGACCTTGGAACGAAAGCACTTCATAGGAGGAACTGCCTACAGTCCTCTGCTCTACCAACTGAGCTATCAAGGTGCTGTCTACTCCAAGTGCAGAAAACATAGTGGCTATGATGACACACTTTGCCCACACAACTAATCCACCTACATGGTCAGTGAAAAGCCCAGCCCTACCTTCAGAGCACAGCTTCTCAGTTTGTACCCAACAGTCATTGCCAGGGACCCAGAACTGATAATCAGGACTTTTAGGCTGGGTGAATAAAAAATTGATGGTTGGAAAATAAAGTAGGAGTTATCTTGTTTGTGTTTTTAAATTTTGGAGGAGCTGACAGATGAACAGAAGGCTTGCTTTGAGCGGGAGTTGAACCAGCGACCTTGGAACCACAGCACTTCATAGGAGGAACTGCCTACAGTCCTCTGCTCTACCAACTGAGCTATCAAGGTGCTGTCTACTCCAAGTGCAGAAAACATAGTGGCTATGATGACACACTTTGCCCACACAACTAATCCACCTACATGGTCAGTGAAAAGCCCAGCCCTACCTTCAGAGCACAGCTTCTCAGTTTGTACCCAACAGTCATTGCCAGGGACCCAGAACTGATAATCAGGACTTTTAGGCTGGGTGAATAAAAAATTGACGGTTGGAAAATAAAGTAGGAGTTATCTTGTTTGTGTTTTTAAATTTTTGAGGAGCTGACAGATGAAGACAAGGCTTGCTTTGAGCGGGAGTTGAAGCAGCGACCTTGGAACGACAGCACTTCATAGGAGGAACTGCCTACAGTCCTCTGCTCTACCAACTGAGCTATCAAGGTGCTGTCTACTCCAAGTGCAGAAAACATAGTGGCTATGATGACACACTTTGCCCACACAACGAATCCACCTACATGGTCAGTGAAAAGCCCAGCCCTACCTTCAGAGCACAGCTTCTCAGTTTGTACCCAACAGTCATTGCCAGGGACCCAGAACTGATAATCAGGACTTTTAGGCTGGGTGAACAAAAAATTGACGGTTGGAAAATAAAGTAGGAGTTATCTTGTTTGTGTTTTTAAATTTTGGAGGAGCTGACAGATGAAGACAAGGCTTGCTTTGAGCGGGAGTTGAACCAGCGACCTTGGAACCACAGCACTTCATAGGAGGAACTGCCTACAGTCCTCTGCTCTAACAACTGAGCTATCAAGATGCTGTCTACTCCAAGTGCAGAAAACATAGTGGCTATGATGACACACTTTGCCCACACAACTAATCCACCTACATGGTCAGTGAAAAGCCCAGCCCTACCTTCAGAGCACAGCTTCTCAGTTTGTACCCAACAGTCATTGCCAGGGACCCAGAACTGATAATCAGGACTTTTAGGCTGGGTGAATAAAAAATTGACGGTTGGAAAATAAAGTAGGAGTTATCTTGTTTGTGTTTTTAAATTTTGGAGGAGCTGAAAGATGAAGACAAGGCTTGCTTTGAGCGGGATTTGAAGCAGCGACCTTGGAACCACAGCACTTCATAGGAGGAACTGCCTACAGTCCTCTGCTCTACCAACTGAGCTATCAAGGTGCTGTCTACTCCAAGTGCAGAAAACATAGTGGCTATGATGACACACTTTGCCCACACAACTAATCCACCTACATGGTCAGTGAAAAGCCCAGCCCTACCTTCAGAGCACAGCTTCTCAGTTTGTACCCAACAGTCATTGCCAGACCCAGAACTGATAATCAGGACTTTTAGGCTGGGTGAATAAAAAATTGATGGTTGGAAAATAAAGTAGGAGTTATCTTGTTTGTGTTTTTAAATTTTGGAGGAGCTGACAGATGAACACAAGGCTTGCTTTGAGCGGGAGTTGAACCAGCGACCTTGGAACCACAGCACTTCATAGGAGGAACTGCCTACATTACTCTGCTCTACCAACTGAGCTATCAAGGTGCTGTCTACTCCAAGTGCAGAAAACATAGTGGCTATGATGACACACTTTGCCCACACAACTAATCCACCTACATGGTCAGTGAAAAGCCCAGCCCTACCTTCAGAGCACAGCTTCTCAGTTTGTACCCAACAGTCATTGCCAGGGACCCAGAACTGATAATCAGGACTTTTAGGCTGGGTGAATAAAAAATTGATGGTTGGAAAATAAAGTAGGAGTTATCTTGTTTGTGTTTTTAAATTTTGGAGGAGCTGACAGATGAAGACAAGGCTTGCTTTGAGCGGGAGTTGAACCAGCGACCTTGGAACCACAGCACTTCATAGGAGGAACTGCCTACAGTCCTGTGCTCTACCAACTGAGCTATCAAGGTGCTGTCTACTCCAAGTGCAGAAAACATAGTGGCTATGATGTCACACTTTGCCCACACAACTAATCCACCAACATGGTCAGTGAAAAGCCCAGCCCTACCTTCAGAGCACAGCTTCTCAGTTTGTACCCAACAGTCATTGCCAGGGACCCAGAACTGATAATCAGGACTTTTAGGCTGGGTGAATAAAAAATTGATGGTTGGAAAATAAAGTAGGAGTTATCTTGTTTGTGTTTTTAAATTTTGGAGGAGCTGACAGATGAAGACAAGGCTTGCTTTGAGCGGGAGTTGAACCAGCGACCTTGGAACCACAGCACTTCATAGGAGGAACTGCCTACAGTCCTGTGCTCTACCAACTGAGCTATCAAGGTGCTGTCTACTCCAAGTGCAGAAAACATAGTGGCTATGATGTCACACTTTGCCCACACAACTAATCCACCAACATGGTCAGTGAAAAGCCCAGCCCTACCTTCAGAGCACAGCTTCTCAGTTTGTACCCAACAGTCATTGCCAGGGACCCAGAACTGATAATCAGGACTTTTAGGCTGGGTGAATAAAAAATTGATGGTTGGAAAATAAAGTAGGAGTTATCTTGTTTGTGTTTTTAAATTTTGGAGGAGCTGACAGATGAACACAAGGCTTGCTTTGAGCGGGAGTTGAACCAGCGACCTTGGAACCACAGCACTTCATAGGAGGAACTGCCTACAGTCCTCTGCTCTACCAACTGAGCTATCAAGGTGCTGTCTACTCCAAGTGCAGAAAACATAGTGGCTATGATGACACACTTTGCCCACACAACTAATCCACCTACATGGTCAGTGAAAAGCCCAGCCCTACCTTCAGAGCGCAGCTTCTCAGTTTGTACCCAACAGTCATTGCCAGGGACCCAGAACTGATAATCAGGACTTTTAGGCTGGGTGAATAAAAAATTGATGGTTGGAAAATAAAGTAGGAGTTATCTTGTTTGTGTTTTTAAATTTTGGAGGAGCTGACAGATGAACACAAGGCTTGCTTTGAGCGGGAGTTGAACCAGCGACCCTGGAACGACAGCACTTCATAGGAGGAACTGCCTACAGTCCTCTGCTCTACCAACTGAGCTATCAAGGTGCTGTCTACTCCAAGTGCAGAAAACATAGTGGCTATGATGACACACTTTGCCCACACAACTAATCCACCTACATGGTCAGTGAAAAGCCCAGCCCTACCTTCAGAGCGCAGCTTCTCAGTTTGTACCCAACAGTCATTGCCAGGGACCCAGAACTGATAATCAGGACTTTTAGGCTGGGTGAATAAAAAATTGATGGTTGGAAAATAAAGTAGGAGTTATCTTGTTTGTGTTTTTAAATTTTGGAGGAGCTGAAAGATGAAGACAAGGCTTGCTTTGAGCGGGAGTTGAACCAGCGACCTTGGAACCACAGCACTTCATAGGAGGAACTGCCTACAGTCCTCTGCTCTACCAACTGAGCTATCAAGGTGCTGTCTACTCCAAGTGCAGAAAACATAGTGGCTATGATGACACACTTTGCCCACACAACTAATCCACCTACATGGTCAGTGAAAAGCCCAGCCCTACCTTCAGAGCACAGCTTCTCAGTTTGTACCCAACAGTCATTGCCAGGGACCCAGAACTGATAATCAGGACTTTTAGGCTGGGTGAATAAAAAATTGACGGTTGGAAAATAAAGTAGGAGTTATCTTGTTTGTGTTTTTAAATTTTGGAGGAGCTGACAGATGAAGACAAGGCTTGCTTTGAGCGGGAGTTGAACCAGCGACCTTGGAACCACAGCACTTCATAGGAGGAACTGCCTAGAGTCCTCTGTTCTACCAACTGAGCTATCAAGGTGCTGTCTACTCCAAGTGCAGAAAACATAGTGGCTATGATGACACACTTTGCCCACACAACTAATCCACCTACATGGTCAGTGAAAAGCCCAGCCCTACCTTCAGAGCGCAGCTTCTCAGTTTGTACCCAACAGTCATTGCCAGGGACCCAGAACTGATAATCAGGACTTTTAGGCTGGGTGAATAAAAAATTGATGGTTGGAAAATAAAGTAGGAGTTATCTTGTTTGTGTTTTTAAATTTTGGAGGAGCTGACAGATGAACACAAGGCTTGCTTTGAGCGGGAGTTGAACCAGCGACCCTGGAACCACAGCACTTCATAGGAGGAACTGCCTACAGTCCTCTGCTCTACCAACTGAGCTATCAAGGTGCTGTCTACTCCAAGTGCAGAAAACATAGTGGCTATGATGACACACTTTGCCCACACAACTAATCCACCTACATGGTCAGTGAAAAGCCCAGCCCTACCTTCAGAGCACAGCTTCTCAGTTTGTACCCAACAGTCATTGCCAGGGACCCAGAACTGATAATCAGGACTTTTAGGCTGGGTGAATAAAAAATTGATGGTTGGAAAATAAAGTAGGAGTTATCTTGTTTGTGTTTTTAAATTTTGGAGGAGCTGACAGATGAACACAAGGCTTGCTTTGAGCGGGAGTTGAAGCAGGGACCTTGGAACGACAGCACTTCATAGGAGGAACTGCCTACAGTCCTGTGCTCTACCAACTGAGCTATCAAGGTGCTGTCTACTCCAAGTGCAGAAAACATAGTGGCTATGATGACACACTTTGCCCACACAACTAATCCACCAACATGGTCAGTGAAAAGCCCAGCCCTACCTTCAGAGCACAGCTTCTCAGTTTGTACCCAACAGTCATTGCCAGGGACCCAGAACTGATAATCAGGACTTTTAGGCTGGGTGAATAAAAAATTGACGGTTGGAAAATAAAGTAGGAGTTATCTTGTTTGTGTTTTTAAATTTTGGAGGAGCTGACAGATGAACACAAGGCTTGCTTTGAGCGGGAGTTGAACCAGCGACCTTGGAACCACAGCACTTCATAGGAGGAACTGCCTACAGTCCTCTGCTCTACCAACTGAGCTATCAAGGTGCTGTCTAGTCCAAGTGCAGAAAACATAGTGGCTATGATGACACACTTTGCCCACACAACTAATCCACCTACATGGTCAGTGAAAAGCCCAGCCCTACCTTCAGAGCGCAGCTTCTCAGTTTGTACCCAACAGTCATTGCCAGGGACCCAGAACTGATAATCAGGACTTTTAGGCTGGGTGAATAAAAAATTGATGGTTGGAAAATAAAGTAGGAGTTATCTTGTTTGTGTTTTTAAATTTTGGAGGAGCTGACAGATGAACACAAGGCTTGCTTTGAGCGGGAGTTGAACCAGTGACCCTGGAACCACAGCACTTCATAGGAGGAACTGCCTACAGTCCTCTGCTCTACCAACTGAGCTATCAAGGTGCTGTCTACTCCAAGTGCAGAAAACATAGTGGCTATGATGACACACTTTGCCCACACAACTAATCCACCTACATGGTCAGTGAAAAGCCCAGCCCTACCTTCAGAGCGCAGCTTCTCAGTTTGTACCCAACAGTCATTGCCAGGGACCCAGAACTGATAATCAGGACTTTTAGGCTGGGTGAATAAAAAATTGATGGTTGGAAAATAAAGTAGGAGTTATCTTGTTTGTGTTTTTAAATTTTGGAGGAGCTGACAGATGAACACAAGGCTTGCTTTGAGCGGGAGTTGAACCAGGGACCTTGGAACGACAGCACTTCATAGGAGGAACTGCCTACAGTCCTGTGCTCTACCAACTGAGCTATCAAGGTGCTGTCTACTCCAAGTGCAGAAAACATAGTGGCTATGATGACACACTTTGCCCACACAACTAATCCACCAACATGGTCAGTGAAAAGCCCAGCCCTACCTTCAGAGCACAGCTTCTCAGTTTGTACCCAACAGTCATTGCCAGGGACCCAGAACTGATAATCAGGACTTTTAGGCTGGGTGAATAAAAAATTGACGGTTGGAAAATAAAGTAGGAGTTATCTTGTTTGTGTTTTTAAATTTTGGAGGAGCTGACAGATGAACACAAGGCTTGCTTTGAGCGGGAGTTGAACCAGCGACCTTGGAACCACAGCACTTCATAGGAGGAACTGCCTACAGTCCTCTGCTCTACCAACTGAGCTATCAAGGTGCTGTCTAGTCCAAGTGCAGAAAACATAGTGGCTATGATGACACACTTTGCCCACACAACTAATCCACCTACATGGTCAGTGAAAAGCCCAGCCCTACCTTCAGAGCGCAGCTTCTCAGTTTGTACCCAACAGTCATTGCCAGGGACCCAGAACTGATAATCAGGACTTTTAGGCTGGGTGAATAAAAAATTGATGGTTGGAAAATAAAGTAGGAGTTATCTTGTTTGTGTTTTTAAATTTTGGAGGAGCTGACAGATGAACACAAGGCTTGCTTTGAGCGGGAGTTGAACCAGTGACCCTGGAACCACAGCACTTCATAGGAGGAACTGCCTACAGTCCTCTGCTCTACCAACTGAGCTATCAAGGTGCTGTCTACTCCAAGTGCAGAAAACATAGTGGCTATGATGACACACTTTGCCCACACAACTAATCCACCTACATGGTCAGTGAAAAGCCCAGCCCTACCTTCAGAGCGCAGCTTCTCAGTTTGTACCCAACAGTCATTGCCAGGGACCCAGAACTGATAATCAGGACTTTTAGGCTGGGTGAATAAAAAATTGATGGTTGGAAAATAAAGTAGGAGTTATCTTGTTTGTGTTTTTAAATTTTGGAGGAGCTGACAGATGAAGACAAGGCTTGCTTTGAGCGGGAGTTGAACAAGCGACCCTGGAACGACAGCACTTCATAGGAGGAACTGCCTACAGTCCTCTGCTCTACCAACTGAGCTATCAAGGTGCTGTCTACTCCAAGTGCAGAAAACATAGTGGCTATGATGACACACTTTGCCCACACAACTAATCCACCTACATGGTCAGTGAAAAGCCCAGCCCTACCTTCAGAGCACAGCTTCTCAGTTTGTACCCAACAGTCATTGCCAGGGACCCAGAACTGATAATCAGGACTTTTAGGCTGGGTGAATAAAAAATTGATGGTTGGAAAATAAAGTAGGAGTTATCTTGTTTGTGTTTTTAAATTTTGGAGGAGCTGACAGATGAACACAAGGCTTGCTTTGAGCGGGAGTTGAACCAGCGACCTTGGAACGACAGCATTTCATAGGAGGAACTGCCTACAGTCCTCTGCTCTACCAACTGAGCTATCAAGGTGCTGTCTACTCCAAGTGCAGAAAACATAGTGGCTATGATGACACACTTTGCCCACACAACTAATCCACCTACATGGTCAGTGAAAAGCCCAGCCCTACCTTCAGAGCACAGCTTCTCAGTTTGTACCCAACAGTCATTGCCAGGGACCCAGAACTGATAATCAGGACTTTTAGGCTAGGTGAATAAAAAATTGACGGTTGGAAAATAAAGTAGGAGTTATCTTGTTTGTGTTTTTAAATTTTGGAGGAGCTGACAGATGAACACAAGGCTTGCTTTGAGCGGGAGTTGAACCAGCGACCTTGGAACCACAGCACTTCATAGGAGGAACTGCCTACAGTCCTCTGCTCTACCAACTGAGCTATCAAGGTGCTGTCTACTCCAAGTGCAGAAAACATAGTGGCTATGATGACACACTTTGCCCACACAACTAATCCACCTACATGGTCAGTGAAAAGCCCAGCCCTACCTTCAGAGCACAGCTTCTCAGTTTGTACCCAACAGTCATTGCCAGGGACCCAGAACTGATAATCAGGACTTTTAGGCTGGGTGAATAAAAAATTGATGGTTGGAAAATAAAGTAGGAGTTATCTTGTTTGTGTTTTTAAATTTTGGAGGAGCTGACAGATGAACACAAGGCTTGCTTTGAGCGGGAGTTGAACCAGCGACCTTGGAACCACAGCACTTCATAGGAGGAACTGCCTACAGTCCTCTGCTCTACCAACTGAGCTATCAAGGTGCTGTCTACTCCAAGTGCAGAAAACATAGTGGCTATGATGACACACTTTGCCCACACAACTAATCCACCTACATGGTCAGTGAAAAGCCCAGCCCTACCTTCAGAGCGCAGCTTCTCAGTTTGTACCCAACAGTCATTGCCAGGGACCCAGAACTGATAATCAGGACTTTTAGGCTGGGTGAATAAAAAATTGATGGTTGGAAAATAAAGTAGGAGTTATCTTGTTTGTGTTTTTAAATTTTGGAGGAGCTGACAGATGAAGACAAGGCTTGCTTTGAGCGGGAGTTGAACCAGCGAACTTGGAACCACAGCACTTCATAGGAGGAACTGCCTACAGTCCTCTGCTCTACCAACTGAGCTATCAAGGTGCTGTCTACTCCAAGTGCAGAAAACATAGTGGCTATGATGACACACTTTGCCCACACAACTAATCCACCTACATGGTCAGTGAAAAGCCCAGCCCTACCTTCAGAGCACAGCTTCTCAGTTTGTACCCAACAGTCATTGCCAGGGACCCAGAACTGATAATCAGGACTTTTAGGCTGGGTGAATAAAAAATTGACGGTTGGAAAATAAAGTAGGAGTTATCTTGTTTGTGTTTTTAAATTTTGGAGGAGCTGACAGATGAAGACAAGGCTTGCTTTGAGCGGGAGTTGAACCAGCAACCTTGGAACCACAGGACTTCATAGGAGGAACTGCCTACAGTCCTCTGTTCTACCAACTGAGCTATCAAGGTGCTGTCTACTCCAAGTGCAGAAAACATAGTGGCTATGATGACACACTTTGCCCACACAACTAATCCACCTACATGGTCAGTGAAAAGCCCAGCCCTACCTTCAGAGCACAGCTTCTCAGTTTGTACCCAACAGTCATTGCCAGGGACCCAGAACTGATAATCAGGACTTTTAGGCTGGGTGAATAAAAAATTGACGGTTGGAAAATAAAGTAGGAGTTATCTTGTTTGTGTTTTTAAATTTTGGAGGAGCTGACAGATGAAGACAAGGCTTGCTTTGAGCGGGAGTTGAACCAGCGACCTTGGAACCACAGCACTTCATAGGAGGAACTGCCTAGAGTCCTCTGTTCTACCAACTGAGCTATCAGGGTGCTGTCTACTCCAAGTGCAGAAAACATAGTGGCTATGATGACACACTTTGCCCACACAACTAATCCACCTACATGGTCAGTGAAAAGCCCAGCCCTACCTTCAGAGCACAGCTTCTCAGTTTGTACCCAACAGTCATTGCCAGGGACCCAGAACTGATAATCAGGACTTTTAGGCTGGGTGAATAAAAAATTGATGGTTGGAAAATAAAGTAGGAGTTATCTTGTTTGTGTTTTTAAATTTTGGAGGAGCTGACAGATGAAGACAAGGCTTGCTTTGAGCGGGAGTTGAACCAGCGACCTTGGAACCACAGCACTTCATAGGAGGAACTGCCTACAGTCCTCTGCTCTACCAACTGAGCTATCAAGGTGCTGTCTACTCCAAGTGCAGAAAACATAGTGGCTATGATGACACACTTTGCCCACACAACTAATCCACCTACATGGTCAGTGAAAAGCCCAGCCCTACCTTCAGAGCACAGCTTCTCAGTTTGTACCCAACAGTCATTGCCAGACCCAGAACTGATAATCAGGACTTTTAGGCTGGGTGAATAAAAAATTGATGGTTGGAAAATAAAGTAGGAGTTATCTTGTTTGTGTTTTTAAATTTTGGAGGAGCTGACAGATGAACACAAGGCTTGCTTTGAGCGGGAGTTGAACCAGCGACCTTGGAACCACAGCACTTCATAGGAGGAACTGCCTACATTAGTCTGCTCTACCAACTGAGCTATCAAGGTGCTGTCAACTCCAAGTGCAGAAAACATAGTGGCTATGATGACACACTTTGCCCACACAACTAATCCACCTACATGGTCAGTGAAAAGCCCAGCCCTACCTTCAGAGCACAGCTTCTCAGTTTGTACCCAACAGTCATTGCCAGGGACCCAGAACTGATAATCAGGACTTTTAGGCTGGGTGAATAAAAAATTGATGGTTGGAAAATAAAGTAGGAGTTATCTTGTTTGTGTTTTTAAATTTTGGAGGAGCTGACAGATGAACACAAGGCTTGCTTTGAGCGGGAGTTGAACCAGGGACCTTGGAACGACAGCACTTCATAGGAGGAACTGCCTACAGTCCTGTGCTCTACCAACTGAGCTATCAATGGTGCTGTCTACTCCAAGTGCAGAAAACATAGTGGCTATGATGACACACTTTGCCCACACAACTAATCCACCAACATGGTCAGTGAAAAGCCCAGCCCTACCTTCAGAGCACAGCTTCTCAGTTTGTACCCAACAGTCATTGCCAGGGACCCAGAACTGATAATCAGGACTTTTAGGCTGGGTGAATAAAAAATTGACGGTTGGAAAATAAAGTAGGAGTTATCTTGTTTGTGTTTTTAAATTTTGGAGGAGCTGACAGATGAACACAAGGCTTGCTTTGAGCGGGAGTTGAACCAGCGACCTTGGAACCACAGCACTTCATAGGAGGAACTGCCTACAGTCCTCTGCTCTACCAACTGAGCTATCAAGGTGCTGTCTAGTCCAAGTGCAGAAAACATAGTGGCTATGATGACACACTTTGCCCACACAACTAATCCACCTACATGGTCAGTGAAAAGCCCAGCCCTACCTTCAGAGCGCAGCTTCTCAGTTTGTACCCAACAGTCATTGCCAGGGACCCAGAACTGATAATCAGGACTTTTAGGCTGGGTGAATAAAAAATTGATGGTTGGAAAATAAAGTAGGAGTTATCTTGTTTGTGTTTTTAAATTTTGGAGGAGCTGACAGATGAACACAAGGCTTGCTTTGAGCGGGAGTTGAACCAGCGAACCTGGAACCACAGCACTTCATAGGAGGAACTGCCTACAGTCCTCTGCTCTACCAACTGAGCTATCAAGGTGCTGTCTACTCCAAGTGCAGAAAACATAGTGGCTATGATGACACACTTTGCCCACACAACTAATCCACCTACATGGTCAGTGAAAAGCCCAGCCCTACCTTCAGAGCGCAGCTTCTCAGTTTGTACCCAACAGTCATTGCCAGGGACCCAGAACTGATAATCAGGACTTTTAGGCTGGGTGAATAAAAAATTGATGGTTGGAAAATAAAGTAGCAGTTATCTTGTTTGTGTTTTTAAATTTTGGAGGAGCTGACAGATGAAGACAAGGCTTGCTTTGAGCGGGAGTTGAACAAGCGACCCTGGAACGACAGCACTTCATAGGAGGAACTGCCTACAGTCCTCTGCTCTACCAACTGAGCTATCAAGGTGCTGTCTACTCCAAGTGCAGAAAACATAGTGGCTATGATGACACACTTTGCACACACAACTAATCCACCTACATGGTCAGTGAAAAGCCCAGCCCTACCTTCAGAGCACAGCTTCTCAGTTTGTACCCAACAGTCATTGCCAGGGACCCAGAACTGATAATCAGGACTTTTAGGCTGGGTGAATAAAAAATTGATGGTTGGAAAATAAAGTAGGAGTTATCTTGTTTGTGTTTTTAAATTTTGGAGGAGCTGACAGATGAACACAAGGCTTGCTTTGAGCGGGAGTTGAACCAGCGACCTTGGAACGACAGCATTTCATAGGAGGAACTGCCTACAGTCCTCTGCTCTACCAACTGAGCTATCAAGGTGCTGTCTACTCCAAGTGCAGAAAACATAGTGGCTATGATGACACACTTTGCCCACACAACTAATCCACCTACATGGTCAGTGAAAAGCCCAGCCCTACCTTCAGAGCACAGCTTCTCAGTTTGTACCCAACAGTCATTGCCAGGGACCCAGAACTGATAATCAGGACTTTTAGGCTAGGTGAATAAAAAATTGACGGTTGGAAAATAAAGTAGGAGTTATCTTGTTTGTGTTTTTAAATTTTGGAGGAGCTGACAGATGAACACAAGGCTTGCTTTGAGCGGGAGTTGAACCAGCGACCTTGGAACCACAGCACTTCATAGGAGGAACTGCCTACAGTCCTCTGCTCTACCAACTGAGCTATCAAGGTGCTGTCTACTCCAAGTGCAGAAAACATAGTGGCTATGATGACACACTTTGCCCACACAACTAATCCACCTACATGGTCAGTGAAAAGCCCAGCCCTACCTTCAGAGCACAGCTTCTCAGTTTGTACCCAACAGTCATTGCCAGGGACCCAGAACTGATAATCAGGACTTTTAGGCTGGGTGAATAAAAAATTGATGGTTGGAAAATAAAGTAGGAGTTATCTTGTTTGTGTTTTTAAATTTTGGAGGAGCTGACAGATGAACACAAGGCTTGCTTTGAGCGGGAGTTGAACCAGCGACCTTGGAACCACAGCACTTCATAGGAGGAACTGCCTACAGTCCTCTGCTCTACCAACTGAGCTATCAAGGTGCTGTCTACTCGAAGTGCAGAAAACATAGTGGCTATGATGACACACTTTGCCCACACAACTAATCCACCTACATGGTCAGTGAAAAGCCCAGCCCTACCTTCAGAGCGCAGCTTCTCAGTTTGTACCCAACAGTCATTGCCAGGGACCCAGAACTGATAATCAGGACTTTTAGGCTGGGTGAATAAAAAATTGATGGTTGGAAAATAAAGTAGGAGTTATCTTGTTTGTGTTTTTAAATTTTGGAGGAGCTGACAGATGAACACAAGGCTTGCTTTGAGCGGGAGTTGAACCAGCGAACTTGGAACCACAGCACTTCATAGGAGGAACTGCCTACAGTCCTCTGCTCTACCAACTGAGCTATCAAGGTGCTGTCTACTCCAAGTGCAGAAAACATAGTGGCTATGATGACACACTTTGCCCACACAACTAATCCACCTACATGGTCAGTGAAAAGCCCAGCCCTACCTTCAGAGCACAGCTTCTCAGTTTGTACCCAACAGTCATTGCCAGGGACCCAGAACTGATAATCAGGACTTTTAGGCTGGGTGAATAAAAAACTGACGTTTGGAAAATAAAGTAGGAGTTATCTTGTTTGTGTTTTTAAATTTTGGAGGAGCTGACAGATGAAGACAAGGCTTGCTTTGAGCGGGAGTTGAACCAGCAACCTTGGAACCACAGCACTTCATAGGAGGAACTGCCTACAGTCCTCTGTTCTACCAACTGAGCTATCAAGGTGCTGTCTACTCCAAGTGCAGAAAACATAGTGGCTATGATGACACACTTTGCCCACACAACTAATCCACCTACATGGTCAGTGAAAAGCCCAGCCCTACCTTCAGAGCACAGCTTCTCAGTTTGTACCCAACAGTCATTGCCAGGGACCCAGAACTGATAATCAGGACTTTTAGGCTGGGTGAATAAAAAATTGACGGTTGGAAAATAAAGTAGGAGTTATCTTGTTTGTGTTTTTAAATTTTGGAGGAGCTGACAGATGAAGACAAGGCTTGCTTTGAGCGGGAGTTGAACCAGCGACCTTGGAACCACAGCACTTCATAGGAGGAACTGCCTAGAGTCCTCTGTTCTACCAACTGAGCTATCAGGGTGCTGTCTACTCCAAGTGCAGAAAACATAGTGGCTATGATGACACACTTTGCCCACACAACTAATCCACCTACATGGTCAGTGAAAAGCCCAGCCCTACCTTCAGAGCACAGCTTCTCAGTTTGTACCCAACAGTCATTGCCAGGGACCCAGAACTGATAATCAGGACTTTTAGGCTGGGTGAATAAAAAATTGATGGTTGGAAAATAAAGTAGGAGTTATCTTGTTTGTGTTTTTAAATTTTGGAGGAGCTGACAGATGAAGACAAGGCTTGCTTTGAGCGGGAGTTGAACCAGCGACCTTGGAACCACAGCACTTCATAGGAGGAACTGCCTACAGTCCTCTGCTCTACCAACTGAGCTATCAAGGTGCTGTCTACTCCAAGTGCAGAAAACATAGTGGCTATGATGACACACTTTGCCCACACAACTAATCCACCTACATGGTCAGTGAAAAGCCCAGCCCTACCTTCAGAGCACAGCTTCTCAGTTTGTACCCAACAGTCATTGCCAGACCCAGAACTGATAATCAGGACTTTTAGGCTGGGTGAATAAAAAATTGATGGTTGGAAAATAAAGTAGGAGTTATCTTGTTTGTGTTTTTAAATTTTGGAGCAGCTGACAGATGAACACAAGGCTTGCTTTGAGCGGGAGTTGAACCAGCGACCTTGGAACCACAGCACTTCATAGGAGGAACTGCCTACATTAGTCTGCTCTACCAACTGAGCTATCAATGTGCTGTCTACTCCAAGTGCAGAAAACATAGTGGCTATGATGACACACTTTGCCCACACAACTAATCCACCTACATGGTCAGTGAAAAGCCCAGCCCTACCTTCAGAGCACAGCTTCTCAGTTTGTACCCAACAGTCATTGCCAGGGACCCAGAACTGATAATCAGGACTTTTAGGCTGGGTGAATAAAAAATTGATGGTTGGAAAATAAAGTAGGAGTTATCTTGTTTGTGTTTTTAAATTTTGGAGGAGCTGACAGATGAACACAAGGCTTGCTTTGAGCGGGAGTTGAACCAGGGACCTTGGAACGACAGCACTTCATAGGAGGAACTGCCTACAGTCCTGTGCTCTACCAACTGAGCTATCAAGGTGCTGTCTACTCCAAGTGCAGAAAACATAGTGGCTATGATGACACACTTTGCCCACACAACTAATCCACCTACATGGTCAGTGAAAAGCCCAGCCCTACCTTCAGAGCACAGCTTCTCAGTTTGTACCCAACAGTCATTGCCAGGGACCCAGAACTGATAATCAGGACTTTTAGGCTGGGTGAATAAAAAATTGACGGTTGGAAAATAAAGTAGGAGTTATCTTGTTTGTGTTTTTAAATTTTGGAGGAGCTGACAGATGAACACAAGGCTTGCTTTGAGCGGGAGTTGAACCAGCGACCTTGGAACCACAGCACTTCATAGGAGGAACTGCCTACAGTCCTCTGCTCTACCAACTGAGCTATCAAGGTGCTGTCTAGTCCAAGTGCAGAAAACATAGTGGCTATGATGACACACTTTGCCCACACAACTAATCCACCTACATGGTCAGTGAAAAGCCCAGCCCTACCTTCAGAGCGCAGCTTCCCAGTTTGTACCCAACAGTCATTGCCAGGGACCCAGAACTGATAATCAGGACTTTTAGGCTGGGTGAATAAAAAATTGATGGTTGGAAAATAAAGTAGGAGTTATCTTGTTTGTGTTTTTAAATTTTGGAGGAGCTGACAGATGAACACAAGGCTTGCTTTGAGCGGGAGTTGAACCAGCGACCCTGGAACCACAGCACTTCATAGGAGGAACTGCCTACAGTCCTCTGCTCTACCAACTGAGCTATCAAGGTGCTGTCTACTCCAAGTGCAGAAAACATAGTGGCTATGATGACACACTTTGCCCACACAACTAATCCACCTACATGGTCAGTGAAAAGCCCAGCCCTACCTTCAGAGCGCAGCTTCTCAGTTTGTACCCAACAGTCATTGCCAGGGACCCAGAACTGATAATCAGGACTTTTAGGCTGGGTGAATAAAAAATTGATGGTTGGAAAATAAAGTAGCAGTTATCTTGTTTGTGTTTTTAAATTTTGGAGGAGCTGACAGATGAAGACAAGGCTTGCTTTGAGCGGGAGTTGAACAAGCGACCCTGGAACGACAGCACTTCATAGGAGGAACTGCCTACAGTCCTCTGCTCTACCAACTGAGCTATCAAGGTGCTGTCTACTCCAAGTGCAGAAAACATAGTGGCTATGATGACACACTTTGCCCACACAACTAATCCACCTACATGGTCAGTGAAAAGCCCAGCCCTACCTTCAGAGCACAGCTTCTCAGTTTGTACCCAACAGTCATTGCCAGGGACCCAGAACTGATAATCAGGACTTTTAGGCTGGGTGAATAAAAAATTGATGGTTGGAAAATAAAGTAGGAGTTATCTTGTTTGTGTTTTTAAATTTTGGAGGAGCTGACAGATGAACACAAGGCTTGCTTTGAGCGGGAGTTGAACCAGCGACCTTGGAACGACAGCATTTCATAGGAGGAACTGCCTACAGTCCTCTGCTCTACCAACTGAGCTATCAAGGTGCTGTCTACTCCAAGTGCAGAAAACATAGTGGCTATGATGACACACTTTGCCCACACAACTAATCCACCTACATGGTCAGTGAAAAGCCCAGCCCTACCTTCAGAGCGCAGCTTCTCAGTTTGTACCCAACAGTCATTGCCAGGGACCCAGAACTGATAATCAGGACTTTTAGGCTGGGTGAATAAAAAATTGATGGTTGGAAAATAAAGTAGGAGTTATCTTGTTTGTGTTTTTAAATTTTGGAGGAGCTGACAGATGAAGACAAGGCTTGCTTTGAGCGGGAGTTGAACCAGCGAACTTGGAACCACAGCACTTCATAGGAGGAACTGCCTACAGTCCTCTGCTCTACCAACTGAGCTATCAAGGTGCTGTCTACTCCAAGTGCAGAAAACATAGTGGCTATGATGACACACTTTGCCCACACAACTAATCCACCTACATGGTCAGTGAAAAGCCCAGCCCTACCTTCAGAGCACAGCTTCTCAGTTTGTACCCAACAGTCATTGCCAGGGACCCAGAACTGATAATCAGGACTTTTAGGCTGGGTGAATAAAAAATTGACGGTTGGAAAATAAAGTAGGAGTTATCTTGTTTGTGTTTTTAAATTTTGGAGGAGCTGACAGATGAAGACAAGGCTTGCTTTGAGCGGGAGTTGAACCAGCAACCTTGGAACCACAGCACTTCATAGGAGGAACTGCCTACAGTCCTCTGTTCTACCAACTGAGCTATCAAGGTGCTGGCTACTACAAGTGCAGAAAACATAGTGGCTATGATGACACACTTTGCCCACACAACTAATCCACCTTCATGGTCAGTGAAAAGCCCAGCCCTACCTTCAGAGCACAGCTTCTCAGTTTGTACCCAACAGTCATTGCCAGGGACCCAGAACTGATAATCAGGACTTTTAGGCTGGGTGAATAAAAAATTGATGGTTGGAAAATAAAGTAGGAGTTATCTTGTTTGTGTTTTTAAATTTTGGAGGAGCTGACAGATGAAGACAAGGCTTGCTTTGAGCGGGAGTTGAACCAGCGACCTTGGAACCACAGCACTTCATAGGAGGAACTGCCTACAGTCCTCTGCTCTACCAACTGAGCTATCAAGGTGCTGTCTACTCCAAGTGCAGAAAACATAGTGGCTATGATGACACACTTTGCCCACACAACTAATCCACCTACATGGTCAGTGAAAAGCCCAGCCCTACCTTCAGAGCACAGCTTCTCAGTTTGTACCCAACAGTCATTGCCAGGGACCCAGAACTGATAATCAGGACTTTTAGGCTGGGTGAATAAAAAATTGACGGTTGGAAAATAAAGTAGGAGTTATCTTGTTTGTGTTTTTAAATTTTGGAGGAGCTGACAGATGAAGACAAGGCTTGCTTTGAGCGGGAGTTGAACCAGCGACCTTGGAACCACAGCACTTCATAGGAGGAACTGCCTACAGTCCTCTGTTCTACCAACTGAGCTATCAGGGTGCTGTCTACTCCAAGTGCAGAAAACATAGTGGCTATGATGACACACTTTGCCCACACAACTAATCCACCTACATGGTCAGTGAAAAGCCCAGCCCTACCTTCAGAGCACAGCTTCTCAGTTTGTACCCAACAGTCATTGCCAGGGACCCAGAACTGATAATCAGGACTTTTAGGCTGGGTGAATAAAAAATTGATGGTTGGAAAATAAAGTAGGAGTTATCTTGTTTGTGTTTTTAAATTTTGGAGGAGCTGACAGATGAAGACAAGGCTTGCTTTGAGCGGGAGTTGAACCAGCGACCTTGGAACCACAGCACTTCATAGGAGGAACTGCCTACAGTCCTCTGCTCTACCAACTGAGCTATCAAGGTGCTGTCTACTCCAAGTGCAGAAAACATAGTGGCTATGATGACACACTTTGCCCACACAACTAATCCACCTACATGGTCAGTGAAAAGCCCAGCCCTACCTTCAGAGCACAGCTTCTCAGTTTGTACCCAACAGTCATTGCCAGACCCAGAACTGATAATCAGGACTTTTAGGCTGGGTGAATAAAAAATTGATGGTTGGAAAATAAAGTAGGAGTTATCTTGTTTGTGTTTTTAAATTTTGGAGGAGCTGACAGATGAACACAAGGCTTGCTTTGAGCGGGAGTTGAACCAGCGACCTTGGAACCACAGCACTTCATAGGAGGAACTGCCTACATTAGTCTGCTCTACCAACTGAGCTATCAAGGTGCTGTCTACTCCAAGTGCAGAAAACATAGTGGCTATGATGACACACTTTGCCCACACAACTAATCCACCTACATGGTCAGTGAAAAGCCCAGCCCTACCTTCAGAGCACAGCTTCTCAGTTTGTACCCAACAGTCATTGCCAGGGACCCAGAACTGATAATCAGGACTTTTAGGCTGGGTGAATAAAAAATTGATGGTTGGAAAATAAAGTAGGAGTTATCTTGTTTGTGTTTTTAAATTTTGGAGGAGCTGACAGATGAACACAAGGCTTGCTTTGAGCGGGAGTTGAACCAGGGACCTTGGAACGACAGCCTTTCATAGGAGGAACTGCCTACAGTCCTGTGCTCTACCAACTGAGCTATCAAGGTGCTGTCTACTCCAAGTGCAGAAAACATAGTGGCTATGATGACACACTTTGCCCACACAACTAATCCACCAACATGGTCAGTGAAAAGCCCAGCCCTACCTTCAGAGCACAGCTTCTCAGTTTGTACCCAACAGTCATTGCCAGGGACCCAGAACTGATAATCAGGACTTTTAGGCTGGGTGAATAAAAAATTGACGGTTGGAAAATAAAGTAGGAGTTATCTTGTTTGTGTTTTTAAATTTTGGAGGAGCTGACAGATGAACACAAGGCTTGCTTTGAGAGGGAGTTGAACCAGCGACCTTGGAACGACAGCACTTCATAGGAGGAACTGCCTACAGTCCTCTGCTCTACCAACTGAGCTATCAAGGTGCTGTCTAGTCCAAGTGCAGAAAACATAGTGGCTATGATGACACACTTTGCCCACACAACTAATCCACCTACATGGTCAGTGAAAAGCCCAGCCCTACCTTCAGAGCGCAGCTTCTCAGTTTGTACCCAACAGTCATTGCCAGGGACCCAGAACTGATAATCAGGACTTTTAGGCTGGGTGAATAAAAAATTGATGGTTGGAAAATAAAGTAGGAGTTATCTTGTTTGTGTTTTTAAATTTTGGAGGAGCTGACAGATGAACACAAGGCTTGCTTTGAGCGGGAGTTGAACCAGCGACCCTGGAACCACAGCACTTCATAGGAGGAACTGCCTACAGTCCTCTGCTCTACCAACTGAGCTATCAAGGTGCTGTCTACTCCAAGTGCAGAAAACATAGTGGCTATGATGACACACTTTGCCCACACAACTAATCCACCTACATGGTCAGTGAAAAGCCCAGCCCTACCTTCAGAGCACAGCTTCTCAGTTTGTACCCAACAGTCATTGCCAGGGACCCAGAACTGATAATCAGGACTTTTAGGCTGGGTGAATAAAAAATTGATGGTTGGAAAATAACGTAGGAGTTATCTTGTTTGTGTTTTTAAATTTTGGAGGAGCTGACAGATGAACACAAGGCTTGCTTTGAGCGGGAGTTGAACCAGCGACCCTGGAACGACAGCACTTCATTGGAGGAACTGCCTACAGTCCTCTGCTCTACCAACTGAGCTATCAAGGTGCTGTCTACTCCAAGTGCAGAAAACATAGTGGCTATGATGACACACTTTGCCCACACAACTAATCCACCTACATGGTCAGTGAAAAGCCCAGCCCTACCTTCAGAGCACAGCTTCTCAGTTTGTACCCAACAGTCATTGCCAGGGACCCAGAACTGATAATCAGGACTTTTAGGCTGGGTGAACAGAAAATTGACGGTTGGAAAATAAAGTAGGAGTTATCTTGTTTGTGTTTTTAAATTTTGGAGGAGCTGACAGATGAAGACAAGGCTTGCTTTGAGCTGGAGTTGAACCAGCGACCTTGGAACAAGAGCACTTCATAGGAGGAACTGCCTACAGTCCTCTGCTCTACCAACTGAGCTATCAAGGTGCTGTCTACTTGAAGTGCAGAAAACATAGTGGCTATGATGACACACTTTGCCCACACAACTAATCCACCTACATGGTCAGTGAAAAGCCCAGCCCTACCTTCAGAGCACAGCTTCTCAGTTTGTACCCAACAGTCATTGCCAGGGACCCAGAACTGATAATCAGGACTTTTAGGCTGGGTGAATAAAAAATTGACGGTTGGAAAATAAAGTAGGAGTTATCTTGTTTGTGTTTTTAAATTTTGGAGGAGCTGACAGATGAAGACAAGGCTTGCTTTGAGCGGGATTTGAAACAGCGACCTTGGAACCACAGCACTTCATAGGAGGAACTGCCTACAGTCCTCTGCTCTACCAACTGAGCTATCAAGGTGCTGTCTACTCCAAGTGCAGAAAACATAGTGGCTATGATGACACACTTTGCCCACACAACTAATCCACCTACATGGTCAGTGAAAAGCCCAGCCCTACCTTCAGAGCACAGCTTCTCAGTTTGTACCCAACAGTCATTGCCAGGGACCCAGAACTGATAATCAGGACTTTTAGGCTGGGTGAATAAAAAATTGATGGTTGGAAAATAAAGTAGGAGTTATCTTGTTTGTGTTTTTAAATTTTGGAGGAGCTGACAGATGAAGACAAGGCTTGCTTTGAGCAAGAGTTGAACCAGCGACCTTGGAACGACAGCACTTCATAGGAGGAACTGCCTACAGTCCTCTGCTCTACCAACTGAGCTATCAAGGTGCTGTCTACTCCAAGTGCAGAAAACATAGTGGCTATGATGACACACTTTGCCCACACAACTAATCCACCTACATGGTCAGTGAAAAGCCCAGCCCTACCTTCAGAGCACAGCTTCTCAGTTTGTACCCAACAGTCATTGCCAGGGACCCAGAACTGATAATCAGGACTTTTAGGCTGGGTGAATAAAAAATTGACGGTTGGAAAATAAAGTAGGAGTTATCTTGTTTGTGTTTTTAAATTTTGGAGGAGCTGACAGATGAAGACAAGGCTTGCTTTGAGCGGGAGTTGAACCAGCGACCTTGGAACCACAGCACTTCATAGGAGGAACTGCCTACAGTCCTCTGCTCTACCAACTGAGCTATCAAGGTGCTGTCTACTCCAAGTGCAGAAAACATAGTGGCTATGATGACACACTTTGCCCACACAACTAATCCACCTACATGGTCAGTGAAAAGCCCAGCCCTACCTTCAGAGCACAGCTTCTCAGTTTGTACCCAACAGTCATTGCCAGGGACCCAGAACTGATAATCAGGACTTTTAGGCTGGGTGAACAAAAAATTGACGGTTGGAAAATAAAGTAGGAGTTATCTTGTTTGTGTTTTTAAATTTTGGAAGAGCTGACAGATGAAGACAAGGCTTGCTTTGAGCAGGAGTTGAACCAGCGACCTTGGAACCACAGCACTTCATAGGAGGAACTGCCTACAGTCCTCTGCTCTACCAACTGAGCTATCAAGGTGCTGTCTACTCCAAGTGCAGAAAACATAGTGGCTATGATGACACACTTTGCCCACACAACTAATCCACCTACATGGTCAGTGAAAAGCCCAGCCCTACCTTCAGAGCACAGCTTCTCAGTTTGTACCCAACAGTCATTGCCAGGGACCCAGAACTGATAATCAGGACTTTTAGGCTGGGTGAATAAAAAATTGACGGTTGGAAAATAAAGTAGGAGTTATCTTGTTTGTGTTTTTAAATTTTGGAGGAGCTGACAGATGAACACAAGGCTTGCTTTGAGCGGGAGTTGAACCAGCGACCTTGGAACCACAGCACTTCATAGGAGGAACTGCCTAGAGTCCTCTGCTCTACCAACTGAGCTATCAAGGTGCTGTCTACTCCAAGTGCAGAAAACATAGTGGCTATGATGACACACTTTGCCCACACAACTAATCCACCTACATGGTCAGTGAAAAGCCCAGCCCTACCTTCAGAGCACAGCTTCTCAGTTTGTACCCAACAGTCATTGCCAGGGACCCAGAACTGATAATCAGGACTTTTAGGCTGGGTGAATAAAAAATTGACGGTTGGAAAATAAAGTAGGAGTTATCTTGTTTGTGTTTTTAAATTTTGGAGGAGCTGACAGATGAAGACAAGGCTTGCTTTGAGCGGGAGTTGAACCACCGACCTTGGAACCACAGCACTTCATAGGAGGAACTGCCTACAGTCCTCTGCTCTACCAACTGAGCTATCAAGGTGCTGTCTACTCCAAGTGCAGAAAACATAGTGGCTATGATGACACACTTTGCCCACACAACTAATCCACCTACATGGTCAGTGAAAAGCCCAGCCCTACCTTCAGAGCACAGCTTCTCAGTTTGTACCCAACAGTCATTGCCAGGGACCCAGAACTGATAATCAGGACTTTTAGGCTGGGTGAATAAAAAATTGATGGTTGGAAAATAAAGTAGGAGTTATCTTGTTTGTGTTTTTAAATTTTGGAGGAGCTGACAGATGAACACAAGGCTTGCTTTGAGCGGGAGTTGAACCAGCGACCTTGGAACCACAGCACTTCATAGGAGGAACTGCCTACAGTCCTCTGCTCTACCAACTGAGCTATCAAGGTGCTGTCTACTCCAAGTGCAGAAAACATAGTGGCTATGATGACACACTTTGCCCACACAACTAATCCACCTACATGGTCAGTGAAAAGCCCAGCCCTACCTTCAGAGCACAGCTTCTCAGTTTGTACCCAACAGTCATTGCCAGGGACCCAGAACTGATAATCAGGACTTTTAGGCTGGGTGAATAAAAAATTGACGGTTGGAAAATAAAGTAGGAGTTATCTTGTTTGTGTTTTTAAATTTTGGAGGAGCTGACAGATGAACACAAGGCTTGCTTTGAGCGGGAGTTGAACCAGCGACCTTGGAACCACAGCACTTCATAGGAGGAACTGCCTAGAGTCCTCTGTTCTACCAACTGAGCTATCAGGGTGCTGTCTACTCCAAGTGCAGAAAACATAGTGGCTATGATGACACACTTTGCCCACACAACTAATCCACCTACATGGTCAGTGAAAAGCCCAGCCCTACCTTCAGAGCACAGCTGCTCAGTTTGTACCCAACAGTCATTGCCAGGGACCCAGAACTGATAATCAGGACTTTTAGGCTGGGTGAATAAAAAATTGATGGTTGGAAAATAAAGTATGAGTTATCTTGTTTGTGTTTTTAAATTTTGGAGGAGCTGACAGATGAAGACAAGGCTTGCTTTGAGCGGGAGTTGAACCAGCGACCTTGGAACCACAGCACTTCATAGGAGGAACTGCCTACAGTCCTCTGCTCTACCAACTGAGCTATCAAGGTGCTGTCTACTCCAAGTGCAGAAAACATAGTGGCTATGATGACACACTTTGCCCACACAACTAATCCACCTACATGGTCAGTGAAAAGCCCAGCCCTACCTTCAGAGCACAGCTTCTCAGTTTGTACCCAACAGTCATTGCCAGGGACCCAGAACTGATAATCAGGACTTTTAGGCTGGGTGAATAAAAAATTGATGGTTGGAAAATAAAGTAGGAGTTATCTTGTTTGTGTTTTTAAATTTTGGAGGAGCTGACAGATGAACACAAGGCTTGCTTTGAGCGGGAGTTGAACCAGCGACCTTGGAACCACAGCACTTCATAGGAGGACCTGCCTACAGTCCTCTGCTCTACCAACTGAGCTATCAAGGTGCTGTCTACTCCAAGTGCAGAAAACATAGTGGCTATGATGACACACTTTGCCCACACAACTAATCCACCTACATGGTCAGTGAAAAGCCCAGCCCTACCTTCAGAGCGCAGCTTCTCAGTTTGTACCCAACAGTCATTGCCAGGGACCCAGAACTGATAATCAGGACTTTTAGGCTGGGTGAATAAAAAATTGACGGTTGGAAAATAAAGTAGGAGTTATCTTGTTTGTGTTTTTAAATTTTGGAGGAGCTGACAGATGAAGACAAGGCTTGCTTTGAGCGGGAGTTGAACCAGCAACCTTGGAACCACAGCACTTCATAGGAGGAACTGCCTACAGTCCTCTGCTCTACCAACTGAGCTATCAAGGTGCTGTCTACTCCAAGTGCAGAAAACATAGTGGCTATGATGACACACTTTGCCCACACAACTAATCCACCTACATGGTCAGTGAAAAGCCCAGCCCTACCTTCAGAGCACAGCTTCTCAGTTTGTACCCAACAGTCATTGCCAGGGACCCAGAACTGATAATCAGGACTTTTAGGCTGGGTGAATAAAAAATTGATGGTTGGAAAATAAAGTAGGAGTTATCTTGTTTGTGTTTTTAAATTTTGGAGGAGCTGACAGATGAAGACAAGGCTTGCTTTGAGCGGGAGTTGAACCAGCGACCTTGGAACCACAGCACTTCATAGGAGGAACTGCCTACAGTCCTCTGCTCTACCAACTGAGCTATCAAGGTGCTGTCTACTCCAAGTGCAGAAAACATAGTGGCTATGATGACACACTTTGCCCACACAACTAATCCACCTACATGGTCAGTGAAAAGCCCAGCCCTACCTTCAGAGCACAGCTTCTCAGTTTGTACCCAACAGTCATTGCCAGGGACCCAGAACTGATAATCAGGACTTTTAGGCTGGGTGAATAAAAAATTGATGGTTGGAAAATAAAGTAGGAGTTATCTTGTTTGTGTTTTTAAATTTTGGAGGAGCTGACAGATGAACACAAGGCTTGCTTTGAGCGGGAGTTGAACCAGGGACCTTGGAACGACAGCCTTTCATAGGAGGAACTGCCTACAGTCCTGTGCTCTACCAACTGAGCTATCAAGGTGCTGTCTACTCCAAGTGCAGAAAACATAGTGGCTATGATGACACACTTTGCCCACACAACTAATCCACCAACATGGTCAGTGAAAAGCCCAGCCCTACCTTCAGAGCACAGCTTCTCAGTTTGTACCCAACAGTCATTGCCAGGGACCCAGAACTGATAATCAGGACTTTTAGGCTGGGTGAATAAAAAATTGACGGTTGGAAAATAAAGTAGGAGTTATCTTGTTTGTGTTTTTAAATTTTGGAGGAGCTGACAGATGAACACAAGGCTTGCTTTGAGCGGGAGTTGAACCAGCGACCTTGGAACGACAGCACTTCATAGGAGGAACTGCCTACAGTCCTCTGCTCTACCAACTGAGCTATCAAGGTGCTGTCTAGTCCAAGTGCAGAAAACATAGTGGCTATGATGACACACTTTGCCCACACAACTAATCCACCTACATGGTCAGTGAAAAGCCCAGCCCTACCTTCAGAGCGCAGCTTCTCAGTTTGTACCCAACAGTCATTGCCAGGGACCCAGAACTGATAATCAGGACTTTTAGGCTGGGTGAATAAAAAATTGATGGTTGGAAAATAAAGTAGGAGTTATCTTGTTTGTGTTTTTAAATTTTGGAGGAGCTGACAGATGAACACAAGGCTTGCTTTGAGCGGGAGTTGAACCAGCGACCCTGGAACCACAGCACTTCATAGGAGGAACTGCCTACAGTCCTCTGCTCTACCAACTGAGCTATCAAGGTGCTGTCTACTCCAAGTGCAGAAAACATAGTGGCTATGATGACACACTTTGCCCACACAACTAATCCACCTACATGGTCAGTGAAAAGCCCAGCCCTACCTTCAGAGCACAGCTTCTCAGTTTGTACCCAACAGTCATTGCCAGGGACCCAGAACTGATAATCAGGACTTTTAGGCTGGGTGAATAAAAAATTGATGGTTGGAAAATAACGTAGGAGTTATCTTGTTTGTGTTTTTAAATTTTGGAGGAGCTGACAGATGAACACAAGGCTTGCTTTGAGCGGGAGTTGAACCAGCGACCCTGGAACGACAGCACTTCATTGGAGGAACTGCCTACAGTCCTCTGCTCTACCAACTGAGCTATCAAGGTGCTGTCTACTCCAAGTGCAGAAAACATAGTGGCTATGATGACACACTTTGCCCACACAACTAATCCACCTACATGGTCAGTGAAAAGCCCAGCCCTACCTTCAGAGCACAGCTTCTCAGTTTGTACCCAACAGTCATTGCCAGGGACCCAGAACTGATAATCAGGACTTTTAGGCTGGGTGAACAGAAAATTGACGGTTGGAAAATAAAGTAGGAGTTATCTTGTTTGTGTTTTTAAATTTTGGAGGAGCTGACAGATGAAGACAAGGCTTGCTTTGAGCTGGAGTTGAACCAGCGACCTTGGAACAAGAGCACTTCATAGGAGGAACTGCCTACAGTCCTCTGCTCTACCAACTGAGCTATCAAGGTGCTGTCTACTTGAAGTGCAGAAAACATAGTGGCTATGATGACACACTTTGCCCACACAACTAATCCACCTACATGGTCAGTGAAAAGCCCAGCCCTACCTTCAGAGCACAGCTTCTCAGTTTGTACCCAACAGTCATTGCCAGGGACCCAGAACTGATAATCAGGACTTTTAGGCTGGGTGAATAAAAAATTGACGGTTGGAAAATAAAGTAGGAGTTATCTTGTTTGTGTTTTTAAATTTTGGAGGAGCTGACAGATGAAGACAAGGCTTGCTTTGAGCGGGATTTGAAACAGCGACCTTGGAACCACAGCACTTCATAGGAGGAACTGCCTACAGTCCTCTGCTCTACCAACTGAGCTATCAAGGTGCTGTCTACTCCAAGTGCAGAAAACATAGTGGCTATGATGACACACTTTGCCCACACAACTAATCCACCTACATGGTCAGTGAAAAGCCCAGCCCTACCTTCAGAGCACAGCTTCTCAGTTTGTACCCAACAGTCATTGCCAGGGACCCAGAACTGATAATCAGGACTTTTAGGCTGGGTGAATAAAAAATTGATGGTTGGAAAATAAAGTAGGAGTTATCTTGTTTGTGTTTTTAAATTTTGGAGGAGCTGACAGATGAAGACAAGGCTTGCTTTGAGCAAGAGTTGAACCAGCGACCTTGGAACGACAGCACTTCATAGGAGGAACTGCCTACAGTCCTCTGCTCTACCAACTGAGCTATCAAGGTGCTGTCTACTCCAAGTGCAGAAAACATAGTGGCTATGATGACACACTTTGCCCACACAACTAATCCACCTACATGGTCAGTGAAAAGCCCAGCCCTACCTTCAGAGCACAGCTTCTCAGTTTGTACCCAACAGTCATTGCCAGGGACCCAGAACTGATAATCAGGACTTTTAGGCTGGGTGAATAAAAAATTGACGGTTGGAAAATAAAGTAGGAGTTATCTTGTTTGTGTTTTTAAATTTTGGAGGAGCTGACAGATGAAGACAAGGCTTGCTTTGAGCGGGAGTTGAACCAGCGACCTTGGAACCACAGCACTTCATAGGAGGAACTGCCTACAGTCCTCTGCTCTACCAACTGAGCTATCAAGGTGCTGTCTACTCCAAGTGCAGAAAACATAGTGGCTATGATGACACACTTTGCCCACACAACTAATCCACCTACATGGTCAGTGAAAAGCCCAGCCCTACCTTCAGAGCACAGCTTCTCAGTTTGTACCCAACAGTCATTGCCAGGGACCCAGAACTGATAATCAGGACTTTTAGGCTGGGTGAACAAAAAATTGACGGTTGGAAAATAAAGTAGGAGTTATCTTGTTTGTGTTTTTAAATTTTGGAGGAGCTGACAGATGAAGACAAGGCTTGCTTTGAGCAGGAGTTGAACCAGCGACCTTGGAACCACAGCACTTCATAGGAGGAACTGCCTACAGTCCTCTGCTCTACCAACTGAGCTATCAAGGTGCTGTCTACTCCAAGTGCAGAAAACATAGTGGCTATGATGACACACTTTGCCCACACAACTAATCCACCTACATGGTCAGTGAAAAGCCCAGCCCTACCTTCAGAGCACAGCTTCTCAGTTTGTACCCAACAGTCATTGCCAGGGACCCAGAACTGATAATCAGGACTTTTAGGCTGGGTGAATAAAAAATTGATGGTTGGAAAATAAAGTAGGAGTTATCTTGTTTGTGTTTTTAAATTTTGGAGGAGCTGACAGATGAACACAAGGCTTGCTTTGAGCGGGAGTTGAACCAGGGACCTTGGAACGACAGCCTTTCATAGGAGGAACTGCCTACAGTCCTGTGCTCTACCAACTGAGCTATCAAGGTGCTGTCTACTCCAAGTGCAGAAAACATAGTGGCTATGATGACACACTTTGCCCACACAACTAATCCACCAACATGGTCAGTGAAAAGCCCAGCCCTACCTTCAGAGCACAGCTTCTCAGTTTGTACCCAACAGTCATTGCCAGGGACCCAGAACTGATAATCAGGACTTTTAGGCTGGGTGAATAAAAAATTGACGGTTGGAAAATAAAGTAGGAGTTATCTTGTTTGTGTTTTTAAATTTTGGAGGAGCTGACAGATGAAGACAAGGCTTGCTTTGAGCGGGAGTTGAACCAGCGACCTTGGAACGACAGCACTTCATAGGAGGAACTGCCTACAGTCCTCTGCTCTACCAACTGAGCTATCAAGGTGCTGACTAGTCCAAGTGCAGAAAACATAGTGGCTATGATGACACACTTTGCCCACACAACTAATCCACCTACATGGTCAGTGAAAAGCCCAGCCCTACCTTCAGAGCGCAGCTTCTCAGTTTGTACCCAACAGTCATTGCCAGGGACCCAGAACTGATAATCAGGACTTTTAGGCTGGGTGAATAAAAAATTGATGGTTGGAAAATAAAGTAGGAGTTATCTTGTTTGTGTTTTTAAATTTTGGAGGAGCTGACAGATGAACACAAGGCTTGCTTTGAGCGGGAGTTGAACCAGCGACCCTGGAACCACAGCACTTCATAGGAGGAACTGCCTACAGTCCTCTGCTCTACCAACTGAGCTATCAAGGTGCTGTCTACTCCAAGTGCAGAAAACATAGTGGCTATGATGACACACTTTGCCCACACAACTAATCCACCTACATGGTCAGTGAAAAGCCCAGCCCTACCTTCAGAGCACAGCTTCTCAGTTTGTACCCAACAGTCATTGCCAGGGACCCAGAACTGATAATCAGGACTTTTAGGCTGGGTGAATAAAAAATTGATGGTTGGAAAATAACGTAGGAGTTATCTTGTTTGTGTTTTTAAATTTTGGAGGAGCTGACAGATGAACACAAGGCTTGCTTTGAGCGGGAGTTGAACCAGCGACCCTGGAACGACAGCACTTCATAGGAGGAACTGCCTACAGTCCTCTGCTCTACCAACTGAGCTATCAAGGTGCTGTCTACTCCAAGTGCAGAAAACATAGTGGCTATGATGACACACTTTGCCCACACAACTAATCCACCTACATGGTCAGTGAAAAGCCCAGCCCTACCTTCAGAGCACAGCTTCTCAGTTTGTACCCAACAGTCATTGCCAGGGACCCAGAACTGATAATCAGGACTTTTAGGCTGGGTGAACAGAAAATTGACGGTTGGAAAATAAAGTAGGAGTTATCTTGTTTGTGTTTTTAAATTTTGGAGGAGCTGACAGATGAAGACAAGGCTTGCTTTGAGCTGGAGTTGAACCAGCGACCTTGGAACAAGAGCACTTCATAGGAGGAACTGCCTACAGTCCTCTGCTCTACCAACTGAGCTATCAAGGTGCTGTCTACTTGAAGTGCAGAAAACATAGTGGCTATGATGACACACTTTGCCCACACAACTAATCCACCTACATGGTCAGTGAAAAGCCCAGCCCTACCTTCAGAGCACAGCTTCTCAGTTTGTACCCAACAGTCATTGCCAGGGACCCAGAACTGATAATCAGGACTTTTAGGCTGGGTGAATAAAAAATTGACGGTTGGAAAATAAAGTAGGAGTTATCTTGTTTGTGTTTTTAAATTTTGGAGGAGCTGACAGATGAAGACAAGGCTTGCTTTGAGCGGGAGTTGAACCACCGACCTTGGAACCACAGCACTTCATAGGAGGAACTGCCTACAGTCCTCTGCTCTACCAACTGAGCTATCAAGGTGCTGTCTACTCCAAGTGCAGAAAACATAGTGGCTATGATGACACACTTTGCCCACACAACTAATCCACCTACATGGTCAGTGAAAAGCCCAGCCCTACCTTCAGAGCACAGCTTCTCAGTTTGTACCCAACAGTCATTGACAGGGACCCAGAACTGATAATCAGGACTTTTAGGCTGGGTGAATAAAAAATTGATGGTTGGAAAATAAAGTAGGAGTTATCTTGTTTGTGTTTTTAAATTTTGGAGGAGCTGACAGATGAACACAAGGCTTGCTTTGAGCGGGAGTTGAACCAGCGACCTTGGAACCACAGCACTTCATAGGAGGAACTGCCTACAGTCCTCTGCTCTACCAACTGAGCTATCAAGGTGCTGTCTACTCCAAGTGCAGAAAACATAGTGGCTATGATGACACACTTTGCCCACACAACTAATCCACCTACATGGTCAGTGAAAAGCCCAGCCCTACCTTCAGAGCACAGCTTCTCAGTTTGTACCCAACAGTCATTGCCAGGGACCCAGAACTGATAATCAGGACTTTTAGGCTGGGTGAATAAAAAATTGACGGTTGGAAAATAAAGTAGGAGTTATCTTGTTTGTGTTTTTAAATTTTGGAGGAGCTGACAGATGAACACAAGGCTTGCTTTGAGCGGGAGTTGAACCAGCGACCTTGGAACCACAGCACTTCATAGGAGGAACTGCCTAGAGTCCTCTGTTCTACCAACTGAGCTATCAGGGTGCTGTCTACTCCAAGTGCAGAAAACATAGTGGCTATGATGACACACTTTGCCCACACAACTAATCCACCTACATGGTCAGTGAAAAGCCCAGCCCTACCTTCAGAGCACAGCTGCTCAGTTTGTACCCAACAGTCATTGCCAGGGACCCAGAACTGATAATCAGGACTTTTAGGCTGGGTGAATAAAAAATTGATGGTTGGAAAATAAAGTATGAGTTATCTTGTTTGTGTTTTTAAATTTTGGAGGAGCTGACAGATGAAGACAAGGCTTGCTTTGAGCGGGAGTTGAACCAGCGACCTTGGAACCACAGCACTTCATAGGAGGAACTGCCTACAGTCCTCTGCTCTACCAACTGAGCTATCAAGGTGCTGTCTACTCCAAGTGCAGAAAACATAGTGGCTATGATGACACACTTTGCCCACACAACTAATCCACCTACATGGTCAGTGAAAAGCCCAGCCCTACCTTCAGAGCACAGCTTCTCAGTTTGTACCCAACAGTCATTGCCAGACCCAGAACTGATAATCAGGACTTTTAGGCTGGGTGAATAAAAAATTGATGGTTGGAAAATAAAGTAGGAGTTATCTTGTTTGTGTTTTTAAATTTTGGAGGAGCTGACAGATGAACACAAGGCTTGCTTTGAGCGGGAGTTGAACCAGCGACCTTGGAACCACAGCACTTCATAGGAGGAACTGCCTACAGTCCTCTGCTCTACCAACTGAGCTATCAAGGTGCTGTCTACTCCAAGTGCAGAAAACATAGTGGCTATGATGACACACTTTGCCCACACAACTAATCCACCTACATGGTCAGTGAAAAGCCCAGCCCTACCTTCAGAGCGCAGCTTCTCAGTTTGTACCCAACAGTCATTGCCAGGGACCCAGAACTGATAATCAGGACTTTTAGGCTGGGTGAATAAAAAATTGACGGTTGGAAAATAAAGTAGGAGTTATCTTGTTTGTGTTTTTAAATTTTGGAGGAGCTGACAGATGAAGACAAGGCTTGCTTTGAGCGGGAGTTGAACCAGCAACCTTGGAACGACAGCACTTCATAGGAGGAACTGCCTACAGTCCTCTGCTCTACCAACTGAGCTATCAAGGTGCTGTCTACTCCAAGTGCAGAAAACATAGTGGCTATGATGACACACTTTGCCCACACAACTAATCCACCTACATGGTCAGTGAAAAGCCCAGCCCTACCTTCAGAGCACAGCTTCTCAGTTTGTACCCAACAGTCATTGCCAGGGACCCAGAACTGATAATCAGGACTTTTAGGCTGGGTGAATAAAAAATTGATGGTTGGAAAATAAAGTAGGAGTTATCTTGTTTGTGTTTTTAAATTTTGGAGGAGCTGACAGATGAAGACAAGGCTTGCTTTGAGCGGGAGTTGAACCAGCGACCTTGGAACCACAGCACTTCATAGGAGGAACTGCCTACAGTCCTCTGCTCTACCAACTGAGCTATCAAGGTGCTGTCTACTCCAAGTGCAGAAAACATAGTGGCTATGATGACACACTTTGCCCACACAACTAATCCACCTACATGGTCAGTGAAAAGCCCAGCCCTACCTTCAGAGCACAGCTTCTCAGTTTGTACCCAACAGTCATTGCCAGGGACCCAGAACTGATAATCAGGACTTTTAGGCTGGGTGAATAAAAAATTGACGGTTGGAAAATAAAGTAGGAGTTATCTTGTTTGTGTTTTTAAATTTTGGAGGAGCTGACAGATGAAGACAAGGCTTGCTTTGAGCGGGAGTTGAACCAGCGACCTTGGAACCACAGCACTTCATAGGAGGAACTGCCTAGAGTCCTCTGTTCTACCAACTGAGCTATCAGGGTGCTGTCTACTCCAAGTGCAGAAAACATAGTGGCTATGATGACACACTTTGCCCACACAACTAATCCACCTACATGGTCAGTGAAAAGCCCAGCCCTACCTTCAGAGCACAGCTTCTCAGTTTGTACCCAACAGTCATTGCCAGGGACCCAGAACTGATAATCAGGACTTTTAGGCTGGGTGAATAAAAAATTGACGGTTGGAAAATAAAGTAGGAGTTATCTTGTTTGTGTTTTTAAATTTTGGAGGAGCTGACAGATGAAGACAAGGCTTGCTTTGAGCGGGAGTTGAACCAGCGACCTTGGAACCACAGCACTTCATAGGAGGAACTGCCTACAGTCCTCTGCTCTACCAAGTGAGCTATCAAGGTGCTGTCTACTCCAAGTGCAGAAAACATAGTGGCTATGATGACACACTTTGCCCACACAACTAATCCACCTACATGGTCAGTGAAAAGCCCAGCCCTACCTTCAGAGCACAGCTTCTCAGTTTGTACCCAACAGTCATTGCCAGGGACCCAGAACTGATAATCAGGACTTTTAGGCTGGGTGAATAAAAAATTGATGGTTGGAAAATAAAGTAGGAGTTATCTTGTTTGTGTTTTTAAATTTTGGAGGAGCTGACAGATGAACACAAGGCTTGCTTTGAGCGGGAGTTGAACCAGCGACCTTGGAACCACAGCACTTCATAGGAGGAACTGCCTACAGTCCTCTGCTCTACCAACTGAGCTATCAAGGTGCTGTCTACTCCAAGTGCAGAAAACATAGTGGCTATGATGACACACTTTGCCCACACAACTAATCCACCTACATGGTCAGTGAAAAGCCCAGCCCTACCTTCAGAGCACAGCTTCTCAGTTTGTACCCAACAGTCATTGCCAGGGACCCAGAACTGATAATCAGGACTTTTAGGCTGGGTGAATAAAAAATTGATGGTTGGAAAATAAAGTAGGAGTTATCTTGTTTGTGTTTTTAAATTTTGGAGGAGCTGACAGATGAAGACAAGGCTTGCTTTGAGCGGGAGTTGAACCAGCGACCTTGGAACGACAGCACTTCATAGGAGGAACTGCCTACAGTCCTGTGCTCTACCAACTGAGCTATCAAGGTGCTGTCTACTCCAAGTGCAGAAAACATAGTGGCTATGATGACACACTTTGCCCACACAACTAATCCACCAACATGGTCAGTGAAAAGCCCAGCCCTACCTTCAGAGCACAGCTTCTCAGTTTGTACCCAACAGTCATTGCCAGGGACCCAGAACTGATAATCAGGACTTTTAGGCTGGGTGAATAAAAAATTGATGGTTGGAAAATAAAGTAGGAGTTATCTTGTTTGTGTTTTTAAATTTTGGAGGAGCTGACAGATGAACACAAGGCTTGCTTTGAGCGGGAGTTGAACCAGCGACCCTGGAACCACAGCACTTCATAGGAGGAACTGCCTACAGTCCTCTGCTCTACCAACTGAGCTATCAAGGTGCTGTCTACTCCAAGTGCAGAAAACATAGTGGCTATGATGACACACTTTGCCCACACAACTAATCCACCTACATGGTCAGTGAAAAGCCCAGCCCTACCTTCAGAGCGCAGCTTCTCAGTTTGTACCCAACAGTCATTGCCAGGGACCCAGAACTGATAATCAGGACTTTTAGGCTGGGTGAATAAAAAATTGATGGTTGGAAAATAAAGTAGGAGTTATCTTGTTTGTGTTTTTAAATTTTGGAGGAGCTGACAGATGAAGTCAAGGCTTGCTTTGAGCGGGAGTTGAACCAGCGACCTTGGAACCACAGCACTTCATAGGAGGAACTGCCTACAGTCCTGTGCTCTACCAACTGAGCTATCAAGGTGCTGTCTACTCCAAGTGCAGAAAACATAGTGGCTATGATGACACACTTTGCCCACACAACTAATCCACCAACATGGTCAGTGAAAAGCCCAGCCCTACCTTCAGAGCACAGCTTCTCAGTTTGTACCCAACAGTCATTGCCAGGGACCCAGAACTGATAATCAGGACTTTTAGGCTGGGTGAATTAAAAATTGACGGTTGGAAAATAAAGTAGGAGTTATCTTGTTTGTGTTTTTAAATTTTGGAGGAGCTGACAGATGAAGACAAGGCTTGCTTTGAGCGGGAGTTGAACCAGCGACCTTGGAACCACAGCACTTCATAGGAGGAACTGCCTACAGTCCTCTGCTCTACCAACTGAGCTATCAAGGTGCTGTCTACTCCAAGTGCAGAAAACATAGTGGCTATGATGACACACTTTGCCCACACAACTAATCCACCTACATGGTCAGTGAAAAGCCCAGCCCTACCTTCAGAGCACAGCTTCTCAGTTTGTACCCAACAGTCATTGCCAGGGACCCAGAACTGATAATCAGGACTTTTAGGCTGGGTGAATAAAAAATTGATGGTTGGAAAATAAAGTAGGAGTTATCTTGTTTGTGTTTTTAAATTTTGGAGGAGCTGACAGATGAACACAAGGCTTGCTTTGAGCGGGAGTTGAACCAGCGACCCTGGAACGACAGCACTTCATAGGAAGAACTGCCTACAGTCCTCTGCTCTACCAACTGAGCTATCAAGGTGCTGTCTACTCCAAGTGCAGAAAACATAGTGGCTATGATGACACACTTTGCCCACACAACTAATCCACCTACATGGTCAGTGAAAAGCCCAGCCCTACCTTCAGAGCGCAGCTTCTCAGTTTGTACCCAACAGTCATTGCCAGGGACCCAGAACTGATAATCAGGACTTTTAGGCTGGGTGAATAAAAAATTGATGGTTGGAAAATAAAGTAGGAGTTATCTTGTTTGTGTTTTTAAATTTTGGAGGAGCTGTCAGATGAACACAAGGCTTGCTTTGAGCGGGAGTTGAACCAGCGACCGTGGAACCACAGCACTTCATAGGAGGAACTGCCTACAGTCCTCTGCTCTACCAACTGAGCTATCAAGGTGCTGTCTACTCCAAGTGCAGAAAACATAGTGGCTATGATGACACACTTTGCCCACACAACTAATCCACCTACATGGTCAGTGAAAAGCCCAGCCCTACCTTCAGAGCGCAGCTTCTCAGTTTGTACCCAACAGTCATTGCCAGGGACCCAGAACTGATAATCAGGACTTTTAGGCTGGGTGAATAAAAAATTGATGGTTGGAAAATAAAGTAGGAGTAATCTTGTTTGTGTTTTTAAATTTTGGAGGAGCTGACAGATGAAGACAAGGCTTGCTTTGAGCAGGAGTTGAACCAGCGACCTTGGAACGAAAGCACTTCATAGGAGGAACTGCCTACAGTCCTCTGCTCTACCAACTGAGCTATCAGGGTGCTGTCTACTCCAAGTGCAGAAAACATAGTGGCTATGATGACACACTTTGCCCACACAACTAATCCACCTACATGGTCAGTGAAAAGCCCAGCCCTACCTTCAGAGCACAGCTTCTCAGTTTGTACCCAACAGTCATTGCCAGGGACCCAGAACTGATAATCAGGACTTTTAGGCTGGGTGAATAAAAAATTGATGGTTGGAAAATAAAGTAGGAGTTATCTTGTTTGTGTTTTTAAATTTTGGAGGAGCTGAAAGATGAAGACAAGGCTTGCTTTGAGCGGGATTTGAAGCAGCGACCTTGGAACCACAGCACTTCATAGGAGGAACTGCCTACAGTCCTCTGCTCTACCAACTGAGCTATCAAGGTGCTGTCTACTCCAAGTGCAGAAAACATAGTGGCTATGATGACACACTTTGCCCACACAACTAATCCACCTACATGGTCAGTGAAAAGCCCAGCCCTACCTTCAGAGCACAGCTTCTCAGTTTGTACCCAACAGTCATTGCCAGACCCAGAACTGATAATCAGGACTTTTAGGCTGGGTGAATAAAAAATTGATGGTTGGAAAATAAAGTAGGAGTTATCTTGTTTGTGTTTTTAAATTTTGGAGGAGCTGACAGATGAACACAAGGCTTGCTTTGAGCGGGAGTTGAACCAGCGACCTTGGAACCACAGCACTTCATAGGAGGAACTGCCTACATTACTCTGCTCTACCAACTGAGCTATCAAGGTGCTGTCTACTCCAAGTGCAGAAAACATAGTGGCTATGATGACACACTTTGCCCACACAACTAATCCACCTACATGGTCAGTGAAAAGCCCAGCCCTACCTTCAGAGCACAGCTTCTCAGTTTGTACCCAACAGTCATTGCCAGGGACCCAGAACTGATAATCAGGACTTTTAGGCTGGGTGAATAAAAAATTGATGGTTGGAAAATAAAGTAGGAGTTATCTTGTTTGTGTTTTTAAATTTTGGAGGAGCTGACAGATGAAGACAAGGCTTGCTTTGAGCGGGAGTTGAACCAGGGACCTTGGAACGACAGCACTTCATAGGAGGAACTGCCTACAGTCCTGTGCTCTACCAACTGAGCTATCAAGGTGCTGTCTACTCCAAGTGCAGAAAACATAGTGGCTATGATGACACACTTTGCCCACACAACTAATCCACCAACATGGTCAGTGAAAAGCCCAGCCCTACCTTCAGAGCACAGCTTCTCAGTTTGTACCCAACAGTCATTGCCAGGGACCCAGAACTGATAATCAGGACTTTTAGGCTGGGTGAATAAAAAATTGATGGTTGGAAAATAAAGTAGGAGTTATCTTGTTTGTGTTTTTAAATTTTGGAGGAGCTGACAGATGAACACAAGGCTTGCTTTGAGCGGGAGTTGAACCAGCGACCTTGGAACCACAGCACTTCATAGGAGGAACTGCCTACAGTCCTCTGCTCTACCAACTGAGCTATCAAGGTGCTGTCTAGTCCAAGTGCAGAAAACATAGTGGCTATGATGACACACTTTGCCCACACAACTAATCCACCTACATGGTCAGTGAAAAGCCCAGCCCTACCTTCAGAGCACAGCTTCTCAGTTTGTACCCAACAGTCATTGCCAGGGACCCAGAACTGATAATCAGGACTTTTAGGCTGGGTGAATAAAAAATTGATGGTTGGAAAATAAAGTAGGAGTTATCTTGTTTGTGTTTTTAAATTTTGGAGGAGCTGACAGATGAACACAAGGCTTGCTTTGAGCGGGAGTTGAACCAGCGACCTTGGAACCACAGCACTTCATAGGAGGAACTGCCTACATTACTCTGCTCTACCAACTGAGCTATCAAGGTGCTGTCTACTCCAAGTGCAGAAAACATAGTGGCTATGATGACACACTTTGCCCACACAACTAATCCACCTACATGGTCAGTGAAAAGCCCAGCCCTACCTTCAGAGCACAGCTTCTCAGTTTGTACCCAACAGTCATTGCCAGGGACCCAGAACTGATAATCAGGACTTTTAGGCTGGGTGAATAAAAAATTGACGGTTGGAAAATAAAGTAGGAGTTATCTTGTTTGTGTTTTTAAATTTTGGAGGAGCTGACAGATGAAGACAAGGCTTGCTTTGAGCGGGAGTTGAACCAGCAACCTTGGAACCACAGCACTTCATAGGAGGAACTGCCTACAGTCCTCTGTTCTACCAACTGAGCTATCAAGGTGCTGTCTACTCCAAGTGCAGAAAACATAGTGGCTATGATGACACACTTTGCCCACACAACTAATCCACCTACATGGTCAGTGAAAAGCCCAGCCCTACCTTCAGAGCACAGCTTCTCAGTTTGTACCCAACAGTCATTGCCAGGGACCCAGAACTGATAATCAGGACTTTTAGGCTGGGTGAATAAAAAATTGATGGTTGGAAAATAAAGTAGGAGTTATCTTGTTTGTGTTTTTAAATTTTGGAGGAGCTGACAGATGAAGACAAGGCTTGCTTTGAGCGGGAGTTGAACCAGCGACCTTGGAACCACAGCACTTCATAGGAGGAACTGCCTACAGTCCTCTGCTCTACCAACTGAGCTATCAAGGTGCTGTCTACTCCAAGTGCAGAAAACATAGTGGCTATGATGACACACTTTGCCCACACAACTAATCCACCTACATGGTCAGTGAAAAGCCCAGCCCTACCTTCAGAGCACAGCTTCTCAGTTTGTACCCAACAGTCATTGCCAGGGACCCAGAACTGATAATCAGGACTTTTAGGCTGGGTGAATAAAAAATTGACGGTTGGAAAATAAAGTAGGAGTTATCTTGTTTGTGTTTTTAAATTTTGGAGGAGCTGACAGATGAAGACAAGGCTTGCTTTGAGCGGGAGTTGAACCAGCGACCTTGGAACCACAGCACTTCATAGGAGGAACTGCCTAGAGTCCTCTGTTCTACCAACTGAGCTATCAGGGTGCTGTCTACTCCAAGTGCAGAAAACATAGTGGCTATGATGACACACTTTGCCCACACAACTAATCAACCTACATGGTCAGTGAAAAGCCCAGCCCTACCTTCAGAGCACAGCTTCTCAGTTTGTACCCAACAGTCATTGCCAGGGACCCAGAACTGATAATCAGGACTTTTAGGCTGGGTGAATAAAAAATTGATGGTTGGAAAATAAAGTAGGAGTTATCTTGTTTGTGTTTTTAAATCTTGGAGGAGCTGACAGATGAAGACAAGGCTTGCTTTGAGCGGGAGTTGAACCAGCGACCTTGGAACCACAGCACTTCATAGGAGGAACTGCCTACAGTCCTCTGCTCTACCAACTGAGCTATCAAGGTGCTGTCTACTCCAAGTGCAGAAAACATAGTGGCTATGATGACACACTTTGCCCACACAACTAATCCACCTACATGGTCAGTGAAAAGCCCAGCCCTACCTTCAGAGCACAGCTTCTCAGTTTGTACCCAACAGTCATTGCCAGGGACCCAGAACTGATAATCAGGACTTTTAGGCTGGGTGAATAAAAAATTGATGGTTGGAAAATAAAGTAGGAGTTATCTTGTTTGTGTTTTTAAATTTTGGAGGAGCTGACAGATGAACACTAGGCTTGCTTTGAGCGGGAGTTGAACCAGCGACCTTGGAACCACAGCACTTCATAGGAGGAACTGCCTACATTACTCTGCTCTACCAACTGAGCTATCAAGGTGCTGTCTACTCCAAGTGCAGAAAACATAGTGGCTATGATGACACACTTTGCCCACACAACTAATCCACCTACATGGTCAGTGAAAAGCCCAGCCCTACCTTCAGAGCACAGCTTCTCAGTTTGTACCCAACAGTCATTGCCAGGGACCCAGAACTGATAATCAGGACTTTTAGGCTGGGTGAGTAAAAAATTGATGGTTGGAAAATAAAGTAGGAGTTATCTTGTTTGTGTTTTTAAATTTTGGAGGAGCTGACAGATGAAGACAAGGCTTGCTTTGAGCGGGAGTTGAACCAGGGACCTTGGAACGACAGCACTTCATAGGAGGAACTGCCTACAGTCCTGTGCTCTACCAACTGAGCTATCAAGGTGCTGTCTACTCCAAGTGCAGAAAACATAGTGGCTATGATGACACACTTTGCCCACACAACTAATCCACCAACATGGTCAGTGAAAAGCCCAGCCCTACCTTCAGAGCACAGCTTCTCAGTTTGTACCCAACAGTCATTGCCAGGGACCCAGAACTGATAATCAGGACTTTTAGGCTGGGTGAATAAAAAATTGACGGTTGGAAAATAAAGTAGGAGTTATCTTGTTTGTGTTTTTAAATTTTGGAGGAGCTGACAGATGAACACAAGGCTTGCTTTGAGCGGGAGTTGAACCAGCGACCTTGGAACCACAGCACTTCATAGGAGGAACTGCCTACAGTCCTCTGCTCTACCAACTGAGCTATCAAGGTGCTGTCTAGTCCAAGTGCAGAAAACATAGTGGCTATGATGACACACTTTGCCCACACAACTAATCCACCTACATGGTCAGTGAAAAGCCCAGCCCTACCTTCAGAGCGCAGCTTCTCAGTTTGTACCCAACAGTCATTGCCAGGGACCCAGAACTGATAATCAGGACTTTTAGGCTGGGTGAATAAAAAATTGATGGTTGGAAAATAAAGTAGGAGTTATCTTGTTTGTGTTTTTAAATTTTGGAGGAGCTGACAGATGAATACAAGGCTTGCTTTGAGCGGGAGTTGAACCAGCGACCCTGGAATGACAGCACTTCATAGGAGGAACTGCCTACAGTCCTCTGCTCTACCAACTGAGCTATCAAGGTGCTGTCTACTCCAAGTGCAGAAAACATAGTGGCTATGATGACACACTTTGCCCACACAACTAATCCACCTACATGGTCAGTGAAAAGCCCAGCCCTACCTTCAGAGCGCAGCTTCTCAGTTTGTACCCAACAGTCATTGCCAGGGACCCAGAACTGATAATCAGGACTTTTAGGCTGGGTGAATAAAAAATTGATGGTTGGAAAATAAAGTAGCAGTTATCTTGTTTGTGTTTTTAAATTTTGGAGGAGCTGACAGATTAAGACAAGGCTTGCTTTGAGCGGGAGTTGAACAAGCGACCCTGGAACGACAGCACTTCATAGGAGGAACTGCCTACAGTCCTCTGCTCTACCAACTGAGCTATCAAGGTGCTGTCTACTCCAAGTGCAGAAAACATAGTGGCTATGATGACACACTTTGCCCACACAACTAATCCACCTACATGGTCAGTGAAAAGCCCAGCCCTACCTTCAGAGCACAGCTTCTCAGTTTGTACCCAACAGTCATTGCCAGGGACCCAGAACTGATAATCAGGACTTTTAGGCTGGGTGAATAAAAAATTGATGGTTGGAAAATAAAGTAGGAGTTATCTTGTTTGTGTTTTTAAATTTTGGAGGAGCTGACAGATGAACACAAGGCTTGCTTTGAGCGGGAGTTGAACGAGCGACCTTGGAACGACAGCACTTCATAGGAGGAACTGCCTACAGTCCTCTGCTCTACCAACTGAGCTATCAAGGTGCTGTCTACTCCAAGTGCAGAAAACATAGTGGCTATGATGACACACTTTGCCCACACAACTAATCCACCTACATGGTCAGTGAAAAGCCCAGCCCTACCTTCAGAGCACAGCTTCTCAGTTTGTACCCAACAGTCATTGCCAGGGACCCAGAACTGATAATCAGGACTTTTAGGCTGGGTGAATAAAAAATTGATGGTTGGAAAATAAAGTAGGAGTTATCTTGTTTGTGTTTTTAAATTTTGGAGGAGCTGACAGATGAATACAAGGCTTGCTTTGAGCGGGAGTTGAACCAGCGACCCTGGAATGACAGCACTTCATAGGAGGAACTGCCTACAGTCCTCTGCTCTACCAACTGAGCTATCAAGGTGCTGTCTACTCCAAGTGCAGAAAACATAGTGGCTATGATGACACACTTTGCCCACACAACTAATCCACCTACATGGTCAGTGAAAAGCCCAGCCCTACCTTCAGAGCGCAGCTTCTCAGTTTGTACCCAACAGTCATTGCCAGGGACCCAGAACTGATAATCAGGACTTTTAGGCTGGGTGAATAAAAAATTGATGGTTGGAAAATAAAGTAGCAGTTATCTTGTTTGTGTTTTTAAATTTTGGAGGAGCTGACAGATTAAGACAAGGCTTGCTTTGAGCGGGAGTTGAACAAGCGACCCTGGAACGACAGCACTTCATAGGAGGAACTGCCTACAGTCGTCTGCTCTACCAACTGAGCTATCAAGGTGCTGTCTACTCCAAGTGCAGAAAACATAGTGGCTATGATGACACACTTTGCCCACACAACTAATCCACCTACATGGTCAGTGAAAAGCCCAGCCCTACCTTCAGAGCACAGCTTCTCAGTTTGTACCCAACAGTCATTGCCAGGGACCCAGAACTGATAATCAGGACTTTTAGGCTGGGTGAATAAAAAATTGATGGTTGGAAAATAAAGTAGGAGTTATCTTGTTTGTGTTTTTAAATTTTGGAGGAGCTGACAGATGAACACAAGGCTTGCTTTGAGCGGGAGTTGAACGAGCGACCTTGGAACGACAGCACTTCATAGGAGGAACTGCCTACAGTCCTCTGCTCTACCAACTGAGCTATCAAGGTGCTGTCTACTCCAAGTGCAGAAAACATAGTGGCTATGATGACACACTTTGCCCACACAACTAATCCACCTACATGGTCAGTGAAAAGCCCAGCCCTACCTTCAGAGCACAGCTTCTCAGTTTGTACCCAACAGTCATTGCCAGGGACCCAGAACTGATAATCAGGACTTTTAGGCTGGGTGAATAAAAAATTGACGGTTGGAAAATAAAGTAGGAGTTATCTTGTTTGTGTTTTTAAATTTTGGAGGAGCTGACAGATGAACACAAGGCTTGCTTTGAGCGGGAGTTGAACCAGCGACCTTGGAACCACAGCACTTCATAGGAGGAACTGCCTACAGTCCTCTGCTCTACCAACTGAGCTATCAAGGTGCTGTCTACTCCAAGTGCAGAAAACATAGTGGCTATGATGACACACTTTGCCCACACAACTAATCCACCTACATGGTCAGTGAAAAGCCCAGCCCTACCTTCAGAGCACAGCTTCTCAGTTTGTACCCAACAGTCATTGCCAGGGACCCAGAACTGATAATCAGGACTTTTAGGCTGGGTGAATAAAAAATTGATGGTTGGAAAATAAAGTAGGAGTTATCTTGTTTGTGTTTTTAAATTTTGGAGGAGCTGACAGATGAACACAAGGCTTGCCTTTAGCGGGAGTTGAACCAGCGACCTTGGAACCACAGCACTTCATAGGAGGAACTGCCTACAGTCCTCTGCTCTACCAACTGAGCTATCAAGGTGGTGTCTACTCCAAGTGCAGAAAACATAGTGGCTATGATGACACACTTTGCCCACACAACTAATCCACCTACATGGTCAGTGAAAAGCCCAGCCCTACCTTCAGAGCGCAGCTTCTCAGTTTGTACCCAACAGTCATTGCCAGGGACCCAGAACTGATAATCAGGACTTTTAGGCTGGGTGAATAAAAAATTGATGGTTGGAAAATAAAGTAGGAGTTATCTTGTTTGTGTTTTTAAATTTTGGAGGAGCTGACAGATGAAGACAAGGCTTGCTTTGAGCGGGAGTTGAACCAGCGAACTTGGAACCACAGCACTTCATAGGAGGAACTGCCTACAGTCCTCTGCTCTACCAACTGAGCTATCAAGGTGCTGTCTACTCCAAGTGCAGAAAACATAGTGGCTATGATGACACACTTTGCCCACACAACTAATCCACCTACATGGTCAGTGAAAAGCCCAGCCCTACCTTCAGAGCACAGCTTCTCAGTTTGTACCCAACAGTCATTGCCAGGGACCCAGAACTGATAATCAGGACTTTTAGGCTGGGTGAATAAAAAATTGACGGTTGGAAAATAAAGTAGGAGTTATCTTGTTTGTGTTTTTAAATTTTGGAGGAGCTGACAGATGAACACAAGGCTTGCTTTGAGCGGGAGTTGAACCAGCAACCTTGGAACCACAGCACTTCATAGGAGGAACTGCCTACAGTCCTCTGCTCTACCAACTGAGCTATCAAGGTGCTGTCTACTCCAAGTGCAGAAAACATAGTGGCTATGATGACACACTTTGCCCACACAACTAATCCACCTACATGGTCAGTGAAAAGCCCAGCCCTACCTTCAGAGCACAGCTTCTCAGTTTGTACCCAACAGTCATTGCCAGGGACCCAGAACTGATAATCAGGACTTTTAGGCTGGGTGAATAAAAAATTGATGGTTGGAAAATAAAGTAGGAGTTATCTTGTTTGTGTTTTTAAATTTTGGAGGAGCTGACAGATGAACACAAGGCTTGCTTTGAGCGGGAGTTGAACCAGCGACCTTGGAACCACAGCACTTCCTAGGAGGAACTGCCTACAGTCCTCTGCTCTACCAACTGAGCTATCAAGGTGCTGTCTACTCCAAGTGCAGAAAACATAGTGGCTATGATGACACACTTTGCCCACACAACTAATCCACCTACATGGTCAGTGAAAAGCCCAGCCCTACCTTCAGAGCACAGCTTCTCAGTTTGTACCCAACAGTCATTGCCAGGGACCCAGAACTGATAATCAGGACTTTTAGGCTGGGTGAATAAAAAATTGACGGTTGGAAAATAAAGTAGGAGTTATCTTGTTTGTGTTTTTAAATTTTGGAGGAGCTGACAGATGAAGACAAGGCTTGCTTTGAGCGGGAGTTGAACCAGCGACCTTGGAACCACAGCACTTCATAGGAGGAACTGCCTAGAGTCCTCTGTTCTACCAACTGAGCTATCAGGGTGCTGTCTACTCCAAGTGCAGAAAACATAGTGGCTATGATGACACACTTTGCCCACACAACTAATCCACCTACATGGTCAGTGAAAAGCCCAGCCCTACCTTCAGAGCACAGCTTCTCAGTTTGTACCCAACAGTCATTGCCAGGGACCCAGAACTGATAATCAGGACTTTTAGGCTGGGTGAATAAAAAATTGATGGTTGGAAAATAAAGTAGGAGTTATCTTGTTTGTGTTTTTAAATTTTGGAGGAGCTGACAGATGAAGACAAGGCTTGCTTTGAGCGGGAGTTGAACCAGCAACCTTGGAACCACAGCACTTCATAGGAGGAACTGCCTACAGTCCTCTGCTCTACCAACTGAGCTATCAAGGTGCTGTCTACTCCAAGTGCAGAAAACATAGTGGCTATGATGACACACTTTGCCCACACAACTAATCCACCTACATGGTCAGTGAAAAGCCCAGCCCGACCTTCAGAGCACAGCTTCTCAGTTTGTACCCAACAGTCATTGCCAGACCCAGAACTGATAATCAGGACTTTTAGGCTGGGTGAATAAAAAATTGATGGTTGGAAAATAAAGTAGGAGTTATCTTGTTTGTGTTTTTAAATTTTGGAGGAGCTGACAGATGAACACAAGGCTTGCTTTGAGCGGGAGTTGAACTAGCGACCTTGGAACCACAGCACTTCATAGGAGGAACTGCCTACATTACTCTGCTCTACCAACTGAGCTATCAAGGTGCTGTCTAGTCCAAGTGCAGAGAACATAGTGGCTATGATGACACACTTTGCCCACACAACTAATCCACCTACATGGTCAGTGAAAAGCCCAGCCCTACCTTCAGAGCACAGCTTCTCAGTTTGTACCCAACAGTCATTGCCAGGGACCCAGAACTGATAATCAGGACTTTTAGGCTGGGTGAATAAAAAATTGATGGTTGGAAAATAAAGTAGGAGTTATCTTGTTTGTGTTTTTAAATTTTGGAGGAGCTGACAGATGAAGACAAGGCTTGCTTTGAGCGGGAGTTGAACCAGCGACCTTGGAACCACAGCACTTCATAGGAGGAACTGCCTACAGTCCTGTGCTCTACCAACTGAGCTATCAAGGTGCTGTCTACTCCAAGTGCAGAAAACATAGTGGCTATGATGACACACTTTGCCCACACAACTAATCCACCAACATGGTCAGTGAAAAGCCCAGCCCTACCTTCAGAGCACAGCTTCTCAGTTTGTACCCAACAGTCATTGCCAGGGACCCAGAACTGATAATCAGGACTTTTAGGCTGGGTGAATAAAAAATTGATGGTTGGAAAATAAAGTAGGAGTTATCTTGTTTGTGTTTTTAAATTTTGGAGGAGCTGACAGATGAACACAAGGCTTGCTTTGAGGGGGAGTTGAAGCAGCGACCCTGGAACGACAGCACTTCATAGGAAGAACTGCCTACAGTCCTCTGCTCTACCAACTGAGCTATCAAGGTGCTGTCTACTCCAAGTGCAGAAAACATAGTGGCTATGATGACACACTTTGCCCACACAACTAATCCACCTACATGGTCAGTGAAAAGCCCAGCCCTACCTTCAGAGCGCAGCTTCTCAGTTTGTACCCAACAGTCATTGCCAGGGACCCAGAACTGATAATCAGGACTTTTAGGCTGGGTGAATAAAAAATTGATGGTTGGAAAATAAAGTAGGAGTTATCTTGTTTGTGTTTTTAAATTTTGGAGGAGCTGACAGATGAAGACAAGGCTTGCTTTGAGCGGGAGTTGAACCAGCGACCTTGGAACCACAGCACTTCATAGGAGGAACTGCCTACAGTCCTCTGCTCTACCAACTGAGCTATCAAGGTGCTGTCTACTCCAAGTGCAGAAAACATAGTGGCTATGATGACACACTTTGCCCACACAACTAATCCACCTACATGGTCAGTGAAAAGCCCAGCCCTACCTTCAGAGCACAGCTTCTCAGTTTGTACCCAACAGTCATTGCCAGGGACCCAGAACTGATAATCAGGACTTTTAGGCTGGGTGAATAAAAAATTGATGGTTGGAAAATAAAGTAGGAGTTATCTTGTTTGTGTTTTTAAATTTTGGAGGAGCTGACAGATGAAGACAAGGCTTGCTTTGAGCGGGAGTTGAACCAGCGACCTTGGAACCACAGCACTTCATAGGAGGAACTGCCTACAGTCCTCTGCTCTACCAACTGAGCTATCAAGGTGCTGTCTACTCCAAGTGCAGAAAACATAGTGGCTATGATGACACACTTTGCCCACACAACTAATCCACCTACATGGTCAGTGAAAAGCCCAGCCCTACCTTCAGAGCACAGCTTCTCAGTTTGTACCCAACAGTCATTGCCAGGGACCCAGAACTGATAATCAGGACTTTTAGGCTGGGTGAATAAAAAATTGACGGTTGGAAAATAAAGTAGGAGTTATCTTGTTTGTGTTTTTAAATTTTGGAGGAGCTGACAGATGAAGACAAGGCTTGCTTTGAGCGGGAGTTGAACCAGCGACCTTGGAACCACAGCACTTCATAGGAGGAACTGCCTAGAGTCCTCTGTTCTACCAACTGAGCTATCAGGGTGCTGTCTACTCCAAGTGCAGAAAACATAGTGGCTATGATGACACACTTTGCCCACACAACTAATCCACCTACATGGTCAGTGAAAAGCCCAGCCCTACCTTCAGAGCACAGCTTCTCAGTTTGTACCCAACAGTCATTGCCAGGGACCCAGAACTGATAATCAGGACTTTTAGGCTGGGTGAATAAAAAATTGATGGTTGGAAAATAAAGTAGGAGTTATCTTGTTTGTGTTTTTAAATTTTGGAGGAGCTGACAGATGAAGACAAGGCTTGCTTTGAGCGGGAGTTGAACCAGCGACCTTGGAACCACAGCACTTCATAGGAGGAACTGCCTACAGTCCTCTGCTCTACCAACTGAGCTATCAAGGTGCTGTCTACTCCAAGTGCAGAAAACATAGTGGCTATGATGACACACTTTGCCCACACAACTAATCCACCTACATGGTCAGTGAAAAGCCCAGCCCTACCTTCAGAGCACAGCTTCTCAGTTTGTACCCAACAGTCATTGCCAGACCCAGAACTGATAATCAGGACTTTTAGGCTGGGTGAATAAAAAATTGATGGTTGGAAAATAAAGTAGGAGTTATCTTGTTTGTGTTTTTAAATTTTGGAGGAGCTGACAGATGAACACTAGGCTTGCTTTGAGCGGGAGTTGAACCAGCGACCTTGGAACCACAGCACTTCATAGGAGGAACTGCCTACATTACTCTGCTCTACCAACTGAGCTATCAAGGTGCTGTCTACTCCAAGTGCAGAAAACATAGTGGCTATGATGACACACTTTGCCCACACAACTAATCCACCTACATGGTCAGTGAAAAGCCCAGCCCTACCTTCAGAGCACAGCTTCTCAGTTTGTACCCAACAGTCATTGCCAGGGACCCAGAACTGATAATCAGGACTTTTAGGCTGGGTGAGTAAAAAATTGATGGTTGGAAAATAAAGTAGGAGTTATCTTGTTTGTGTTTTTAAATTTTGGAGGAGCTGACAGATGAAGACAAGGCTTGCTTTGAGCGGGAGTTGAACCAGGGACCTTGGAACCACAGCACTTCATAGGAGGAACTGCCTACAGTCCTCTGCTCTACCAACTGAGCTATCAAGGTGCTGTCTACTCCAAGTGCAGAAAACATAGTGGCTATGATGACACACTTTGCCCACACAACTAATCCACCAACATGGTCAGTGAAAAGCCCAGCCCTACCTTCAGAGCACAGCTTCTCAGTTTGTACCCAACAGTCATTGCCAGGGACCCAGAACTGATAATCAGGACTTTTAGGCTGGGTGAATAAAAAATTGACGGTTGGAAAATAAAGTAGGAGTTATCTTGTTTGTGTTTTTAAATTTTGGAGGAGCTGACAGATGAACACAAGGCTTGCTTTGAGCGGGAGTTGAACCAGCAACCTTGGAACCACAGCACTTCATAGGAGGAACTGCCTACAGTCCTCTGCTCTACCAACTGAGCTATCAAGGTGCTGTCTACTCCAAGTGCAGAAAACATAGTGGCTATGATGACACACTTTGCCCACACAACTAATCCACCTACATGGTCAGTGAAAAGCCCAGCCCTACCTTCAGAGCACAGCTTCTCAGTTTGTACCCAACAGTCATTGCCAGGGACCCAGAACTGATAATCAGGACTTTTAGGCTGGGTGAATAAAAAATTGATGGTTGGAAAATAAAGTAGGAGTTATCTTGTTTGTGTTTTTAAATCTTGGAGGAGCTGACAGATGAAGACAAGGCTTGCTTTGAGCGGGAGTTGAACCAGCGACCTTGGAACCACAGCACTTCATAGGAGGAACTGCCTACAGTCCTCTGCTCTACCAACTGAGCTATCAAGGTGCTGTCTACTCCAAGTGCAGAAAACATAGTGGCTATGATGACACACTTTGCCCACACAACTAATCCACCTACATGGTCAGTGAAAAGCCCAGCCCTACCTTCAGAGCACAGCTTCTCAGTTTGTACCCAACAGTCATTGCCAGGGACCCAGAACTGATAATCAGGACTTTTAGGCTGGGTGAATAAAAAATTGACGGTTGGAAAATAAAGTAGGAGTTATCTTGTTTGTGTTTTTAAATTTTGGAGGAGCTGACAGATGAAGACAAGGCTTGCTTTGAGCGGGAGTTGAACCAGCGACCTTGGAACCACAGCACTTCATAGGAGGAACTGCCTAGAGTCCTCTGTTCTACCAACTGAGCTATCAGGGTGCTGTCTACTCCAAGTGCAGAAAACATAGTGGCTATGATGACACACTTTGCCCACACAACTAATCCACCTACATGGTCAGTGAAAAGCCCAGCCCTACCTTCAGAGCACAGCTTCTCAGTTTGTACCCAACAGTCATTGCCAGGGACCCAGAACTGATAATCAGGACTTTTAGGCTGGGTGAATAAAAAATTGATGGTTGGAAAATAAAGTAGGAGTTATCTTGTTTGTGTTTTTAAATTTTGGAGGAGCTGACAGATGAAGACAAGGCTTGCTTTGAGCGGGAGTTGAACCAGCAACCTTGGAACCACAGCACTTCATAGGAGGAACTGCCTACAGTCCTCTGCTCTACCAACTGAGCTATCAAGGTGCTGTCTACTCCAAGTGCAGAAAACATAGTGGCTATGATGACACACTTTGCCCACACAACTAATCCACCTACATGGTCAGTGAAAAGCCCAGCCCGACCTTCAGAGCACAGCTTCTCAGTTTGTACCCAACAGTCATTGCCAGGGACCCAGAACTGATAATCAGGACTTTTAGGCTGGGTGAATAAAAAATTGATGGTTGGAAAATAAAGTAGGAGTTATCTTGTTTGTGTTTTTAAATTTTGGAGGAGCTGACAGATGAACACAAGGCTTGCTTTGAGCGGGAGTTGAACTAGCGACCTTGGAACCACAGCACTTCATAGGAGGAACTGCCTACATTACTCTGCTCTACCAACTGAGCTATCAAGGTGCTGTCTAGTCCAAGTGCAGAGAACATAGTGGCTATGATGACACACTTTGCCCACACAACTAATCCACCTACATGGTCAGTGAAAAGCCCAGCCCTACCTTCAGAGCACAGCTTCTCAGTTTGTACCCAACAGTCATTGCCAGGGACCCAGAACTGATAATCAGGACTTTTAGGCTGGGTGAATAAAAAATTGATGGTTGGAAAATAAAGTAGGAGTTATCTTGTTTGTGTTTTTAAATTTTGGAGGAGCTGACAGATGAAGACAAGGCTTGCTTTGAGCGGGAGTTGAACCAGCGACCTTGGAACCACAGCACTTCATAGGAGGAACTGCCTACAGTCCTGTGCTCTACCAACTGAGCTATCAAGGTGCTGTCTACTCCAAGTGCAGAAAACATAGTGGCTATGATGACACACTTTGCCCACACAACTAATCCACCAACATGGTCAGTGAAAAGCCCAGCCCTACCTTCAGAGCACAGCTTCTCAGTTTGTACCCAACAGTCATTGCCAGGGACCCAGAACTGATAATCAGGACTTTTAGGCTGGGTGAATAAAAAATTGATGGTTGGAAAATAAAGTAGGAGTTATGTTGTTTGTGTTTTTAAATTTTGGAGGAGCTGACAGATGAACACAAGGCTTGCTTTGAGGGGGAGTTGAACCAGCGTCCCTGGAACGACAGCACTTCATAGGAAGAACTGCCTACAGTCCTCTGCTATACCAACTGAGCTATCAAGGTGCTGTCTACTCCAAGTGCAGAAAACATAGTGGCTATGATGACACACTTTGCCCACACAACTAATCCACCTACATGGTCAGTGAAAAGCCCAGCCCTACCTTCAGAGCGCAGCTTCTCAGTTTGTACCCAACAGTCATTGCCAGGGACCCAGAACTGATAATCAGGACTTTTAGGCTGGGTGAATAAAAAATTGATGGTTGGAAAATAAAGTAGGAGTTATCTTGTTTGTGTTTTTAAATTTTGGAGGAGCTGACAGATGAAGACAAGGCTTGCTTTGAGCGGGAGTTGAACCAGCGACCTTGGAACCACAGCACTTCATAGGAGGAACTGCCTACAGTCCTGTGCTCTACCAACTGAGCTATCAAGGTGCTGTCTACTCCAAGTGCAGAAAACATAGTGGCTATGATGACACACTTTGCCCACACAACTAATCCACCTACATGGTCAGTGAAAAGCCCAGCCCTACCTTCAGAGCACAGCTTCTCAGTTTGTACCCAACAGTCATTGCCAGGGACCCAGAACTGATAATCAGGACTTTTAGGCTGGGTGAATAAAAAATTGATGGTTGGAAAATAAAGTAGGAGTTATCTTGTTTGTGTTTTTAAATTTTGGAGGAGCTGACAGATGAACACAAGGCTTGCTTTGAGCGGGAGTTGAACGAGCGACCCTGGAACCACAGCACTTCATAGGAGGAACTGCCTACAGTCCTCTGCTCTACCAACTGAGCTATCAAGGTGCTGTCTACTCCAAGTGCAGAAAACATAGTGGCTATGATGACACACTTTGCCCACACAACTAATCCACCTACATGGTCAGTGAAAAGCCCAGCCCTACCTTCAGAGCGCAGCTTCTCAGTTTGTACCCAACAGTCATTGCCAGGGACCCAGAACTGATAATCAGGACTTTTAGGCTGGGTGAATAAAAAATTGATGGTTGGAAAATAAAGTAGGAGTTATCTTGTTTGTGTTTTTAAATTTTGGAGGAGCTGACAGATGAAGACAAGGCTTGCTTTGAGCAGGAGTTGAAGCAGCGACCTTGGAACGACAGCACTTCATAGGAGGAACTGCCTACAGTCCTCTGCTCTACCAACTGAGCTATCAAGGTGCTGTCTACTACAAGTGCAGAAAACATAGTGGCTATGATGACACACTTTGCCCACACAACTAATCCACCTACATGGTCAGTGAAAAGCCCAGCCCTACCTTCAGAGCGCAGCTTCTCAGTTTGTACCCAACAGTCATTGCCAGGGACCCAGAACTGATAATCAGGACTTTTAGGCTGGGTGAATAAAAAATTGATGGTTGGAAAATAAAGTAGGAGTTATCTTGTTTGTGTTTTTAAATTTTGGAGGAGGTGACAGATGAAGTCAAGGCTTGCTTTGAGCGGGAGTTGAACCAGCGACCTTGGAACGACAGCACTTCATAGGAGGAACTGCCTACAGTCCTCTGCTCTACCAACTGAGCTATCAAGGTGCTGTCTACTCCAAGTGCAGAAAACATAGTGGCTATGATGACACACTTTGCCCACACAACTAATCCACCTACATGGTCAGTGAAAAGCCCAGCCCTACCTTCAGAGCACAGCTTCTCAGTTTGTACCCAACAGTCATTGCCAGGGACCCAGAACTGATAATCAGGACTTTTAGGCTGGGTGAATAAAAAATTGACGGTTGGAAAATAAAGTAGGAGTTATCTTGTTTGTGTTTTTAAATTTTGGAGGAGCTGACAGATGAACACAAGGCTTGCTTTGAGCGGGAGTTGAACCAGCGACCTTGGAACCACAGCACTTCACAGGAGGAACTGCCTACAGTCCTCTGCTCTACCAACTGAGCTATCAAGGTGCTGTCTACACCAAGTGCAGAAAACATAGTGGCTATGATGACACACTTTGCCCACACAACTAATCCACCTACATGGTCAGTGAAAAGCCCAGCCCTACCTTCAGAGCACAGCTTCTCAGTTTGTACCCAACAGTCATTGCCAGGGACCCAGAACTGATAATCAGGACTTTTAGGCTGGGTGAATAAAAAATTGATGGTTGGAAAATAAAGTAGGAGTTATCTTGTTTGTGTTTTTAAATTTTGGAGGAGCTGACAGATGAACACAAGGCTTGCTTTGAGCGGGAGTTGAACCAGCGACCCTGGAACGACAGCACTTCATAGGAAGAACTGCCTACAGTCCTCTGCTCTACCAACTGAGCTATCAAGGTGCTGTCTACTCCAAGTGCAGAAAACATAGTGGCTATGATGACACACTTTGCCCACACAACTAATCCACCTACATGGTCAGTGAAAAGCCCAGCCCTACCTTCAGAGCGCAGCTTCTCAGTTTGTACCCAACAGTCATTGCCAGGGACCCAGAACTGATAATCAGGACTTTTAGGCTGGGTGAATAAAAAATTGACGGTTGGAAAATAAAGTAGGAGTTATCTTGTTTGTGTTTTTAAATTTTGGAGGAGCTGACAGATGAAGACAAGGCTTGCTTTGAGCGGGAGTTGAACCACCGACCTTGGAACCACAGCACTTCATAGGAGGAACTGCCTACAGTCCTCTGCTCTACCAACTGAGCTATCAAGGTGCTGTCTACTCCAAGTGCAGAAAACATAGTGGCTATGATGACACACTTTGCCCACACAACTAATCCACCTACATGGTCAGTGAAAAGCCCAGCCCTACCTTCAGAGCACAGCTTCTCAGTTTGTACCCAACAGTCATTGCCAGGGACCCAGAACTGATAATCAGGACTTTTAGGCTGGGTGAATAAAAAATTGATGGTTGGAAAATAAAGTAGGAGTTATCTTGTTTGTGTTTTTAAATTTTGGAGGAGCTGACAGATGAACACAAGGCTTGCTTTGAGCGGGAGTTGAACCAGCGACCCTGGAACCACAGCACTTCATAGGAGGAACTGCCTACAGTCCTCTGCTCTACCAACTGAGCTATCAAGGTGCTGTCTACTCCTAGTGCAGAAAACATAGTGGCTATGATGACACACTTTGCCCACACAACTAATCCACCTACATGGTCAGTGAAAAGCCCAGCCCTACCTTCAGAGCACAGCTTCTCAGTTTGTACCCAACAGTCATTGCCAGGGACCCAGAACTGATAATCAGGACTTTTAGGCTGGGTGAATAAAAAATTGATGGTTGGAAAATAAAGTAGGAGTTATCTTGTTTGTGTTTTTAAATTTTGGAGGAGCTGACAGATGAAGACAAGGCTTGCTTTGAGCAGGAGTTGAAGCAGCGACCTTGGAACGACAGCACTTCATAGGAGGAACTGCCTACAGTCCTCTGCTCTACCAACTGAGCTATCAAGGTGCTGTCTACTCCAAGTGCAGAAAACATAGTGGCTATGATGACACACTTTGCCCACACAACTAATCCACCTACATGGTCAGTGAAAAGCCCAGCCCTACCTTCAGAGCGCAGCTTCTCAGTTTGTACCCAACAGTCATTGCCAGGGACCCAGAACTGATAATCAGGACTTTTAGGCTGGGTGAATAAAAAATTGATGGTTGGAAAATAAAGTAGGAGTTATCTTGTTTGTGTTTTTAAATTTTGGAGGAGGTGACAGATGAAGTCAAGGCTTGCTTTGAGCGGGAGTTGAACCAGCGACCTTGGAACGACAGCACTTCATAGGAGGAACTGCCTACAGTCCTCTGCTCTACCAACTGAGCTATCAAGGTGCTGTCTACTCCAAGTGCAGAAAACATAGTGGCTATGATGACACACTTTGCCCACACAACTAATCCACCTACATGGTCAGTGAAAAGCCCAGCCCTACCTTCAGAGCACAGCTTCTCAGTTTGTACCCAACAGTCATTGCCAGGGACCCAGAACTGATAATCAGGACTTTTAGGCTGGGTGAATAAAAAATTGACGGTTGGAAAATAAAGTAGGAGTTATCTTGTTTGTGTTTTTAAATTTTGGAGGAGCTGACAGATGAACACAAGGCTTGCTTTGAGCGGGAGTTGAACCAGCGACCTTGGAACCACAGCACTTCACAGGAGGAACTGCCTACAGTCCTCTGCTCTACCAACTGAGCTATCAAGGTGGTGTCTACACCAAGTGCAGAAAACATAGTGGCTATGATGACACACTTTGCCCACACAACTAATCCACCTACATGGTCAGTGAAAAGCCCAGCCCTACCTTCAGAGCACAGCTTCTCAGTTTGTACCCAACAGTCATTGCCAGGGACCCAGAACTGATAATCAGGACTTTTAGGCTGGGTGAATAAAAAATTGATGGTTGGAAAATAAAGTAGGAGTTATCTTGTTTGTGTTTTTAAATTTTGGAGGAGCTGACAGATGAACACAAGGCTTGCTTTGAGCGGGAGTTGAACCACCGACCCTGGAACGACAGCACTTCATAGGAAGAACTGCCTACAGTCCTCTGCTCTACCAACTGAGCTATCAAGGTGCTGTCTACTCCAAGTGCAGAAAACATAGTGGCTATGATGACACACTTTGCCCACACAACTAATCCACCTACATGGTCAGTGAAAAGCCCAGCCCTACCTTCAGAGCGCAGCTTCTCAGTTTGTACCCAACAGTCATTGCCAGGGACCCAGAACTGATAATCAGGACTTTTAGGCTGGGTGAATAAAAAATTGACGGTTGGAAAATAAAGTAGGAGTTATCTTGTTTGTGTTTTTAAATTTTGGAGGAGCTGACAGATGAAGACAAGGCTTGCTTTGAGCGGGAGTTGAACCAGCGACCTTGGAACCACAGCACTTCATAGGAGGAACTGCCTACAGTCCTCTGCTCTACCAACTGAGCTATCAAGGTGCTGTCTACTCCAAGTGCAGAAAACATAGTGGCTATGATGACACACTTTGCCCACACAACTAATCCACCTACATGGTCAGTGAAAAGCCCAGCCCTACCTTCAGAGCACAGCTTCTCAGTTTGTACCCAACAGTCATTGCCAGGGACCCAGAACTGATAATCAGGACTTTTAGGCTGGGTGAATAAAAAATTGATGGTTGGAAAATAAAGTAGGAGTTATCTTGTTTGTGTTTTTAAATTTTGGAGGAGCTGACAGATGAAGACAAGGCTTGCTTTGAGCGGGAGTTGAACCAGCGACACTGGAACGACAGCACTTCATAGGAGGAACTGCCTACAGTCCTCTGCTCTACCAACTGAGCTATCAAGGTGCTGTCTACTCCAAGTGCAGAAAACATAGTGGCTATGATGACACACTTTGCCCACACAACTAATCCACCTACATGGTCAGTGAAAAGCCCAGCCCTACCTTCAGAGCACAGCTTCTCAGTTTGTACCCAACAGTCATTGCCAGGGACCCAGAACTGATAATCAGGACTGTTAGGCTGGGTGAACAAAAAATTGACGGTTGGAAAATAAAGTAGGAGTTATCTTGTTTGTGTTTTTAAATTTTGGAGGAGCTGACAGATGAAGACAAGGCTTGCTTTGAGCAGGAGTTGAACCAGCGACGTTGGAACGAGAGCACTTGATAGGAGGAACTGCCTACAGTCCTCTGCTCTACCAACTGAGCTATCAAGGTGCTGTCTACTCCAAGTGCAGAAAACATAGTGGCTATGATGACACACTTTGCCCACACAACTAATCCACCAACATGGTCAGTGAAAAGCCCAGCCCTACCTTCAGAGCACAGCTTCTCAGTTTGTACCCAACAGTCATTGCCAGGGACCCAGAACTGATAATCAGGACTTTTAGGCTGGGTGAATAAAAAATTGATGGTTGGAAAATAAAGTAGGAGTTATCTTGTTTGTGTTTTTAAATTTTGGAGGAGCTGACAGATGAAGACAAGGCTTGCTTTGAGCGGGAGTTGAACCAGCGACCCTGGAACGACAGCACTTCATTGGAGGAACTGCCTACAGTCCTCTGCTCTACCAACTGGGCTATCAAGGTGCTGTCTACTCCAAGTGCAGAAAACATAGTGGCTATGATGACACACTTTGCCCACACAACTAATCCACCTACATGGTCAGTGAAAAGCCCAGCCCTACCTTCAGAGCGCAGCTTCTCAGTTTGTACCCAACAGTCATTGCCAGGGACCCAGAACTGATAATCAGGACTTTTAGGCTGGGTGAATAAAAAATTGATGGTTGGAAAATAAAGTAGGAGTTATCTTGTTTGTGTTTTTAAATTTTGGAGGAGCTGACAGATGAACACAAGGCTTGCTTTGAGCGGGAGTTGAACCAGCGACCCTGGAACGACAGCACTTCATAGGAGGAACTGCCTACAGTCCTCTGCTCTACCAACTGAGCTATCAAGGTGCTGTCTACTCCAAGTGCAGAAAACATAGTGGCTATGATGACACACTTTGCCCACACAACTAATCCACCTACATGGTCAGTGAAAAGCCCAGCCCTACCTTCAGAGCACAGCTTCTCAGTTTGTACCCAACAGTCATTGCCAGGGACCCAGAACTGATAATCAGGACTTTTAGGCTGGGTGAACAAAAAATTGACGGTTGGAAAATAAAGTAGGAGTTATCTTGTTTGTGTTTTTAAATTTTGGAGGAGCTGACAGATGAAGACAAGGCTTGCTTTGAGCGGGAGTTGAACCAGCGACGTTGGAACCACAGCACTTCATAGGAGGAACTGCCTACAGTCCTCTGCTCTACCAACTGAGCTATCAAGGTGCTGTCTACTCCAAGTGCAGAAAACATAGTGGCTATGATGACACACTTTGCCCACACAACTAATCCACCTACATGGTCAGTGAAAAGCCCAGCCCTACCTTCAGAGCACAGCTTCTCAGTTTGTACCCAACAGTCATTGCCAGGGACCCAGAACTGATAATCAGGACTTTTAGGCTGGGTGAATAAAAAATTGACGGTTGGAAAATAAAGTAGGAGTTATCTTGTTTGTGTTTTTAAATTTTGGAGGAGCTGACAGATGAAGACAAGGCTTGCTTTGAGCGGGAGTTGAACCAGCGACCTTGGAACCACAGCACTTCATAGGAGGAACTGCCTAGAGTCCTCTGTTCTACCAACTGAGCTATCAGGGTGCTGTCTACTCCAAGTGCAGAAAACATAGTGGCTATGATGACACACTTTGCCCACACAACTAATCCACCTACATGGTCAGTGAAAAGCCCAGCCCTACCTTCAGAGCACAGCTTCTCAGTTTGTACCCAACAGTCATTGCCAGGGACCCAGAACTGATAATCAGGACTTTTAGGCTGGGTGAATAAAAAATTGATGGTTGGAAAATAAAGTAGGAGTTATCTTGTTTGTGTTTTTAAATTTTGGAGGAGCTGACAGATGAAGACAAGGCTTGCTTTGAGCGGGAGTTGAACCAGCGACCTTGGAACCACAGCACTTCATAGGAGGAACTGCCTACAGTCCTCTGCTCTACCAACTGAGCTATCAAGGTGCTGTCTACTCCAAGTGCAGAAAACATAGTGGCTATGATGACACACTTTGCCCACACAACTAATCCACCAACATGGTCAGTGAAAAGCCCAGCCCTACCTTCAGAGCACAGCTTCTCAGTTTGTACCCAACAGTCATTGCCAGGGACCCAGAACTGATAATCAGGACTTTTAGGCTGGGTGAATAAAAAATTGATGGTTGGAAAATAAAGTAGGAGTTATCTTGTTTGTGTTTTTAAATTTTGGAGGAGCTGACAGATGAAGACAAGGCTTGCTTTGAGCAGGAGTTGAACCAGCGACGTTGGAACGAGAGCACTTGATAGGAGGAACTGCCTACAGTCCTCTGCTCTACCAACTGAGCTATCAAGGTGCTGTCTACTCCAAGTGCAGAAAACATAGTGGCTATGATGACACACTTTGCCCACACAACTAATCCACCAACATGGTCAGTGAAAAGCCCAGCCCTACCTTCAGAGCACAGCTTCTCAGTTTGTACCCAACAGTCATTGCCAGGGACCCAGAACTGATATTCAGGACTTTTAGGCTGGGTGAATAAAAAATTGATGGTTGGAAAATAAAGTAGGAGTTATCTTGTTTGTGTTTTTAAATTTTGGAGGAGCTGACAGATGAAGACAAGGCTTGCTTTGAGCGGGAGTTGAACCAGCGACCCTGGAACGACAGCACTTCATTGGAGGAACTGCCTACAGTCCTCTGCTCTACCAACTGAGCTATCAAGGTTGTGTCTACTCCAAGTGCAGAAAACATAGTGGCTATGATGACACACTTTGCCCACACAACTAATCCACCTACATGGTCAGTGAAAAGCCCAGCCCTACCTTCAGAGCGCAGCTTCTCAGTTTGTACCCAACAGTCATTGCCAGGGACCCAGAACTGATAATCAGGACTTTTAGGCTGGGTGAATAAAAAATTGATGGTTGGAAAATAAAGTAGGAGTTATCTTGTTTGTGTTTTTAAATTTTGGAGGAGCTGACAGATGAACACAAGGCTTGCTTTGAGCGGGAGTTGAACCAGCGACCCTGGAACGACAGCACTTCATAGGAGGAACTGCCTACAGTCCTCTGCTCTACCAACTGAGCTATCAAGGTGCTGTCTACTCCAAGTGCAGAAAACATAGTGGCTATGATGACACACTTTGCCCACACAACTAATCCACCTACATGGTCAGTGAAAAGCCCAGCCCTACCTTCAGAGCACAGCTTCTCAGTTTGTACCCAACAGTCATTGCCAGGGACCCAGAACTGATAATCAGGACTTTTAGGCTGGGTGAACAAAAAATTGACGGTTGGAAAATAAAGTAGGAGTTATCTTGTTTGTGTTTTTAAATTTTGGAGGAGCTGACAGATGAAGACAAGGCTTGCTTTGAGCGGGAGTTGAACCAGCGACGTTGGAACCACAGCACTTCATAGGAGGAACTGCCTACAGTCCTCTGCTCTACCAACTGAGCTATCAAGGTGCTGTCTACTCCAAGTGCAGAAAACATAGTGGCTATGATGACACACTTTGCCCACACAACTAATCCACCTACATGGTCAGTGAAAAGCCCAGCCCTACCTTCAGAGCGCAGCTTCTCAGTTTGTACCCAACAGTCATTGCCAGGGACCCAGAACTGATAATCAGGACTTTTAGGCTGGGTGAATAAAAAATTGATGGTTGGAAAATAAAGTAGGAGTTATCTTGTTTGTGTTTTTAAATTTTGGAGGAGCTGACAGATGAACACAAGGCTTGCTTTGAGCGGGAGTTGAACCAGCGACGTTGGAACCACAGCACTTCATAGGAGGAACTGCCTACAGTCCTCTGCTCTACCAACTGAGCTATCAAGGTGCTGTCTACTCCAAGTGCAGAAAACATAGTGGCTATGATGACACACTTTGCCCACACAACTAATCCACCTACATGGTCAGTGAAAAGCCCAGCCCTACCTTCAGAGCACAGCTTCTCAGTTTGTACCCAACAGTCATTGCCAGGGACCCAGAACTGATAATCAGGACTTTTAGGCTGGGTGAACAAAAAATTGACAGTTGGAAAATAAAGTAGGAGTTATCTTGTTTGTGTTTTTAAATTTTGGAGGAGCTGACAGATGAACACAAGGCTTGCTTTGAGCGGGAGTTGAACCAGCGACGTTGGAACCACAGCACTTCATTGGAGGAACTGCCTACAGTCCTCTGCTCTACCAACTGAGCTATCAAGGTGCTGTCTACTCCAAGTGCAGAAAACATAGTGGCTATGATGACACACTTTGCCCACACAACTAATCCACCTACATGGTCAGTGAAAAGCCCAGCCCTACCTTCAGAGCACAGCTTCTCAGTTTGTACCCAACAGTCATTGCCAGGGACCCAGAACTGATAATCAGGACTTTTAGGCTGGGTGAATAAAAAATTGACGGTTGGAAAATAAAGTAGGAGTTATCTTGTTTGTGTTTTTAAATTTTGGAGGAGCTGACAGATGAAGACAAGGCTTGCTTTGAGCGGGAGTTGAACCAGCGACCTTGGAACCACAGCACTTCATAGGAGGAACTGCCTAGAGTCCTCTGTTCTACCAACTGAGCTATCAGGGTGCTGTCTACTCCAAGTGCAGAAAACATAGTGGCTATGATGACACACTTTGCCCACACAACTAATCCACCTACATGGTCAGTGAAAAGCCCAGCCCTACCTTCAGAGCACAGCTTCTCAGTTTGTACCCAACAGTCATTGCCAGGGACCCAGAACTGATAATCAGGACTTTTAGGCTGGGTGAATAAAAAATTGATGGTTGGAAAATAAAGTAGGAGTTATCTTGTTTGTGTTTTTAAATTTTGGAGGAGCTGACAGATGAAGACAAGGCTTGCTTTGAGCGGGAGTTGAACCAGCGACGTTGGAACCACAGCACTTCATAGGAGGAACTGCCTACAGTCCTCTGCTCTACCAACTGAGCTATCAAGGTGCTGTCTACTCCAAGTGCAGAAAACATAGTGGCTATGATGACACACTTTGCCCACACAACTAATCCACCTACATGGTCAGTGAAAAGCCCAGCCCTACCTTCAGAGCACAGCTTCTCAGTTTGTACCCAACAGTCATTGCCAGGGACCCAGAACTGATAATCAGGACTTTTAGGCTGGGTGAATAAAAAATTGATGGTTGGAAAATAAAGTAGGAGTTATCTTGTTTGTGTTTTTAAATTTTGGAGGAGCTGACAGATGAAGACAAGGCTTGCTTTGAGCAGGAGTTGAACCAGCTACGTTGGAACGAGAGCACTTGATAGGAGGAACTGCCTACAGTCCTCTGCTCTACCAACTGAGCTATCAAGGTGCTGTCTACTCCAAGTGCAGAAAACATAGTGGCTATGATGACACACTTTGCCCACACAACTAATCCACCAACATGGTCAGTGAAAAGCCCAGCCCTACCTTCAGAGCACAGCTTCTCAGTTTGTACCCAACAGTCATTGCCAGGGACCCAGAACTGATATTCAGGACTTTTAGGCTGGGTGAATAAAAAATTGATGGTTGGAAAATAAAGTAGGAGTTATCTTGTTTGTGTTTTTAAATTTTGGAGGAGCTGACAGATGAAGACAAGGCTTGCTTTGAGCGGGAGTTGAACCAGCGACCCTGGAACGACAGCACTTCATTGGAGGAACTGCCTACAGTCCTCTGCTCTACCAACTGAGCTATCAAGGTGCTGTCTACTCCAAGTGCAGAAAACATAGTGGCTATGATGACACACTTTGCCCACACAACTAATCCACCTACATGGTCAGTGAAAAGCCCAGCCCTACCTTCAGAGCGCAGCTTCTCAGTTTGTACCCAACAGTCATTGCCAGGGACCCAGAACTGATAATCAGGACTTTTAGGCTGGGTGAATAAAAAATTGATGGTTGGAAAATAAAGTAGGAGTTATCTTGTTTGTGTTTTTAAATTTTGGAGGAGCTGACAGATGAACACAAGGCTTGCTTTGAGCGGGAGTTGAACCAGCGACCCTGGAACGACAGCACTTCATAGGAGGAACTGCCTACAGTCCTCTGCTCTACCAACTGAGCTATCAAGGTGCTGTCTACTCCAAGTGCAGAAAACATAGTGGCTATGATGACACACTTTGCCCACACAACTAATCCACCTACATGGTCAGTGAAAAGCCCAGCCCTACCTTCAGAGCACAGCTTCTCAGTTTGTACCCAACAGTCATTGCCAGGGACCCAGAACTGATAATCAGGACTTTTAGGCTGGGTGAACAAAAAATTGACGGTTGGAAAATAAAGTAGGAGTTATCTTGTTTGTGTTTTTAAATTTTGGAGGAGCTGACAGATGAAGACAAGGCTTGCTTTGAGCGGGAGTTGAACCAGCGACGTTGGAACCACAGCACTTCATAGGAGGAACTGCCTACAGTCCTCTGCTCTACCAACTGAGCTATCAAGGTGCTGTCTACTCCAAGTGCAGAAAACATAGTGGCTATGATGACACACTTTGCCCACACAACTAATCCACCTACATGGTCAGTGAAAAGCCCAGCCCTACCTTCAGAGCACAGCTTCTCAGTTTGTACCCAACAGTCATTGCCAGGGACCCAGAACTGATAATCAGGACTTTTAGGCTGGGTGAATAAAAAATTGACGGTTGGAAAATAAAGTAGGAGTTATCTTGTTTGTGTTTTTAAATTTTGGAGGAGCTGACAGATGAAGACAAGGCTTGCTTTGAGCGGGAGTTGAACCAGCGACCTTGGAACCACAGCACTTCATAGGAGGAACTGCCTAGAGTCCTCTGTTCTACCAACTGAGCTATCAGGGTGCTGTCTACTCCAAGTGCAGAAAACATAGTGGCTATGATGACACACTTTGCCCACACAACTAATCCACCTACATGGTCAGTGAAAAGCCCAGCCCTACCTTCAGAGCACAGCTTCTCAGTTTGTACCCAACAGTCATTGCCAGGGACCCAGAACTGATAATCAGGACTTTTAGGCTGGGTGAATAAAAAATTGATGGTTGGAAAATAAAGTAGGAGTTATCTTGTTTGTGTTTTTAAATTTTGGAGGAGCTGACAGATGAAGACAAGGCTTGCTTTGAGCGGGAGTTGAACCAGCGACCTTGGAACCACAGCACTTCATAGGAGGAACTGCCTACAGTCCTCTGCTCTACCAACTGAGCTATCAAGGTGCTGTCTACTCCAAGTGCAGAAAACATAGTGGCTATGATGACACACTTTGCCCACACAACTAATCCACCTACATGGTCAGTGAAAAGCCCAGCCCTACCTTCAGAGCACAGCTTCTCAGTTTGTACCCAACAGTCATTGCCAGGGACCCAGAACTGATAATCAGGACTTTTAGGCTGGGTGAATAAAAAATTGATGGTTGGAAAATAAAGTAGGAGTTATCTTGTTTGTGTTTTTAAATTTTGGAGGAGCTGACAGATGAACACAAGGCTTGCTTTGAGCGGGAGTTGAACCAGCGACCTTGGAACCACAGCACTTCATAGGAGGAACTGTCTAGAGTCCTCTGCTCTACCAACTGAGCTATCAAGGTGCTGTCTACTCCAAGTGCAGAAAACATAGTGGCTATGATGACACACTTTGCCCACACAACTAATCCACCTACATGGTCAGTGAAAAGCCCAGCCCTACCTTCAGAGCGCAGCTTCTCAGTTTGTACCCAACAGTCATTGCCAGGGACCCAGAACTGATAATCAGGACTTTTAGGCTGGGTGAATAAAAAATTGATGGTTGGAAAATAAAGTAGGAGTTATCTTGTTTGTGTTTTTAAATTTTGGAGGAGCTGACAGATGAACACAAGGCTTGCTTTGAGCGGGAGTTGAACCAGCGACCCTGGAACGACAGCACTTCATAGGAGGAACTGCCTACAGTCCTCTGCTCTACCAACTGAGCTATCAAGGTGCTGTCTACTCCAAGTGCAGAAAACATAGTGGCTATGATGACACACTTTGCCCACACAACTAATCCACCTACATGGTCAGTGAAAAGCCCAGCCCTACCTTCAGAGCACAACTTCTCAGTTTGTACCCAACAGTCATTGCCAGGGACCCAGAACTGATAATCAGGACTTTTAGGCTGGGTGAACAAAAAATTGACGGTTGGAAAATAAAGTAGGAGTTATCTTGTTTGTGTTTTTAAATTTTGGAGGAGCTGACAGATGAAGACAAGGCTTGCTTTGAGCGGGAGTTGAACCAGCGACGTTGGAACCACAGCACTTCATAGGAGGAACTGCCTACAGTCCTCTGCTCTACCAACTGAGCTATCAAGGTGCTGTCTACTCCAAGTGCAGAAAACATAGTGGCTATGATGACACACTTTGCCCACACAACTAATCCACCTACATGGTCAGTGAAAAGCCCAGCCCTACCTTCAGAGCGCAGCTTCTCAGTTTGTACCCAACAGTCATTGCCAGGGACCCAGAACTGATAATCAGGACTTTTAGGCTGGGTGAATAAAAAATTGATGGTTGGAAAATAAAGTAGCAGTTATCTTGTTTGTGTTTTTAAATTTTGGAGGAGCTGACAGATTAAGACAAGGCTTGCTTTGAGCGGGAGTTGAACAAGCGACCCTGGAACGACAGCACTTCATAGGAGGAACTGCCTACAGTCCTCTGCTCTACCAACTGAGCTATCAAGGTGCTGTCTACTCCAAGTGCAGAAAACATAGTGGCTATGATGACACACTTTGCCCACACAACTAATCCACCTACATGGTCAGTGAAAAGCCCAGCCCTACCTTCAGAGCACAGCTTCTCAGTTTGTACCCAACAGTCATTGCCAGGGACCCAGAACTGATAATCAGGACTTTTAGGCTGGGTGAATAAAAAATTGATGGTTGGAAAATAAAGTAGGAGTTATCTTGTTTGTGTTTTTAAATTTTGGAGGAGCTGACAGATGAACACAAGGCTTGCTTTGAGCGGGAGTTGAACTAGCGACCTTGGAACGACAGCACTTCATAGGAGGAACTGCCTACAGTCCTCTGCTCTACCAACTGAGCTATCAAGGTGCTGTCTACTCCAAGTGCAGAAAACATAGTGGCTATGATGACACACTTTGCCCACACAACTAATCCACCTACATGGTCAGTGAAAAGCCCAGCCCTACCTTCAGAGCACAGCTTCTCAGTTTGTACCCAACAGTCATTGCCAGGGACCCAGAACTGATAATCAGGACTTTTAGGCTGGGTGAATAAAAAATTGATGGTTGGAAAATAAAGTAGGAGTTATCTTGTTTGTGTTTTTAAATTTTGGAGGAGCTGACAGATGAAGACAAGGCTTGCTTTGAGCAGGAGTTGAACCAGCGACGTTGGAACGAGAGCACTTGATAGGAGGAACTGCCTACAGTCCTCTGCTCTACCAACTGAGCTATCAAGGTGCTGTCTACTCCAAGTGCAGAAAACATAGTGGCTATGATGACACACTTTGCCCACACAACTAATCCACCTACATGGTCAGTGAAAAGCCCAGCCCTACCTTCAGAGCACAGCTTCTCAGTTTGTACCCAACAGTCATTGCCAGGGACCCAGAACTGATAATCAGGACTTTTAGGCTGGGTGAATAAAAAATTGATGGTTGGAAAATAAAGTAGGAGTTATCTTGTTTGTGTTTTTAAATTTTGGAGGAGCTGACAGATGAAGACAAGGCTTGCTTTGAGCGGGAGTTGAACCAGCGACCCTGGAACGACAGCACTTCATTGGAGGAACTGCCTACAGTCCTCTGCTCTACCAACTGAGCTATCAAGGTGCTGTCTACTCCAAGTGCAGAAAACATAGTGGCTATGATGACACACTTTGCCCACACAACTAATCCACCTACATGGTCAGTGAAAAGCCCAGCCCTACCTTCAGAGCGCAGCTTCTCAGTTTGTACCCAACAGTCATTGCCAGGGACCCAGAACTGATAATCAGGACTTTTAGGCTGGGTGAATAAAAAATTGATGGTTGGAAAATAAAGTAGGAGTTATCTTGTTTGTGTTTTTAAATTTTGGAGGAGCTGACAGATGAACACAAGGCTTGCTTTGAGCGGGAGTTGAACCAGCGACCCTGGAACGACAGCACTTCATAGGAGGAACTGCCTACAGTCCTCTGCTCTACCAACTGAGCTATCAAGGTGCTGTCTACTCCAAGTGCAGAAAACATAGTGGCTATGATGACACACTTTGCCCACACAACTAATCCACCTACATGGTCAGTGAAAAGCCCAGCCCTACCTTCAGAGCACAGCTTCTCAGTTTGTACCCAACAGTCATTGCCAGGGACCCAGAACTGATAATCAGGACTTTTAGGCTGGGTGAACAAAAAATTGACGGTTGGAAAATAAAGTAGGAGTTATCTTGTTTGTGTTTTTAAATTTTGGAGGAGCTGACAGATGAAGACAAGGCTTGCTTTGAGCGGGAGTTGAACCAGCGACGTTGGAACCACAGCACTTCATAGGAGGAACTGCCTACAGTCCTCTGCTCTACCAACTGAGCTATCAAGGTGCTGTCTACTCCAAGTGCAGAAAACATAGTGGCTATGATGACACACTTTGCCCACACAACTAATCCACCTACATGGTCAGTGAAAAGCCCAGCCCTACCTTCAGAGCACAGCTTCTCAGTTTGTACCCAACAGTCATTGCCAGGGACCCAGAACTGATAATCAGGACTTTTAGGCTGGGTGAATAAAAAATTGACGGTTGGAAAATAAAGTAGGAGTTATCTTGTTTGTGTTTTTAAAATTTTGGAGGAGCTGACAGATGAAGACAAGGCTTGCTTTGAGCGGGAGTTGAACCAGCGACCTTGGAACCACAGCACTTCATAGGAGGAACTGCCTACAGTCCTCTGTTCTACCAACTGAGCTATCAGGGTGCTGTCTACTCCAAGTGCAGAAAACATAGTGGCTATGATGACACACTTTGCCCACACAACTAATCCACCTACATGGTCAGTGAAAAGCCCAGCCCTACCTTCAGAGCACAGCTTCTCAGTTTGTACCCAACAGTCATTGCCAGGGACCCAGAACTGATAATTAGGACTTTTAGGCTGGGTGAATAAAAAATTGATGGTTGGAAAATAAAGTAGGAGTTATCTTGTTTGTGTTTTTAAATTTTGGAGGAGCTGACAGATGAAGACAAGGCTTGCTTTGAGCGGGAGTTGAACCAGCGACCTTGGAACCACAGCACTTCATAGGAGGAACTGCCTACAGTCCTCTGCTCTACCAACTGAGCTATCAAGGTGCTGTCTACTCCAAGTGCAGAAAACATAGTGGCTATGATGACACACTTTGCCCACACAACTAATCCACCTACATGGTCAGTGAAAAGCCCAGCCCTACCTTCAGAGCACAGCTTCTCAGTTTGTACCCAACAGTCATTGCCAGGGACCCAGAACTGATAATCAGGACTTTTAGGCTGGGTGAATAAAAAATTGATGGTTGGAAAATAAAGTAGGAGTTATCTTGTTTGTGTTTTTAAATTTTGGAGGAGCTGACAGATGAACACAAGGCTTGCTTTGAGCGGGAGTTGAACCAGCGACCTTGGAACCACAGCACTTCATAGGAGGAACTGTCTAGAGTCCTCTGTTCTACCAACTGAGCTATCAGGGTGCTGTCTACTCCAAGTGCAGAAAACATAGTGGCTATGATGACACACTTTGCCCACACAACTAATCCACCTACATGGTCAGTGAAAAGCCCAGCCCTACCTTCAGAGCACAGCTTCTCAGTTTGTACCCAACAGTCATTGCCAGGGACCCAGAACTGATAATCAGGACTTTTAGGCTGGGTGAATAAAAAATTGATGGTTGGAAAATAAAGTAGGAGTTATCTTGTTTGTGTTTTTAAATTTTGGAGGAGCTGACAGATGAAGACAAGGCTTGCTTTGAGCGGGAGTTGAACCAGCGACCTTGGAACCACAGCACTTCATAGGAGGAACTGCCTACAGTCCTCTGCTCTACCAACTGAGCTATCAAGGTGCAGTCTACTCCAAGTGCAGAAAACATAGTGGCTATGATGACACACTTTGCCCACACAACTAATCCACCTACATGGTCAGTGAAAAGCCCAGCCCTACCTTCAGAGCACAGCTTCTCAGTTTGTACCCAACAGTCATTGCCAGACCCAGAACTGATAATCAGGACTTTTAGGCTGGGTGAATAAAAAATTGATGGTTGGAAAATAAAGTAGGAGTTATCTTGTTTGTGTTTTTAAATTTTGGAGGAGCTGACAGATGAACACAAGGCTTGCTTTGAGCGGGAGTTGAACCAGCGACCTTGGAACCACAGCACTTCATAGGAGGAACTGCCTACATTACTCTGCTCTACCAACTGAGCTATCAAGGTGCTGTCTACTCCAAGTGCAGAAAACATAGTGGCTATGATGACACACTTTGCCCACACAACTAATCCACCTACATGGTCAGTGAAAAGCCCAGCCCTACCTTCAGAGCACAGCTTCTCAGTTTGTACCCAACAGTCATTGCCAGGGACCCAGAACTGATAATCAGGACTTTTAGGCTGGGTGAATAAAAAATTGATGGTTGGAAAATAAAGTAGGAGTTATCTTGTTTGTGTTTTTAAATTTTGGAGGAGCTGACAGATGAAGACAAGGCTTGCTTTGAGCGGGAGTTGAACCAGCGACCTTGGAACCACAGCACTTCATAGGAGGAACTGCCTACAGTCCTGTGCTCTACCAACTGAGCTATCAAGGAGCTGTCTACTCCAAGTGCAGAAAACATAGTGGCTATGATGACACACTTTGCCCACACAACTAATCCACCAACATGGTCAGTGAAAAGCCCAGCCCTACCTTCAGAGCACAGCTTCTCAGTTTGTACCCAACAGTCATTGCCAGGGACCCAGAACTGATAATCAGGACTTTTAGGCTGGGTGAATAAAAAATTGACGGTTGGAAAATAAAGTAGGAGTTATCTTGTTTGTGTTTTTAAATTTTGGAGGAGCTGACAGATGAACACAAGGCTTGCTTTGAGCGGGAGTTGAACCAGCGACCTTGGAACGACAGCACTTCATAGGAGGAACTGCCTACAGTCCTCTGCTCTACCAACTGAGCTATCAAGGTGCTGTCTACTCCAAGTGCAGAAAACATAGTGGCTATGATGACACACTTTGCCCACACAACTAATCCACCTACATGGTCAGTGAAAAGCCCAGCCCTACCTTCAGAGCACAGCTTCTCAGTTTGTACCCAACAGTCATTGCCAGGGACCCAGAACTGATAATCAGGACTTTTAGGCTGGGTGAATAAAAAATTGATGGTTGGAAAATAAAGTAGCAGTTATCTTGTTTGTGTTTTTAAATTTTGGAGGAGCTGACAGATGAAGACAAGGCTTGCTTTGAGCGGGAGTTGAACAAGCGACCCTGGAACGACAGCACTTCATAGGAGGAACTGCCTACAGTCCTCTGCTCTACCAACTGAGCTATCAAGGTGCTGTCTACTCCAAGTGCAGAAAACATAGTGGCTATGATGACACACTTTGCCCACACAACTAATCCACCTACATGGTCAGTGAAAAGCCCAGCCCTACCTTCAGAGCACAGCTTCTCAGTTTGTACCCAACAGTCATTGCCAGGGACCCAGAACTGATAATCAGGACTTTTAGGCTGGGTGAATAAAAAATTGATGGTTGGAAAATAAAGTAGGAGTTATCTTGTTTGTGTTTTTAAATTTTGGAGGAGCTGACAGATGAACACAAGGCTTGCTTTGAGCGGGAGTTGAACCAGCAACCTTGGAACCACAGCACTTCATAGGAGGAACTGCCTACAGTCCTCTGCTCTACCAACTGAGCTATCAAGGTGCTGTCTACTCCAAGTGCAGAAAACATAGTGGCTATGATGACACACTTTGCCCACACAACTAATCCACCTACATGGTCAGTGAAAAGCCCAGCCCTACCTTCAGAGCACAGCTTCTCAGTTTGTACCCAACAGTCATTGCCAGGGACCCAGAACTGATAATCAGGACTTTTAGGCTGGGTGAATAAAAAATTGATGGTTGGAAAATAAAGTAGGAGTTATCTTGTTTGTGTTTTTAAATTTTGGAGGAGCTGACAGATGAAGACAAGGCTTGCTTTGAGCGGGAGTTGAACCAGCGACCTTGGAACCACAGCACTTCATAGGAGGAACTGCCTACAGTCCTCTGCTCTACCAACTGAGCTATCAAGGTGCTGTCTACTCCAAGTGCAGAAAACATAGTGGCTATGATGACACACTTTGCCCACACAACTAATCCACCTACATGGTCAGTGAAAAGCCCAGCCCTACCTTCAGAGCACAGCTTCTCAGTTTGTACCCAACAGTCATTGCCAGGGACCCAGAACTGATAATCAGGACTTTTAGGCTGGGTGAATAAAAAATTGATGGTTGGAAAATAAAGTAGGAGTTATCTTGTTTGTGTTTTTAAATTTTGGAGGAGCTGACAGATGAACACAAGGCTTGCTTTGAGCGGGAGTTGAACCAGCGACCTTGGAACCACAGCACTTCATAGGAGGAACTGTCTAGAGTCCTCTGTTCTACCAACTGAGCTATCAGGGTGCTGTCTACTCCAAGTGCAGAAAACATAGTGGCTATGATGACACACTTTGCCCACACAACTAATCCACCTACATGGTCAGTGAAAAAGCCCAGCCCTACCTTCAGAGCACAGCTTCTCAGTTTGTACCCAACAGTCATTGCCAGGGACCCAGAACTGATAATCAGGACTTTTAGGCTGGGTGAATAAAAAATTGATGGTTGGAAAATAAAGTAGGAGTTATCTTGTTTGTGTTTTTAAATTTTGGAGGAGCTGACAGATGAAGACAAGGCTTGCTTTGAGCGGGAGTTGAACCAGCGACCTTGGAACCACAGCACTTCATAGGAGGAACTGCCTACAGTCCTCTGCTCTACCAACTGAGCTATCAAGGTGCAGTCTACTCCAAGTGCAGAAAACATAGTGGCTATGATGACACACTTTGCCCACACAACTAATCCACCTACATGGTCAGTGAAAAGCCCAGCCCTACCTTCAGAGCACAGCTTCTCAGTTTGTACCCAACAGTCATTGCCAGACCCAGAACTGATAATCAGGACTTTTAGGCTGGGTGAATAAAAAATTGATGGTTGGAAAATAAAGTAGGAGTTATCTTGTTTGTGTTTTTAAATTTTGGAGGAGCTGACAGATGAACACAAGGCTTGCTTTGAGCGGGAGTTGAACCAGCGACCTTGGAACCACAGCACTTCATAGGAGGAACTGCCTACATTACTCTGCTCTACCAACTGAGCTATCAAGGTGCTGTCTACTCCAAGTGCAGAAAACATAGTGGCTATGATGACACACTTTGCCCACACAACTAATCCACCTACATGGTCAGTGAAAAGCCCAGCCCTACCTTCAGAGCACAGCTTCTCAGTTTGTACCCAACAGTCATTGCCAGGGACCCAGAACTGATAATCAGGACTTTTAGGCTGGGTGAATAAAAAATTGATGGTTGGAAAATAAAGTAGGAGTTATCTTGTTTGTGTTTTTAAATTTTGGAGGAGCTGACAGATGAACACAAGGCTTGCTTTGAGCGGGAGTTGAACCAGCGACCCTGGAACGACAGCACTTCATAGGAAGAACTGCCTACAGTCCTCTGCTCTACCAACTGAGCTATCAAGGTGCTGTCTACTCCAAGTGCAGAAAACATAGTGGCTATGATGACACACTTTGCCCACACAACTAATCCACCTACATGGTCAGTGAAAAGCCCAGCCCTACCTTCAGAGCGCAGCTTCTCAGTTTGTACCCAACAGTCATTGCCAGGGACCCAGAACTGATAATCAGGACTTTTAGGCTGGGTGAATAAAAAATTGATGGTTGGAAAGAAAAATAGGAGTTATCTTGTTTGTGTTTTTAAATTTTGGAGGAGCTGACAGATGAACACAAGGCTTGCTTTGAGCGGGAGTTGAACCAGCGACCTTGGAACGACAGCACTTCATAGGAGGAACTGCCTACAGTCCTCTGCTCTACCAACTGAGCTATCAAGGTGCTGTCTACTCCAAGTGCAGAAAACATAGTGGCTATGATGACACACTTTGCCCACACAACTAATCCACCTACATGGTCAGTGAAAAGCCCAGCCCTACCTTCAGAGCACAGCTTCTCAGTTTGTACCCAACAGTCATTGCCAGGGACCCAGAACTGATAATCAGGACTTTTAGGCTGGGTGAATAAAAAATTGATGGTTGGAAAATAAAGTAGGAGTTATCTTGTTTGTGTTTTTAAATTTTGGAGGAGCTGACAGATGAAGACAAGGCTTGCTTTGAGCGGGAGTTGAACCAGCGACCTTGGAACCACAGCACTTCATAGGAGGAACTGCCTACAGTCCTCTGCTCTACCAACTGAGCTATCAAGGTGCAGTCTACTCCAAGTGCAGAAAACATAGTGGCTATGATGACACACTTTGCCCACACAACTAATCCACCTACATGGTCAGTGAAAAGCCCAGCCCTACCTTCAGAGCGCAGCTTCTCAGTTTGTACCCAACAGTCATTGCCAGGGACCCAGAACTGATAATCAGGACTTTTAGGCTGGGTGAATAAAAAATTGATGGTTGGAAAGAAAAATAGGAGTTATCTTGTTTGTGTTTTTAAATTTTGGAGGAGCTGACAGATGAACACAAGGCTTGCTTTGAGCGGGAGTTGAACCAGCGACCTTGGAACGACAGCACTTCATAGGAGGAACTGCCTACAGTCCTCTGCTCTACCAACTGAGCTATCAAGGTGCTGTCTACTCCAAGTGCAGAAAACATAGTGGCTATGATGACACACTTTGCCCACACAACTAATCCACCTACATGGTCAGTGAAAAGCCCAGCCCTACCTTCAGAGCACAGCTTCTCAGTTTGTACCCAACAGTCATTGCCAGGGACCCAGAACTGATAATCAGGACTTTTAGGCTGGGTGAATAAAAAATTGATGGTTGGAAAATAAAGTAGCAGTTATCTTGTTTGTGTTTTTAAATTTTGGAGGAGCTGACAGATGAAGACAAGGCTTGCTTTGAGCGGGAGTTGAACAAGCGACCCTGGAACGACAGCACTTCATAGGAGGAACTGCCTACAGTCCTCTGCTCTACCAACTGAGCTATCAAGGTGCTGTCTACTCCAAGTGCAGAAAACATAGTGGCTATGATGACACACTTTGCCCACACAACTAATCCACCTACATGGTCAGTGAAAAGCCCAGCCCTACCTTCAGAGCACAGCTTCTCAGTTTGTACCCAACAGTCATTGCCAGGGACCCAGAACTGATAATCAGGACTTTTAGGCTGGGTGAATAAAAAATTGATGGTTGGAAAATAAAGTAGGAGTTATCTTGTTTGTGTTTTTAAATTTTGGAGGAGCTGACAGATGAACACAAGGCTTGCTTTGAGCGGGAGTTGAACCAGCAACCTTGGAACCACAGCACTTCATAGGAGGAACTGCCTACAGTCCTCTGCTCTACCAACTGAGCTATCAAGGTGCTGTCTACTCCAAGTGCAGAAAACATAGTGGCTATGATGACACACTTTGCCCACACAACTAATCCACCTACATGGTCAGTGAAAAGCCCAGCCCTACCTTCAGAGCACAGCTTCTCAGTTTGTACCCAACAGTCATTGCCAGGGACCCAGAACTGATAATCAGGACTTTTAGGCTGGGTGAATAAAAAATTGATGGTTGGAAAATAAAGTAGGAGTTATCTTGTTTGTGTTTTTAAATTTTGGAGGAGCTGACAGATGAACACAAGGCTTGCTTTGAGCGGGAGTTGAACCAGCGACCCTGGAACGACAGCACTTCATAGGAAGAACTGCCTACAGTCCTCTGCTCTACCAACTGAGCTATCAAGGTGCTGTCTACTCCAAGTGCAGAAAACATAGTGGCTATGATGACACACTTTGCCCACACAACTAATCCACCTACATGGTCAGTGAAAAGCCCAGCCCTACCTTCAGAGCGCAGCTTCTCAGTTTGTACCCAACAGTCATTGCCAGGGACCCAGAACTGATAATCAGGACTTTTAGGCTGGGTGAATAAAAAATTGATGGTTGGAAAATAAAGTAGGAGTTATCTTGTTTGTGTTTTTAAATTTTGGAGGAGCTGACAGATGAACACAAGGCTTGCTTTGAGCGGGAGTTGAACCAGCGACCCTGGAACGACAGCACTTCATAGGAAGAACTGCCTACAGTCCTCTGCTCTACCAACTGAGCTATCAAGGTGCTGTCTACTCCAAGTGCAGAAAACATAGTGGCTATGATGACACACTTTGCCCACACAACTAATCCACCTACATGGTCAGTGAAAAGCCCAGCCCTACCTTCAGAGCGCAGCTTCTCAGTTTGTACCCAACAGTCATTGCCAGGGACCCAGAACTGATAATCAGGACTTTTAGGCTGGGTGAATAAAAAATTGATGGTTGGAAAGAAAAATAGGAGTTATCTTGTTTGTGTTTTTAAATTTTGGAGGAGCTGACAGATGAACACAAGGCTTGCTTTGAGCGGGAGTTGAACCAGCGACCTTGGAACGACAGCACTTCATAGGAGGAACTGCCTACAGTCCTCTGCTCTACCAACTGAGCTATCAAGGTGCTGTCTACTCCAAGTGCAGAAAACATAGTGGCTATGATGACACACTTTGCCCACACAACTAATCCACCTACATGGTCAGTGAAAAGCCCAGCCCTACCTTCAGAGCACAGCTTCTCAGTTTGTACCCAACAGTCATTGCCAGGGACCCAGAACTGATAATCAGGACTTTTAGGCTGGGTGAATAAAAAATTGATGGTTGGAAAATAAAGTAGCAGTTATCTTGTTTGTGTTTTTAAATTTTGGAGGAGCTGACAGATGAAGACAAGGCTTGCTTTGAGCGGGAGTTGAACAAGCGACCCTGGAACGACAGCACTTCATAGGAGGAACTGCCTACAGTCCTCTGCTCTACCAACTGAGCTATCAAGGTGCTGTCTACTCCAAGTGCAGAAAACATAGTGGCTATGATGACACACTTTGCCCACACAACTAATCCACCTACATGGTCAGTGAAAAGCCCAGCCCTACCTTCAGAGCACAGCTTCTCAGTTTGTACCCAACAGTCATTGCCAGGGACCCAGAACTGATAATCAGGACTTTTAGGCTGGGTGAATAAAAAATTGATGGTTGGAAAATAAAGTAGGAGTTATCTTGTTTGTGTTTTTAAATTTTGGAGGAGCTGACAGATGAACACAAGGCTTGCTTTGAGCGGGAGTTGAACCAGCAACCTTGGAACCACAGCACTTCATAGGAAGAACTGCCTACAGTCCTCTGCTCTACCAACTGAGCTATCAAGGTGCTGTCTACTCCAAGTGCAGAAAACATAGTGGCTATGATGACACACTTTGCCCACACAACTAATCCACCTACATGGTCAGTGAAAAGCCCAGCCCTACCTTCAGAGCGCAGCTTCTCAGTTTGTACCCAACAGTCATTGCCAGGGACCCAGAACTGATAATCAGGACTTTTAGGCTGGGTGAATAAAAAATTGATGGTTGGAAAGAAAAATAGGAGTTATCTTGTTTGTGTTTTTAAATTTTGGAGGAGCTGACAGATGAACACAAGGCTTGCTTTGAGCGGGAGTTGAACCAGCGACCTTGGAACCACAGCACTGCATAGGAGGAACTGCCTACAGTCCTCTGCTCTACCAAGTGAGCTATCAAGGTGCTGTGTACTCCAAGTGCAGAAAACATAGTGGCTATGATGACACACTTTGCCCACACAACTAATCCATCTACATGGTCAGTGAAAAGCCCAGCCCTACCTTCAGAGCACAGCTTCTCAGTTTGTACCCAACAGTCATTGCCAGGGACCCAGAACTGATAATCAGGACTTTTAGGCTGGGTGAATAAAAAATTGATGGTTGGAAAATAAAGTAGGAGTTATCTTGTTTGTGTTTTTAAATTTTGGAGGAGCTGACAGATGAACACAAGGCTTGCTTTGAGCGGGAGTTGAACGAGCGACCCTGGAACCACAGCACTTCATAGGAGGAACTGCCTACAGTCCTCTGCTCTACCAACTGAGCTATCAAGGTGCTGTCTGCTCCAAGTGCAGAAAACATAGTGGCTATGATGACACACTTTGCCCACACAACTAATCCACCTACATGGTCAGTGAAAAGCCCAGCCCTACCTTCAGAGCGCAGCTTCTCAGTTTGTACCCAACAGTCATTGCCAGGGACCCAGAACTGATAATCAGGACTTTTAGGCTGGGTGAATAAAAAATTGACGGTTGGAAAATAAAGTAGGAGTTATCTTGTTTGTGTTTTTAAATTTTGGAGGAGCTGACAGATGAAGACAAGGCTTGCTTTGAGCGGGAGTTGAACCAGCGACCTTGGAACCACAGCACTTCATAGGAGGAACTGCCTACAGTCCTCTGCTCTACCAACTGAGCTATCAAGGTGCTGTCTACTCCAAGTGCAGAAAACATAGTGGCTATGATGACACACTTTGCCCACACAACTAATCCACCTACATGGTCAGTGAAAAGCCCAGCCCTACCTTCAGAGCACAGCTTCTCAGTTTGTACCCAACAGTCATTGCCAGGGACCCAGAACTGATAATCAGGACTTTTAGGCTGGGTGAATAAAAAATTGATGGTTGGAAAATAAAGTAGGAGTTATCTTGTTTGTGTTTTTAAATTTTGGAGGAGCTGACAGATGAACACAAGGCTTGCTTTGAGCGGGAGTTGAACCAGCGACCTTGGAACCACAGCACTTCATAGGAGGAACTGCCTACAGTCCTCTGCTCTACCAACTGAGCTATCAAGGTGCTGTCTACTCCAAGTGCAGAAAACATAGTGGCTATGATGACACACTTTGCCCACACAACTAATCCACCTACATGGTCAGTGAAAAGCCCAGCCCTACCTTCAGAGCACAGCTTCTCAGTTTGTACCCAACAGTCATTGCCAGGGACCCAGAACTGATAATCAGGACTTTTAGGCTGGGTGAATAAAAAATTGACGGTTGGAAAATAAAGTAGGAGTTATCTTGTTTGTGTTTTTAAATTTTGGAGGAGCTGACAGATGAAGACAAGGCTTGCTTTGAGCGGGAGTTGAACCAGCGACCTTGGAACCACAGCACTTCATAGGAGGAACTGCCTAGAGTCCTCTGTTCTACCAACTGAGCTATCAGGGTGCTGTCTACTCCAAGTGCAGAAAACATAGTGGCTATGATGACACACTTTGCCCACACAACTAATCCACCTACATGGTCAGTGAAAAGCCCAGCCCTACCTTCAGAGCACAGCTTCTCAGTTTGTACCCAACAGTCATTGCCAGGGACCCAGAACTGATAATCAGGACTTTTAGGCTGGGTGAATAAAAAATTGATGGTTGGAAAATAAAGTAGGAGTTATCTTGTTTGTGTTTTTAAATTTTGGAGGAGCTGACAGATGAAGACAAGGCTTGCTTTGAGCGGGAGTTGAACCAGCGACCTTGGAACCACAGCACTTCATAGGAGGAACTGCCTACAGTCCTCTGCTCTACCAACTGAGCTATGAAGGTGCTGTCTACTCCAAGTGCAGAAAACATAGTGGCTATGATGACACACTTTGCCCACACAACTAATCCACCTACATGGTCAGTGAAAAGCCCAGCCCTACCTTCAGAGCACAGCTTCTCAGTTTGTACCCAACAGTCATTGCCAGACCCAGAACTGATAATCAGGACTTTTAGGCTGGGTGAATAAAAAATTGATGGTTGGAAAATAAAGTAGGAGTTATCTTGTTTGTGTTTTTAAATTTTGGAGGAGCTGACAGATGAACACAAGGCTTGCTTTGAGCGGGAGTTGAACCAGCGACCTTGGAACCACAGCACTTCATAGGAGGAACTGCCTACAGTCCTCTGCTCTACCAACTGAGCTATCAAGGTGCTGTCTACTCCAAGTGCAGAAAACATAGTGGCTATGATGACACACTTTGCCCACACAACTAATCCACCTACATGGTCAGTGAAAAGCCCAGCCCTACCTTCAGAGCGCAGCTTCTCAGTTTGTACCCAACAGTCATTGCCAGGGACCCAGAACTGATAATCAGGACTTTTAGGCTGGGTGAATAAAAAATTGATGGTTGGAAAATAAAGTAGGAGTTATCTTGTTTGTGTTTTTAAATTTTGGAGGAGCTGACAGATGAACACAAGGCTTGCATTGAGCGGGAGTTGAACCAGCGACCCTGGAACGACAGCACTTCATAGGAAGAACTGCCTACAGTCCTCTGCTCTACCAACTGAGCTATCAAGGTGCTGTCTACTCCAAGTGCAGAAAACATAGTGGCTATGATGACACACTTTGCCCACACAACTAATCCACCTACATGGTCAGTGAAAAGCCCAGCCCTACCTTCAGAGCGCAGCTTCTCAGTTTGTACCCAACAGTCATTGCCAGGGACCCAGAACTGATAATCAGGACTTTTAGGCTGGGTGAATAAAAAATTGATGGTTGGAAAATAAAGTAGGAGTTATCTTGTTTGTGTTTTTAAATTTTGGAGGAGCTGACAGATGAAGACAAGGCTTGCTTTGAGCGGGAGTTGAACCAGCGACCTTGGAACCACAGCACTTCATAGGAGGAACTGCCTACAGTCCTCTGCTCTACCAACTGAGCTATCAAGGTGCTGTGTACTCCAAGTGCAGAAAACATAGTGGCTATGATGACACACTTTGCCCACACAACTAATCCACCTACATGGTCAGTGAAAAGCCCAGCCCTACCTTCAGAGCACAGCTTCTCAGTTTGTACCCAACAGTCATTGCCAGGGACCCAGAACTGATAATCAGGACTTTTAGGCTGGGTGAATAAAAAATTGACGGTTGGAAAATAAAGTAGGAGTTATCTTGTTTGTGTTTTTAAATTTTGGAGGAGCTGACAGATGAACACAAGGCTTGCTTTGAGCGGGAGTTGAACCAGCGACCTTGGAACCACAGCACTTCATAGGAGGAACTGCCTACAGTCCTCTGCTCTACCAACTGAGCTATCAAGGTGCTGTCTACTCCAAGTGCAGAAAACATAGTGGCTATGATGACACACTTTGCCCACACAACTAATCCACCTACATGGTCAGTGAAAAGCCCAGCCCTACCTTCAGAGCACAGCTTCTCAGTTTGTACCCAACAGTCATTGCCAGGGACCCAGAACTGATAATCAGGACTTTTAGGCTGGGTGAATAAAAAATTGACGGTTGGAAAATTAAGTAGGAGTTATCTTGTTTGTGTTTTTAAATTTTGGAGGAGCTGACAGATGAAGACAAGGCTTGCTTTGAGCGGGAGTTGAACCAGCGACCTTGGAACCACAGCACTTCATAGGAGGAACTGCCTACAGTCCTCTGTTCTACCAACTGAGCTATCAAGGTGCTGTCTACTCCAAGTGCAGAAAACATAGTGGCTATGATGACACACTTTGCCCACACAACTAATCCACCTACATGGTCAGTGAAAAGCCCAGCCCTACCTTCAGAGCACAGCTTCTCAGTTTGTACCCAACAGTCATTGCCAGGGACCCAGAACTGATAATCAGGACTTTTAGGCTGGGTGAATAAAAAATTGACGGTTGGAAAATAAAGTAGGAGTTATCTTGTTTGTGTTTTTAAATTTTGGAGGAGCTGACAGATGAAGACAAGGCTTGCTTTGAGCGGGAGTTGAACCAGCGACCTTGGAACCACAGCACTTCATAGGAGGAACTGCCTACAGTCCTCTGCTCTACCAACTGAGCTATCAAGGTGCTGTCTACTCCAAGTGCAGAAAACATAGTGGCTATGATGACACACTTTGCCCACACAACTAATCCACCTACATGGTCAGTGAAAAGCCCAGCCCTACCTTCAGAGCACAGCTTCTCAGTTTGTACCCAACAGTCATTGCCAGGGACCCAGAACTGATAATCAGGACTTTTAGGCTGGGTGAATAAAAAATTGATGGTTGGAAAATAAAGTAGGAGTTATCTTGTTTGTGTTTTTAAATTTTGGAGGAGCTGACAGATGAACACAAGGCTTGCTTTGAGCGGGAGTTGAACCAGCGACCTTGGAACCACAGCACTTCATAGGAGGAACTGCCTACAGTCCTCTGCTCTACCAACTGAGCTATCAAGGTGCTGTCTACTCCAAGTGCAGAAAACATAGTGGCTATGATGACACACTTTGCCCACACAACTAATCCACCTACATGGTCAGTGAAAAGCCCAGCCCTACCTTCAGAGCACAGCTTCTCAGTTTGTACCCAACAGTCATTGCCAGGGACCCAGAACTGATAATCAGGACTTTTAGGCTGGGTGAATAAAAAATTGATGGTTGGAAAATAAAGTAGGAGTTATCTTGTTTGTGTTTTTAAATTTTGGAGGAGCTGACAGATGAAGACAAGGCTTGCTTTGAGCGGGAGTTGAACCAGCGACCTTGGAACCACAGCACTTCATAGGAGGAACATCCTACAGTCCTCTGCTCTACCAACTGAGCTATCAAGGTGCTGTCTACTCCAAGTGCAGAAAACATAGTGGCTATGATGACACACTTTGCCCACACAACTAATCCACCAACATGGTCAGTGAAAAGCCCAGCCCTACCTTCAGAGCACAGCTTCTCAGTTTGTACCCAACAGTCATTGCCAGGGACCCAGAACTGATAATCAGGACTTTTAGGCTGGGTGAATAAAAAATTGATGGTTGGAAAATAAAGTAGGAGTTATCTTGTTTGCGTTTTTAAATTTTGGAGGAGCTGACAGATGAACACAAGGCTTGCTTTGAGCGGGAGTTGAACCAGCAACCTTGGAACCACAGCACTTCATAGGAGGAACTGCCTACAGTCCTCTGCTCTACCAACTGAGCTATCAAGGTGCTGTCTACTCCAAGTGCAGAAAACATAGTGGCTATGATGACACACTTTGCCCACACAACTAATCCACCTACATGGTCAGTGAAAAGCCCAGCCCTACCTTCAGAGCACAGCTTCTCAGTTTGTACCCAACAGTCATTGCCAGGGACCCAGAACTGATAATCAGGACTTTTAGGCTGGGTGAATAAAAAATTGATGGTTGGAAAATAAAGTAGGAGTTATCTTGTTTGTGTTTTTAAATTTTGGAGGAGCTGACAGATGAAGACAAGGCTTGCTTTGAGCGGGAGTTGAACCAGCGACGTTGGAACCACAGCACTTCATAGGAGGAACTGCCTACAGTCCTCTGCTCTACCAACTGAGCTATCAAGGTGCTGTCTACTCCAAGTGCAGAAAACATAGTGGCTATGATGACACACTTTGCCCACACAACTAATCCACCTACATGGTCAGTGAAAAGCCCAGCCCTACCTTCAGAGCACAGCTTCTCAGTTTGTACCCAACAGTCATTGCCAGGGACCCAGAACTGATAATCAGGACTTTTAGGCTGGGTGAATAAAAAATTGACGGTTGGAAAATAAAGTAGGAGTTATCTTGTTTGTGTTTTTAAATTTTGGAGGAGCTGACAGATGAAGACAAGGCTTGCTTTGAGCGGGAGTTGAACCAGCGACCTTGGAACCACAGCACTTCATAGGAGGAACTGCCTAGAGTCCTCTGTTCTACCAACTGAGCTATCAGGGTGCTGTCTACTCCAAGTGCAGAAAACATAGTGGCTATGATGACACACTTTGCCCACACAACTAATCCACCTACATGGTCAGTGAAAAGCCCAGCCCTACCTTCAGAGCACAGCTTCTCAGTTTGTACCCAACAGTCATTGCCAGGGACCCAGAACTGATAATCAGGACTTTTAGGCTGGGTGAATAAAAAATTGATGGTTGGAAAATAAAGTAGGAGTTATCTTGTTTGTGTTTTTAAATTTTGGAGGAGCTGACAGATGAACACAAGGCTTGCTTTGAGCGGGAGTTGAACCAGCGACGTTGGAACCACAGCACTTCATAGGAGGAACTGCCTACAGTCCTCTGCTCTACCAACTGAGCTATCAAGGTGCTGTCTACTCCAAGTGCAGAAAACATAGTGGCTATGATGACACACTTTGCCCACACAACTAATCCACCTACATGGTCAGTGAAAAGCCCAGCCCTACCTTCAGAGCACAGCTTCTCAGTTTGTACCCAACAGTCATTGCCAGGGACCCAGAACTGATAATCAGGACTTTTAGGCTGGGTGAATAAAAAATTGATGGTTGGAAAATAAAGTAGGAGTTATCTTGTTTGTGTTTTTAAATTTTGGAGGAGCTGACAGATGAACACAAGGCTTGCTTTGAGCGGGAGTTGAACCAGCGACCTTGGAACCACAGCACTTCATAGGAGGAACTGCCTACAGTCCTCTGCTCTACCAACTGAGCTATCAAGGTGCTGTCTACTCCAAGTGCAGAAAACATAGTGGCTATGATGACACACTTTGCCCACACAACTAATCCACCTACATGGTCAGTGAAAAGCCCAGCCCTACCTTCAGAGCACAGCTTCTCAGTTTGTACCCAACAGTCATTGCCAGGGACCCAGAACTGATAATCAGGACTTTTAGGCTGGGTGAATAAAAAATTGATGGTTGGAAAATAAAGTAGGAGTTATCTTGTTTGTGTTTTTAAATTTTGGAGGAGCTGACAGATGAACACAAGGCTTGCTTTGAGCGGGAGTTGAACCAGCGACCTTGGAACCACAGCACTTCATAGGAGGAACTGCCTAGAGTCCTCTGTTCTACCAACTGAGCTATCAGGGTGCTGTCTACTCCAAGTGCAGAAAACATAGTGGCTATGATGACACACTTTGCCCACACAGCTAATCCACCTACATGGTCAGTGAAAAGCCCAGCCCTACCTTCAGAGCACAGCTTCTCAGTTTGTACCCAACAGTCATTGCCAGGGACCCAGAACTGATAATCAGGACTTTTAGGCTGGGTGAATAAAAAATTGATGGTTGGAAAATAAAGTAGGAGTTATCTTGTTTGTGTTTTTAAATTTTGGAGGAGCTGACAGATGAAGACAAGGCTTGCTTTGAGCGGGAGTTGAACCAGCGACCTTGGAACCACAGCACTTCATAGGAGGAACTGCCTATAGTCCTCTGCTCTACCAACTGAGCTATCAAGGTGCTGTCTACTCCAAGTGCAGAAAACATAGTGGCTATGATGACACACTTTGCCCACACAACTAATCCACCTACATGGTCAGTGAAAAGCCCAGCCCTACCTTCAGAGCACAGCTTCTCAGTTTGTACCCAACAGTCATTGCCAGACCCAGAACTGATAATCAGGACTTTTAGGCTGGGTGAATAAAAAATTGATGGTTGGAAAATAAAGTAGGAGTTATCTTGTTTGTGTTTTTAAATTTTGGAGGAGCTGACAGATGAACACAAGGCTTGCTTTGAGCGGGAGTTGAACCAGCGACCTTGGAACCACAGCACTTCATAGGAGGAACTGCCTACATTACTCTGCTCTACCAACTGAGCTATCAAGGTGCTGTCTACTCCAAGTGCAGAAAACATAGTGGCTATGATGACACACTTTGCCCACACAACTAATCCACCTACATGGTCAGTGAAAAGCCCAGCCCTACCTTCAGAGCGCAGCTTCTCAGTTTGTACCCAACAGTCATTGCCAGGGACCCAGAACTGATAATCAGGACTTTTAGGCTGGGTGAATAAAAAATTGATGGTTGGAAAATAAAGTAGGAGTTATCTTGTTTGTGTTTTTAAATTTTGGAGGAGCTGACAGATGAACACAAGGCTTGCTTTGAGCGGGAGTTGAACCAGCGACCCTGGAACCACAGCACTTCATAGGAGGAACTGCCTACAGTCCTCTGCTCTACCAACTGAGCTATCAAGGTGCTGTCTACTCCAAGTGCAGAAAACATAGTGGCTATGATGACACACTTTGCCCACACAAATAATCCACCTACATGGTCAGTGAAAAGCCCAGCCCTACCTTCAGAGCACAGCTTCTCAGTTTGTACCCAACAGTCATTGCCAGGGACCCAGAACTGATAATCAGGACTTTTAGGCTGGGTGAATAAAAAATTGACGGTTGGAAAATAAAGTAGGAGTTATCTTGTTTGTGTTTTTAAATTTTTGAGGAGCTGACAGATGAAGACAAGGCTTGCTTTGAGCGGGAGTTGAAGCAGCGACCTTGGAACGACAGCACTTCATAGGAGGAACTGCCTACAGTCCTCTGCTCTACCAACTGAGCTATCAAGGTGCTGTCTACTCCAAGTGCAGAAAACATAGTGGCTATGATGACACACTTTGCCCACACAACGAATCCACCTACATGGTCAGTGAAAAGCCCAGCCCTACCTTCAGAGCACAGCTTCTCAGTTTGTACCCAACAGTCATTGCCAGGGACCCAGAACTGATAATCAGGACTTTTAGGCTGGGTGAACAAAAAATTGACGGTTGGAAAATAAAGTAGGAGTTATCTTGTTTGTGTTTTTAAATTTTGGAGGAGCTGACAGATGAAGACAAGGCTTGCTTTGAGCGGGAGTTGAACCAGCGACCTTGGAACCACAGCACTTCATAGGAGGAACTGCCTACAGTCCTCTGCTCTAACAACTGAGCTATCAAGGTGCTGTCTACTCCAAGTGCAGAAAACATAGTGGCTATGATGACACACTTTGCCCACACAACTAATCCACCAACATGGTCAGTGAAAAGCCCAGCCCTACCTTCAGAGCACAGCTTCTCAGTTTGTACCTAACAGTCATTGCCAGGGACCCAGAACTGATAATCAGGACTTTTAGGCTGGGTGAATAAAAAATTGATGGTTGGAAAATAAAGTAGGAGTTATCTTGTTTGTGTTTTTAAATTTTGGAGGAGCTGACAGATGAAGACAAGGCTTGCTTTGAGCGGGAGTTGAACCAGCGACCCTGGAACGACAGCACTTCATAGGAGGAACTGCCTACAGTCCTCTGCTCTACCAACTGAGCTATCAAGGTGCTGTCTACTCCAAGTGCAGAAAACATAGTGGCTATGATGACACACTTTGCCCACACAACTAATCCACCTACATGGTCAGTGAAAAGCCCAGCCCTACCTTCAGAGCACAGCTTCTCAGTTTGTACCCAACAGTCATTGCCAGGGACCCAGAACTGATAATCAGGACTTTTAGGCTAGGTGAATAAAAAATTGACGGTTGGAAAATAAAGTAGGAGTTATCTTGTTTGTGTTTTTAAATTTTGGAGGAGCTGACAGATGAACACAAGGCTTGCTTTGAGCGGGAGTTGAACCAGCGACCTTGGAACCACAGCACTTCATAGGAGGAACTGCCTACAGTCCTCTGCTCTACCAACTGAGCTATCAAGGTGCTGTCTACTCCAAGTGCAGAAAACATAGTGGCTATGATGACACACTTTGCCCACACAACTAATCCACCTACATGGTCAGTGAAAAGCCCAGCCCTACCTTCAGAGCACAGCTTCTCAGTTTGTACCCAACAGTCATTGCCAGGGACCCAGAACTGATAATCAGGACTTTTAGGCTGGGTGAATAAAAAATTGATGGTTGGAAAATAAAGTAGGAGTTATCTTGTTTGTGTTTTTAAATTTTGGAGGAGCTGACAGATGAACACAAGGCTTGCTTTGAGCGGGAGTTGAACCAGCGACCTTGGAACCACAGCACTTCATAGGAGGAACTGCCTACAGTCCTCTGCTCTACCAACTGAGCTATCAAGGTGCTGTCTACTCGAAGTGCAGAAAACATAGTGGCTATGATGACACACTTTGCCCACACAACTAATCCACCTACATGGTCAGTGAAAAGCCCAGCCCTACCTTCAGAGCGCAGCTTCTCAGTTTGTACCCAACAGTCATTGCCAGGGACCCAGAACTGATAATCAGGACTTTTAGGCTGGGTGAATAAAAAATTGATGGTTGGAAAATAAAGTAGGAGTTATCTTGTTTGTGTTTTTAAATTTTGGAGGAGCTGACAGATGAACACAAGGCTTGCTTTGAGCGGGAGTTGAACCAGCGAACTTGGAACCACAGCACTTCATAGGAGGAACTGCCTACAGTCCTGTGCTCTACCAACTGAGCTATCAAGGTGCTGTCTACTCCAAGTGCAGAAAACATAGTGGCTATGATGACACACTTTGCCCACACAACTAATCCACCTACATGGTCAGTGAAAAGCCCAGCCCTACCTTCAGAGCACAGCTTCTCAGTTTGTACCCAACAGTCATTGCCAGGGACCCAGAACTGATAATCAGGACTTTTAGGCTGGGTGAATAAAAAACTGACGTTTGGAAAATAAAGTAGGAGTTATCTTGTTTGTGTTTTTAAATTTTGGAGGAGCTGACAGATGAAGACAAGGCTTGCTTTGAGCGGGAGTTGAACCAGCAACCTTGGAACCACAGCACTTCATAGGAGGAACTGCCTACAGTCCTCTGTTCTACCAACTGAGCTATCAAGGTGCTGTCTACTCCAAGTGCAGAAAACATAGTGGCTATGATGACACACTTTGCCCACACAACTAATCCACCTACATGGTCAGTGAAAAGCCCAGCCCTACCTTCAGAGCACAGCTTCTCAGTTTGTACCCAACAGTCATTGCCAGGGACCCAGAACTGATAATCAGGACTTTTAGGCTGGGTGAATAAAAAATTGACGGTTGGAAAATAAAGTAGGAGTTATCTTGTTTGTGTTTTTAAATTTTGGAGGAGCTGACAGATGAAGACAAGGCTTGCTTTGAGCGGGAGTTGAACCAGCGACCTTGGAACCACAGCACTTCATAGGAGGAACTGCCTAGAGTCCTCTGTTCTACCAACTGAGCTATCAGGGTGCTGTCTACTCCAAGTGCAGAAAACATAGTGGCTATGATGACACACTTTGCCCACACAACTAATCCACCTACATGGTCAGTGAAAAGCCCAGCCCTACCTTCAGAGCACAGCTTCTCAGTTTGTACCCAACAGTCATTGCCAGGGACCCAGAACTGATAATCAGGACTTTTAGGCTGGGTGAATAAAAAATTGATGGTTGGAAAATAAAGTAGGAGTTATCTTGTTTGTGTTTTTAAATTTTGGAGGAGCTGACAGATGAAGACAAGGCTTGCTTTGAGCGGGAGTTGAACCAGCGACCTTGGAACCACAGCACTTCATAGGAGGAACTGCCTACAGTCCTCTGCTCTACCAACTGAGCTATCAAGGTGCTGTCTACTCCAAGTGCAGAAAACATAGTGGCTATGATGACACACTTTGCCCACACAACTAATCCACCTACATGGTCAGTGAAAAGCCCAGCCCTACCTTCAGAGCACAGCTTCTCAGTTTGTACCCAACAGTCATTGCCAGACCCAGAACTGATAATCAGGACTTTTAGGCTGGGTGAATAAAAAATTGATGGTTGGAAAATAAAGTAGGAGTTATCTTGTTTGTGTTTTTAAATTTTGGAGCAGCTGACAGATGAACACAAGGCTTGCTTTGAGCGGGAGTTGAACCAGCGACCTTGGAACCACAGCACTTCATAGGAGGAACTGCCTACATTAGTCTGCTCTACCAACTGAGCTATCAATGTGCTGTCTACTCCAAGTGCAGAAAACATAGTGGCTATGATGACACACTTTGCCCACACAACTAATCCACCTACATGGTCAGTGAAAAGCCCAGCCCTACCTTCAGAGCACAGCTTCTCAGTTTGTACCCAACAGTCATTGCCAGGGACCCAGAACTGATAATCAGGACTTTTAGGCTGGGTGAATAAAAAATTGATGGTTGGAAAATAAAGTAGGAGTTATCTTGTTTGTGTTTTTAAATTTTGGAGGAGCTGACAGATGAACACAAGGCTTGCTTTGAGCGGGAGTTGAACCAGCGACCTTGGAACCACAGCACTTCATAGGAGGAACTGCCTACAGTCCTCTGCTCTACCAACTGAGCTATCAAGGTGCTGTCTACTCCAAGTGCAGAAAACATAGTGGCTATGATGACACACTTTGCCCACACAACTAATCCACCTACATGGTCAGTGAAAAGCCCAGCCCTACCTTCAGAGCGCAGCTTCCCAGTTTGTACCCAACAGTCATTGCCAGGGACCCAGAACTGATAATCAGGACTTTTAGGCTGGGTGAATAAAAAATTGATGGTTGGAAAATAAAGTAGGAGTTATCTTGTTTGTGTTTTTAAATTTTGGAGGAGCTGACAGATGAACACAAGGCTTGCTTTGAGCGGGAGTTGAACCAGCGACCCTGGAACCACAGCACTTCATAGGAGGAACTGCCTACAGTCCTCTGCTCTACCAACTGAGCTATCAAGGTGCTGTCTACTCCAAGTGCAGAAAACATAGTGGCTATGATGACACACTTTGCCCACACAACTAATCCACCTACATGGTCAGTGAAAAGCCCAGCCCTACCTTCAGAGCGCAGCTTCTCAGTTTGTACCCAACAGTCATTGCCAGGGACCCAGAACTGATAATCAGGACTTTTAGGCTGGGTGAATAAAAAATTGATGGTTGGAAAATAAAGTAGCAGTTATCTTGTTTGTGTTTTTAAATTTTGGAGGAGCTGACAGATGAAGACAAGGCTTGCTTTGAGCGGGAGTTGAACAAGCGACCCTGGAACGACAGCACTTCATAGGAGGAACTGCCTACAGTCCTCTGCTCTACCAACTGAGCTATCAAGGTGCTGTCTACTCCAAGTGCAGAAAACATAGTGGCTATGATGACACACTTTGCCCACACAACTAATCCACCTACATGGTCAGTGAAAAGCCCAGCCCTACCTTCAGAGCACAGCTTCTCAGTTTGTACCCAACAGTCATTGCCAGGGACCCAGAACTGATAATCAGGACTTTTAGGCTGGGTGAATAAAAAATTGATGGTTGGAAAATAAAGTAGGAGTTATCTTGTTTGTGTTTTTAAATTTTGGAGGAGCTGACAGATGAACACAAGGCTTGCTTTGAGCGGGAGTTGAACCAGCGACCTTGGAACGACAGCATTTCATAGGAGGAACTCCCTACAGTCCTCTGCTCTACCAACTGAGCTATCAAGGTGCTGTCTACTCCAAGTGCAGAAAACATAGTGGCTATGATGACACACTTTGCCCACACAACTAATCCACCTACATGGTCAGTGAAAAGCCCAGCCCTACCTTCAGAGCGCAGCTTCTCAGTTTGTACCCAACAGTCATTGCCAGGGACCCAGAACTGATAATCAGGACTTTTAGGCTAGGTGAATAAAAAATTGACGGTTGGAAAATAAAGTAGGAGTTATCTTGTTTGTGTTTTTAAATTTTGGAGGAGCTGACAGATGAACACAAGGCTTGCTTTGAGCGGGAGTTGAACCAGCGACCTTGGAACCACAGCACTTCATAGGAGGAACTGCCTACAGTCCTCTGCTCTACCAACTGAGCTATCAAGGTGCTGTCTACTCCAAGTGCAGAAAACATAGTGGCTATGATGACACACTTTGCCCACACAACTAATCCACCTACATGGTCAGTGAAAAGCCCAGCCCTACCTTCAGAGCACAGCTTCTCAGTTTGTACCCAACAGTCATTGCCAGGGACCCAGAACTGATAATCAGGACTTTTAGGCTGGGTGAATAAAAAATTGATGGTTGGAAAATAAAGTAGGAGTTATCTTGTTTGTGTTTTTAAATTTTGGAGGAGCTGACAGATGAACACAAGGCTTGCTTTGAGCGGGAGTTGAACCAGCGACCTTGGAACCACAGCACTTCATAGGAGGAACTGCCTACAGTCCTCTGCTCTACCAACTGAGCTATCAAGGTGCTGTCTACTCGAAGTGCAGAAAACATAGTGGCTATGATGACACACTTTGCCCACACAACTAATCCACCTACATGGTCAGTGAAAAGCCCAGCCCTACCTTCAGAGCGCAGCTTCTCAGTTTGTACCCAACAGTCATTGCCAGGGACCCAGAACTGATAATCAGGACTTTTAGGCTGGGTGAATAAAAAATTGATGGTTGGAAAATAAAGTAGGAGTTATCTTGTTTGTGTTTTTAAATTTTGGAGGAGCTGACAGATGAACACAAGGCTTGCTTTGAGCGGGAGTTGAACCAGCGAACTTGGAACCACAGCACTT